TGGAACTATCCTGTTCTACAAACCCAAAGTGTTTACAGCTCTTCCTTTATGGCACTGAGCACTTTATGAATGAACTGTAAACAGATATTTCCAGTATATAAATTTTAAATGAAAATGTTTTCTGCTTTCCTATAGTTTTCTAAGTCAAATAATGATGACTTCAGCAACGGTGGTACCAGCAGCTTTACAAATGGTGGTGGTGGCTTTGGGGATTCTGGCGGTGGTGGTGACGAAGAGTGGTAGATCAAGCTCGCTGTATCATCAATTCAGTTCTGTTTCACTCACAAAACAATGTTTGCATCATTTGATGGAAACAGGCTCATCATTCACAGAGTATTGTTGCATTTTTTGTATCATCGACTTGGTAACTCTCGCAGGTTGATTTACGGAAGACGCATACCCACTGCTGCATAAATCACCTTTGCAGATGTTATATTTTCTATAATCATGTGCATGTATTTAGTTGCAGGGTTGTTTTTTAGACATTGATTGGTGTATATAAAACTGTTGCATTGCAGTCCCTTTAACTTATCTGCATGATCCAGTGTAGCTGTTTGTTTTGTTACATTCTCTAGAAATGTCAATGTTGTGATCTATGTCAGTTCTAGAGGCCCCGGGAAAGGGACCCTACAATAGACGAACCCGGCAATAAACGAACCCGGTAATATACGAACCCTGTGTGCCAACATGCCATCGTCTTTATCTTTAAAAAAAGTCTGCTTATAGTTTATTGAATTCATACAATTGATGCTTAAACCAAGTGAATGAAATCGTCAAATAAGACTGGTTTTTAAGGTTTTGAAGATGAGTTTGGTCGAAAAGGAGGACATAGTTTAGTTGGTAATCGAAAAGGACTTGCCGATTGCAAAAAACCTGTTTATAAATTTATTCCACCCTGCAAAATCTTCGCACCTTACAGTTGAGAAGTATGACGACATAAACCATACTTTTAGAAATTGCTATGGAAGACATCAATATGTTAGAATTCAATAAGATCTGTTATAAATTGACCGAGATTGAAAAATCTGAATATTTCTAAAAGACTACTTGTTATTTTGGCTTTGTTCATAGAATCTGGTACAAACACCAAATCACAGTGGCTTGATGGGGCCAGTGAGTGATTTGTTAACCAATTTTCGTTGGATTTGCCTTTGCTGTCACAATTACGGTTATTTCATAATGTCTGTCCTAGTAACGCGATCTTAGTTAACATATTCTAATAATAGATGCTTATGACGTCATCACTTTTTAACGACTTGAAAGATAATCAGTCCTTTGGTCATTCGAGTGTTTTGAGTGGAATGCAGCGACAAAATATTTTTGAAACCGCTGACAAAAGCTATAAATCGTTTGAAATACAATTGAACCTTGTTAGGTCGTACTCCGGACAACTCGGACTTTCCCTAGATCGTACTGGTTCAAAGTTCCCATTGAATATTCCTACCTTACTCCAGCCAAACGTCGTACCTGGCATAAGTCGGACATTCGCGAAGTCGTGCCATTTCCTTGTCCCTATTGAAAATCCGACTTAAAAGGGTTTCAATTGTATTACTATTTATAAACAATGTAAATCAAGGAGGGGATGCAGTTGTCATATTCTACCTATTTAAATTGGCTTTTTTTCTTAGTTTGTTGCCTTTTATTGTTCCTTTCTCATGTGAGTGATAACAGATCCTGCTCTTATCGCACTTGTTAGCGGGAGTATTTATTAAGAAAAGTCCTCAAAGTAAACAATACGTGTATAATTAATTTAATAAAGTTAGTTATCATAGATTCACATTTTGGTAAGAACCGCCAACGATATAACTATTTTTCGCCGTCTTAAAATTAGGAAAAGTAAAAATGTGATTAAGAATGTTAATTCACACTGCTTATACATATTGTTTATTTCCAGAACTTGTATCTTGATCCAGCAATAAAGATATTACACAAAAATTTCACGTTTGCTTGTTCACATGAGTGACAAATATGATAAAATGACTGCAAGAGTTTTTCAGTAAAATGCTACCTTGCAGAAATTTGTGTGGTAATCGTTTTATGCCCGTGTAAATTGTTCTAAATCGTATATGTTGTCATTTAAAACCCACGTCTTCAATTGTCTGTGGATGCTTGCAAAAAGATACTATTAGTTGTATAATGTTATATTGATAAAATGTTCTGTTATAGTTAAGCAATATTAGATAGGATCTAGGCCTATTTTTTTCTGCTTCTCCTCAATCGGCCGCCCTGGTGCCTTGGCATTAACAAGGGGCAATTCTTTGCTGTGTGACATACTTTGTTGTTCAAGAAAGTTATAACCGCCAGCAATTGAAGTTGTCCCTTGCACAGAGAATCATTTTATCGTTTACTTGTTGCTTTTCAGCTGAAAAGGAGTAAGATCGTTTTTTCTTCAATGACTCTACGTTATCTAGACATAAAATTCGAACCATTAATTCGAACCAATCTTTGGACTGTGAGCTACATTGTCAAACCAGAATACATTGTCAAACATTCTTTCTGTTTCAAGTTCGCATTTGATGAGCAAACGGGATCAATATATCTTCATATCATAAACACGATGGCTCTATTCTGTTACCATTTTTCCAAACGTACACAAAATATAGTGAATGTTGTCGATTTTACATCACTTACTTAATAAAGACAACTAACATCTAACTTCATAGTTGTCACAAAACAACTCGATAGAAGGAGATATCTGAGTGCAACGAGAAAAAACTAAGGAAAGATGAGAGAAACTTAGAGCATCACAAACCTAAAAGCGAGTTTTCCAATATCTTTTTCAAACGTGGGACAAGCGTGTCAGGCATAGTTATATTCCTCGCACCGTATGTAAAAGAAGGCGCCTGAAGCTTCATCATGCAGCGGGTGCAGAAGGGCACTTAGGGATGCGAAAATTTACCTTTGAAAAAGGTCAGGAATCGTCGTTTAGCAACAATTCCCATTCCATGCGCACAGTATTTTGATATTATATGGACTTTCACTCTAAAGTAACATCAACCTACAGAATCTAAACAACTCAATCCTAATGTCTAGATAGATGAAAATTCGATTTACCCATGATGCTTAGTGTCGTTCGAAACAGAAAGGCATCAAACATAGCAAGCAGGGGATGAGCTAATCAAGCCAATCAAATTGTAGTAATAGCTGTAGAGATCATCAAACATGTCCTTTTTCTTTCGTCAGTTTTCAAGTGTCCTTTCAGAACAAAAACTTTTTACTGGTATATGCTGCTTATAAGTTACTGTTCATTTATTCTCTAAGAAAAAACATCAAGTGACAGAAATCGCACCCAATTGTTTTCTTTAACAATTGCCTGCGACAGGCATCACTTAGATGGTTATTTTTTTATCATTTTTTTCTTTGCAAAGTTTTCTTAGATTTTCATCGCTAGATAACACTGTCCTGGTTTATTTGGAATCTGCAATATGAATCAACGATGATGTTTGAATTTTCAGTAATCTGAATTGCGTTTTCTGGTGATGCATCATAAGGTATTGCTTCATATCTCAAAATGCTTCAATAGTCCCAAAATATTTACGACGCTGGTTACTGCGAGATGAAACTTTAACAGTGCGATTCTCCTGTGTTGTGCAGAACATTTTGAGACTATTTGTTGTCATTGTTTGTCGAAACAAGGACTTGATTCTCCTCCATTGCCTGTATCTTCTTTCCGTGCTGCTCCAAATGACACGGTTGTACGTACAGATCCTTTTTAGAAGCCAATGGAACTGCGGTGTACACCCTCGGGCTACACATTTGTAATCTCACCGTTTGTTAAAATGTTGTTGAATCTTTGGACTGGTACATCTGATTCTTTGTTAAAAAGTTTAATGTATATTGGAAGCTCCTGGAGCTCATTTTCATTGCCAGACTTCAATCTTTTTCGTCGATAATTTCTTACGACGTTCTTTGTGTTCGCTGCATTTCTCCTCTTTCGAAGTAAACTCGGTCATCTTTTGTTTCATGGGTTGCTTTACTATACACTGCAGCATCTTATGCTTCTCTTGATAAGAAGGGACATCTGTTGTCTGATTCAAGAGCTTCTGCTTTATCATCAATGACTGTGACGACATCTTCTCTGGCCCTTTCTTCAAAGGTATCGAGGTTTTTCCTTTCATCTTTGTAAAAGCCAGAAGTTGAGATTTGACCTTCTTCTTGGGCACAGTGGCGTCGCCATGGGGTGGACTGGGGTGGACATGCCCACCCTAGCCCTCCCAAAAGTCGATTTTCTAATTTGTCGAAATCCGTTAAAAAATCTTGGGGGGGGGGAAGGGGAGTGTTGGGTTGATCAGTCACCATTGCAATAAATGCTGCTTGAGAAAGTTGCTTGTCCAAATATTTCAAAATAGATCAATCATGCCAAAAAGGATTTTCTAAAAGGCTGCAGGGAGAGGAAGAGGAAATTTGTTTTTGTCCACCCCAGTTTTTCAAGCTGGCGATGCCACTGCTTGGGCAACCTGAACTAGTTTCTTTGCTGTTTTTCTCCGATTTCTTTCAGCATGTGGCGGATGAATAAGAAGGAGGATGAGAGCATTAAGACTTCATTGGAGTACATTTATCATTATCAAGCTTTGAGGTTAGAGAACGGGCACTATGGACACATTGTCGTTACTTGCTTTTTGTAAACGCTGCAAGCAGCCAGAGTGAATCACACCCAAACAGTCACTTCAAGACAGACACAAAGCTCCTAAGGAGATTTGGTGCCTTAAAAATTTTATCGAAATCTTGCATTCAGTAAGTTGCACAGAATACTTTTACTTCATAGATAACCTTTTTCAAACCAACTTGTTAGAAAAAAGCGGAAACTTTTTTTTGAATTTTACGAAGCAGCGTCTGTAGGAGAGGAAGGTATATCGATAATTAACTGAAAGTTGAGAACGCAGCTAGCATAGTTTTAAAATAAAAAAGGCAGTATATTATATCTTGGAGGTATCGGAGTAATTTTCTAAACACAAAAAGGCTTAAAAAATCTAATGTTATCATAGATGTTATCATATACCTTTTGATGTATAATTTATAGTACGCAATATTCTTTCCCACATGACTATAAACAGAACAAATTCGAAACTTTCCATCTTTTCTTAAAGGCCTTTGCACCATCTCTTTCCTTATTATTTTCTGACGTGAGAATCATACGAGTTAAAACTTTCATTATGTGGGGATATTATGTAGGGAAGCCTAATTGACATATGCATTATCTTATATCATTTTTGTGTTTGCTCACAAATCATATCCTATCCTGCGCCCATATTAATGTTGCTGCGAATGCTATTAAGAAATATTTAGTAGTGGCAGACTGAAATCTCTCCAGCATGATCATAAATGTTGAAGAGAAATCATAAACGAGAATTAATTTATTCAAATAGCTTTGCAAATCGATTTTCAATTTTTTACAACACGGAAATGTTGACATTCCTCTTGCTTATAGGTAATTATATCTCAGCAAGCAATTTTTTGAAAAGGGAACTTTGCTGTCCCTGTTATGCCCCCGCACCTGCTGTCCTTGAGGCTCCAGAGTCCCTGATCTTTTTAATCTATGCCCAAAAATACATTAGAAAATTTCGGTGTCGTAAATTCTCCGCTCGGATGAGAATAGCCCTCCCCCCTCCAGCCTCTGGACTAAAGCGCTTTTCGGCATTTGCAAGGTCAAGGACCTTAAACTGTAATTCACGTTCATGTAACCCAACTGCTACTGCTACCCTTAATGCTTTCCCAAGGCCTGAGGCGCATTTCGGGCTTAAACGAAGATGCTATCGAAGCAGGACAGGAACTTTAGGCGAGAGGAGCTCTGGTATATTGCAAATCAAATTTTATTTTATCAAAATTTTCTAAAATTCAATGCAAAAAAGGCCATCAGTTCATGAATGCTAAAAAGTTTTTGGCATGTCCCCTACACCAAACAATATATTTTTACCCAATTCTGAGTACCTTGATCATTCTTATCACAGATATATCGGAGTATCCCCCTCTCTTGGCAAGAAGCCTTCTCTTGGCAAACCTTGTAGTCCTTGAAAACCAATATCTATCTCAGTGCAAAATCAAGCAAGCAAAAAATGTTGCTATCTTTATGCAAGGATCACTCTCAAATTCTGTGAAGTGTGTCAAGTCGTTATTCCATACTTCGAAGGATTTTTGGTTTCTTGAAAACACTTTTTAAATATTCCTAGTTTCATCCAGCAACAATTAGAGAATTTTATGATTCACAATATCATTTTAGGCGCACTGATAGAACTTTGTCTTAATCCGTGAGTTTGACTGTATTTTGTCATAAATCGACAAATTTAATAGGAGAGAAAACGTCATCATAAATTTTCGATTGACTTCTTGCCACGTTGGCTGTGTTGTCTAGGTCTTATCCATTTTTATTTCTTTTTAAAGTGCACCAGTTTACTTTTCTTTATGAAAGAAACAATTCGGTTATATGTCATATTTTCTTCCTGATGTTGGTTACAGTGCAGAATGGGTTTCAAAATATTTCCAAGAAATCACAGAGCGGCCTCAGTCTGATAACGAAGTTTCGATTTGATAAAATCATTAAAATCTGTAAACGCTTCGAAGGAGGAACAACAACTGTTCAAAAACAGATCGAGATGGAAGTGGCAAAGAAAAATTGTCGCTACCAAAGCTTTTACCTGCTGGCTAACAGTTTGGCTTCTATGAAAAATGTTGATACCAATAAGGTAACTTATTTCTTTGTTTGATTTCTCTTTATTGTCACTTGAGGCTTCAAGAAACTGGGCCTTTTAAGTTATGCTGAGATAGGCCTAGGCGTGTTCGGGATAAGAAAACGGCCTTATAGCGGCAGATGGCTTCTATTTGCATTTAGCATAAATTCAGACTGTAAATAAATTAATTTTTTATAGAGTCTTTCGATTTAAATGACATTTCCCAATGACTTCAAGCAGAAGGGTTAACTGTTATTGTGTATGTATCATCGATTTTGCAACTCGCTATCTACAGACCAGTATCGATTTCATGGCAGCTGCACTCCCGAGAAGTGTTTGTTAAATTACACTCTTGCACACCGAAAGATGGGCGTGGTTTGGGCTTGGTTTTTGGTGTTGCTCAAATAAAAAAGTTTTTCAGATATGGCAGAATGACTTTCGAAATTTGTTCCCAGCTAAGATTGGAAAAAAATGTGTGATTCTAAAATGGGTGATCCTCTTGAAATCAGGGCTGCCAAGAAGTTTCAGGCCACTGTTTACAAGTAGTTTCAGACCCCGGATAGCAGAGCAAACCGTCTCTGTTACACAGTGATAGTGTGAAGAGAAGGGCAAACCACAACAGTTTTGTCAATGTTCCAGACTTGCATGGGACAGTGTAAACATGTTGTAAACAAGGCCCCTTGCGAGCAAAGGAAGCAGGAAATTTTTTCTTACCCTCTTTTAAAATCAGAAAATTTTTGCAGTCATTTTGTTTAAACCGTTTTACCTTTTTATTAGACTTTTTAGGCCCCAAACTAAAGTATTGGGTCAAGTGTGCACACTTATCACAAATGCACTCTTGCACTCCCGGTTAATAGCTTGTGCACTCCCGAGATCTCGTAGAAAACTGCCATGAAATCTAGACCCATCTACAGAACTTTCGAAAAAATGGACTTCATTTTGAAATCTTGATCTCAAAATTAGTTTATGCTTTAAGCTTCATGTCGTTTGGACTGTGAGTTACTTCGATTTGAATATTCAGATATTTCTTCAGATTTGGCCGGAATTTGCTGCACCCATGAAAAAGTCTCACTACAGCAACAAATTCCATTGAAATGTATAGGAAGACCAAATTTTGAAAGGGGGGGGGGGGTGTAATTTACTGCCTGACAGTCCAAACATAATGAAATTTTCAGCGCAGAAGACTAATTTCAACATGAAGATTTCAATTTTATGATCCATTTTGGCAAACGTGAAGATAAAGATTTGACTGGAACAGATATTAAATGTTTTCAAACTGAACAAACTTCAAATATATAAGGAAAAGCAAACATGGATATGTTTAATTTCATGATATTAGTCTTGGTCATTAAACACTGCAAATCTTGATATATTTGATCAAGCAATGTGGTAATCTAATTCTCATTTGATGTCAAAAAGGCCTGTTCTTAATACCTCAAGAAACCTACAAGTTTGTAGTCCAGTTTTGTTATTATAGATTTATCCATATACTCTCTTGGCTTCATATAGCCATGTTGAGATCAGGCCCTGCAAGGAGAGGTGCTCAAGCTCGATCAAACACCTCTGCAGATGCCTAGAAAGTTCTAGGAGCTTGATTGATTGAGCACCAAAATTTGTTAATAACCATATTTGATGATGTTTAATCAAGCGCCTAGGTGCACAGTTTGTCAAGTGCCTGCTTTTTGCTCTACACAAAGCCTGGTTGAGACACTCTGCATTGAAAATCATATTTATTGAGATTCTTGATAGGTTGTTTTCTCCCAAGCTGGAAAACTTGCATATGTTTCAACTATGCTGGATTTCTCATGCTCACAGCTGACCTTAGTCATGTGTATTATACCTGAATTATGTAGACACAAGCCACATAACATGCAGCTCATATGCCTTCTCTCACAGGTTGTAGCTAATAGTGTGATGTTAGTCGCAGCTACACATAACTATCTTATATCTTAAATCTTAACTGTTTTCCAACCTGGTTGTTTTCAAGGTTGGGAAATTGCAATTACTTGCAATTACACACAAATTTAGGATCTATTAATTTTAGTGGTATTTCTTGTCCTTGTTTTGATGTTTCTGTTTTTAAATGATTTCTCGTTCTACTTATTTTTGTTATATTTTTGTTCCTTGTATTTTTCTTGACTGATGCTAAAATTTGATAATGTTTTACCCTTTATAGCTGAACAGGTTATACAACATTTGCCCAGCACTACCATCACACTTTACTGAGATATTTCAAGTTACGGCAAGAGACAGAGATGCCATCCTTGCAGTATGTTGTTACCTCTGCAAAACCACTCTTGAACCTGACCAGCGATTTTTGCAATATTTGCAAAATGTTCTGAAGAATCTCAGAGGATGTAAATGGCACTTTAAACCCAACTTAGACAGCATGGAGGTGTTCCATCAAATTTTTACATTTACTACAAAGGTTTCAATGACATTATCATACATTGCTTGCAAATATCCAGATTGTGCATCTGAGATTATAAGTACTGAAACAACTATTCTAAAAGAATTACTTGAAGAAATGGTTACATTTCCCGATGTCAGTGAAAGCATGCAAGGTTTGTTACTAGAAAAGACCATCATGTTTTATCAGAAGCAATACATATTCATATAAAATCTCTCATATTTTTGTCGTTTGCTAAAACATGACTAGTAAAGCAGGAATTCCATTAGGCAGAGATCCCACCACATAAAGCCTTACTACAGAAAAGAGCATAAACGCTCATATGTGAAAATATTTTCCTGGCCAAGCTGGAACATAGATTTCTTTTTCACATACACAATCTACACTTGTTATTTAGAATGGCTTGTTAGTTGTCCTGACAAGCAGAAAAATGTCTCCATGTAATGTCGATGATAATTTCCCTGGGAATATAAGGCCATATTAGGCTCTTAGTGAATTTATTAAACTATGACTTTGAAACAAGCAGTGAAATTTGCCAGAGAATCATTCAGCTTAACTATCTTTCCAGTTGCTTTCATAAGAAATCATTCACCAAGCTATTTTGGAATGCTAAATGGATTTCTTTACACTGTGGGCTTGAATGAGATATGTGAATTTCTTCGATGTGATGGTAACCCATTGAGCAGACAGTATTTCCATTATGGGAATGACACAACCAACATAATGGCTGTTTACCTAGAAGAGGACAATCTAGTGAAAATTTTTCAGTTGGTAGGTTGAAATTTATTTGTTTTTAATTTTTTCAAACAAACTTGTTTAAGATTACAGTTAACAAGATGCAAGTTTTCAAGTCATTTAAAAGAACAATTTTGTTAATTAATGTAGCACCAGAAGACAAGCTTGGTAGTTATTTTTCCCTATTTCTGACAACATTATTCAGGCCTGGCCCTAAGACTTTTAACAGGGGAGCAGTAAACAGCTCTCCTAGTAGTATTCAGGTGAGCTATAAGAATAGAAACAAAGGAAAAATTGATTTCAAGGAGAGAAAATTTGCTTTTTAGAACAATTTAGGAGAGCAATCTCTAGCTCTCCTCCAGCATTTGAGGAGAGCCTGGAGGGGAGCAAGAGCTATGGCTCTCCTCAAATGGCCAGGCCTGATTTTTTCTGATATGTAACTCTTCTTTCCTTATTTAATTGCTCAAAAATAAAAATCAGTAGTGGATTTTCACTTTAATATTTATGTATTTGAACCTGTTTTTTTCCTTGCTCAGCCCTCCCTTCTAGTATGTTAGGTGTATTCAATTTTATATGCTCTTTTGGTTGATAGGCCAAGGAAATATGCAAAGAAAACCTCATAACACAAATTTCAAATCGTGCAGTTGAACTTTCTGAGGTGAGGGTTTTTACAAGGCTATTTCATCTTGCATTTTTGTTCAGTAGAAAGGTTATATGTTTTTATTGATGATCTGGGAATTTGATTTTACCTGTTATAGATCAGCATGTAGTGATTCTGTTTTTTCTAATGAAAATTATGAGAGAATTGAGTGAGACTCTCACAACCGAATGCAGCATGGTGCCTATTATGATTTGGTATCAACCAAAAGGCAAAGGGGAAGGGTTCTATAGGTATCGTGTAGATGCTTGAAAGCAAAAAGGCAAGGGGGGAAGTAAATAATTTTTAAAAAAAGTTTAAGAAAACCAAACAGGCAGCGAATGTTGATATTTGCAACAAGTCAATTTTTAGCCAAAGGACACATGCTTGTGGCAAATCATGGGCCAACCTGTGTTGAAAAAGGGCCTAGTTTGTATGTTAAAATGCCTGTGATGCTCTTGAGCATTTTTGCATTCAAATTATTAACGAAAAGCCCCTCGTGCTTTCTTCTGTTTGCTTGATTGCAGATTTTATCGAGTAAGGAGCTCACTATGAAAAATTTCATTTGTAACCCTGCACATGAAATTATTTTACAGTCGTTTTTTTTGTTGAGGCATGGTTGCAAACTTAGTGAACTGTTTTTCAGGATGGATTTATATCAGGAGACGAAAAGTCACAGTGGAAATGTGTTGTGTTACTTAGCATTTTAAACATGTTGAGGCATATAGTTCAAAAGTGCAGTGAAAGTGAGTAAAATTTTTTTTAACAACTTCTAGTTTTACATAAGAAATTAGGGCGGTTCAGCAAGGGACCAGAATTAGCTGGGCGATTTATACCTGAAGCAAAAAAGAATAATTGAAAGTTATTGAATTCTTTGGTCCTTATGTTTATAATGTTGTTTGTTTGTAGTAATGCTATTGTTTTTGACGTTTTGTTGGAATTTCATTATTTTGTAAGGAATCGTACAGGCTGAGAGTAGTTGAGTATCATTACTATGCCCAGCCAATAATGTATGCACGCATAAATTTCTTCTAGGATTTTGATGTCTCTTAGTAGTATGTTGTAATCGCATCTCCCTTTATGGCAATTATTGTTCCCAAAAAATAGCTATGTTGATTTAGAAACCAGTTAGAGCTGATGGCATTAGGCTTAAGCTCTTAGTCCGTCCTGTTCTACACACCAAAATTTGATTAAAAAACCATGTGGACATTTTAACCAAAACCTCTTTTTAATTTGCGCGTTCTCTTTCTTCGTTTCTCTTTATTTGTAAGTACTTTATACAAATAACAAGTCTGTATTTTATATTTCGAAGGAATTTCAAAGAGTTTACAGCAGCAAATTAATGTTTGGTCGAGAGAAATGTTTATGATATGCAAAACGATGTTGCACAAGCTTCCAGCCTCGGAACGTGCATTGTTGCTTGATACAGTGGTGCATACTGTCGTATGTTGTGTTGATCTTATTGTCACAACAACAGGCGATGACAATGGTAACGATTTTGTGGTATTGTCCATTTCACTCGGCATTTTTGGCAAATTCTGCAAATATTTAACAACCTTTTTTTATTTGATGCATAATACTGTGAAATCATGACCTTTTGAAAAGCAAATCAAATTTGTTAATTAAAGGGCAGGTAATTCATAAGACAATATTTAATTGTTAGTTTACAATATTTGGTAACAGCAGTAACCTTTAAAACTTTCACAAATATTCCGTCAACTTTCTTTTTCCATCATGACCTTTTGAAAAGCAAATCAAATTTGTGTGTAAATTAAAGGGCAGGTAATTCATAAGACAATATTTAATTGTTAGTTTACAATATTTGGTAACAGCAGTAACCTTTAAAACTTTCACAAATATTCCGTCAACTTTCTTTTTCCATCATGACCTTTTGAAAAGCAAATCAAATTTGTGTGTAAATTAAAGGGCAGGTAATTCATAAGACAATATTTAATTGTTAGTTTACAATATTTGGTAACAGCAGTAACCTTTAAAACTTTCACAAATATTCCGTCAACTTTCTTTTTCCATCATGACCTTTTGAAAAGCAAATCAAATTTGTGTGTAAATTAAAGGGCAGGTAATTCATAAGACAATATTTAATTGTTAGTTTACAATATTTGGTAACAGCAGTAACCTTTAAAACTTTCACAAATATTCCGTCAACTTTCTTTTTCCATCATGACCTTTTGAAAAGCAAATCAAATTTGTGTGTAAATTAAAGGGCAGGTAATTCATAAGACAATATTTAATTGTTAGTTTACAATATTTGGTAACAGCAGTAACCTTTAAAACTTTCACAAATATTCCGTCAACTTTCTTTTTCCATCATGACCTTTTGAAAAGCAAATCAAATTTGTGTGTAAATTAAAGGGCAGGTAATTCATAAGACAATATTTAATTGTTAGTTTACAATATTTGGTAACAGCAGTAACCTTTAAAACTTTCACAAATATTCCGTCAACTTTCTTTTTCCATCACCAATTTTTTTGTCCATCACTAACCTCGTTTGTGAGCTAATTCTCAGAAATTAATCAAAGATCCCAACGGTTTTCAAGAAACGGAAATGTCTAATTTCAGGGGCTGACGAAACTTGCAGATTAGTCAAAGACCATCTTCTGTCTGCTAAAGATGAACCTAACTACATGCTACACTTAATTCCGCTTATCAGATGTTGCCTAGACAGTGTTGGAACTTTAGCCGAAAAATTTCCCTATTCTTCTAGGTAAGAGGTTTTTACATTAATTTATTAAAAAACAGTTTTCGTTTGTAAAAGTATAATCAATCATATCGCTTTCGGTCCTAAAATGTAAATTGTTCATTTAGATTTCAAAACTTTTTCTTAGCTTCAGTATTTAGGTTGTTCCAAAGTTTAGCAACCCTAAACGAAAAGACTTTAAACTGCTTAGATATCGCTATCTCCTTTTGGGGAGGAATTCATTTTCGGTTTCATTCCAAGAGATATATATGTCGCAGTTTGTGGTAGGGTGATTTTTAGAAGTATTACTCTCCGTGATGTGCAGTTATTCAATTGGCTACGTGGAGGGGACAATTACCTTTGTACAAAATGCAGTTGTCATATGGTACCAAGAAAAAAATTATGTTCTAATGTGTACTATTTTCCAAAGGTACCAAATGGTTTTCAATGATGTCGTTGCCTAAAATGGCAAGAAGCCAACAACCACTATTTCGGCTTCTAGCAATTTTTGGGGTGAATGCTAGCCAATTTTGGAGATCACCCCTTACTGCTTTTTCTTGAAAAGAAGCTTGTTGTTCCCTTTTTCGGGCAAGGCCTATACTAAGCCCCCCTAAACGTTTAGCCTCCGCTACGCCCATTATGGAACATTTAGATCTGACCATTGTCAAGTGCCATTAAATTTCCAATTCTAGTTATGTCCTTGAAACGCTGCGAAACTTCATCCTGAAGCCAGCCTTGGTGCTGCGATTGTTATCACAAGGAAAGAAAGGGAAACCTGGTGATGCTGCACCAGTTATCATAAGGGTCCAGCAGGATGACACAGAAAAAGGCAATGATGCAGTTACACAAAGTGAACAATTGGTGATATATGCGTTGAAAAATGCCGTCAGGTAAGGATTTAACCATTAAATTTTGCTATTTTTTTCATCTGTTCAAACAACAATCAAAACGGCGGTAAACAGCAATCTTTTAACTTCTTATGAAATATTTTGGTGTAAAGAACAGGACGGTATGAAGTTGCAACTCCGAGTGTCACGCTTGATGCTATAAGCCCATCAACCGACAATACGTGCAACTTAGAGCCGTCCTGCACTACACACCCAAACTATGTGTTTCATTATAGTCTCTTTCTGCTCTAAAATATATCTTTATGTCCGAACCAAGCCTATTGAAATTGATAAATGGTACAGTTTGAAATATTTGTTGGAAAGCGCCGCTTTAAATAGAAACTTTAATATGAGGACACTGACAGACAAAATGCGTTCGTTTCAAAGAGAGAAATCCAGCGTGAAAAAACTAAAAATTTAAACGGAAAACATACAGGGAACTTCAAAACTAAGCCACATTTGACAAGGAGCTTTTCGGTTATTTGACTATGCCATGTTTTTTTTAATGCAGAAGGTTTCAAGGCGATCAGCAAGTTAAAAACAAGTGATTTTTTATATTAAAGATATTAATTATTGGAAAATGATACATAATAAAGATCTTGATAAAGTAAAGCTATTTATTTGGTTTGATTTTTAAATTTAATTAGAGCATTAAAAGCTGGCTTTGAAGTAGACAGCAGCGGCGTTGAAGCTTTTATTGCGTCCGTGGCCAATCGCCTGTACTCAAGTGATCGAGAGGACACCGCATCGAATCTGCGCCAAGTCAACGCCATCATTTCTCTTGGGTACGTTGCCATTGAACTGAGAGACGTCGAGGGTATTCTGGAATCAGTCTTGTCAATTTTCCAGCAAAAATTCTGCAGGCCTCCTTCACAGCTTGATGCGAAGATAATCGATCAGTTTGCGTCCCTAATCTTGACTGGGCATGTAAGTAGAAAGTCCTTGTTTTCGTTTATATAAAATTGTTAAATATCTTTTATTTGTGCTGGTACAGCCATTTTTAGCTTATTGCAAAGCTTTTTTACCTATTTACAGTGTGTAGTCATTTCAAATATTTCATGCTTAGTAAGTACGAGTTAAAAAAATAATATAATGTATTTTGTTTCCAATCTGATCTTAATAATCAGCTTTACACGTAGTGGAATAAAAATAACGCTTAGGCCGAAAAGATCTGAAATCCTAAATGTTTATGAAAAACTAAGCGCAAGTCAATGAGAAATATGATTTAACAATAATGTAACAATAACGTTTATTTTAATGACATAGAGCTGTCTTGCATCTTATGCTCACAATTTATACCTGCAAAATTATCAAGTCATTCATTTCAGAATGAACAATATGTGCCTATTCAAAACTTGATGCTTGTTTAAGAGGCTTTTTTGGAACTTGTTTTTTTTAGGAGAGATGCTTTCAACCGATCATGAACATCTTGATCAAAGTGGCTGTAGAGTCAAGCACAAAGTCGTACGCAGACGGAAACAAGGAACAAGCCCCACACTCATACCGGTATACCGCCTGGCCTAAATTTTATCCTACGCATGTGCTTAGGCCATATCAACTGCTGTTAGAGCTCTTGAAGACTTAGGCTTGACATATATGTGTATGTCAAACTGAAAGTTGCAACTAGAAATAGAAAACCTCTAGGCTATTCAGATCTTTCGTTTGAAAATTCTGCTGTGAATCTTGTATTGTGGTGTTTTCAACCAACGATGCAATCATTTGCAATTAATGAAGGAGAACAGTGCCAGTTGCGAAGTTTTAAATATCAAATGTTTTTTTAAATGAACTTGAATCACCTAAGTTGAGGGAATCATCTTGTTCAAATTTCTCATATGTTTTGTGCTTGTATTGTAGGCTATCAAACGAAATAAAGTTTGAAAGCTAAAAATCTGACCGCAAATTTCGTTCTTGGTGAAACTTTTGAGCTTCAGGCGCAACCACGGCCAAATCCCTCATAAAAAGTTTTACTTTATGTCGTTGTAAAATCAGCATCGCAGCAAATAGCATGATAACAATTATTTGTAGGTTTAATTTTGGTCCTTGATCCGAATCTGAAGTAAATAATGTTGTACAAAGATACTTGAAGTATTTGTTACTCAAAACAGTGTTATATATCCTTAAAAACAGATATTATTCGTTTGTTTGATAGTTATTCTAAAACGTTTAATGCGATTGGTTTATTTTTGGATTGTTTCAACCATCTCTAGACATTGCTCGTTGGCAGTAATGAAAGCCCTCGAGAGAATAGCCAACGATGTTTCCAAGACTGGTTTTCAAAGGGAGTTTCTACTTCACATGTTGGAAATGTTTGTACAAATGGGACTGCAAATTCGACAGCTGAGTGAAAAGGGACATCGGAAGGTATTAGCTTAATATGGCGTTTCTTGAAGTTGTAAGTTTTGATGAAATTGTCATCTAGAATCTACAACGATTGGTTACACTTAAGCCCATCACTAGCTATTGTGCGCAAGAGGGGTGTCCAGACCCCATTTACCGACAAAGTAGGTGAGTTGAGTCATTCATTATTTGCCGACAAGTTCGAAAATTGGCCGACGAAGCACCCCTAGATATCTACTCTTTTTTGAATAGAATTTTTTTCTCGAAAATTGGTTTTCAACTCCTCAGTAGCGGCCTCAGTGACATCCCCTCTTTTAATTCCTCGAAGAGTTTTCCTAAGATTTAACGAAAATGTTTGGAACATTGTTTCAGCTGCAAGGAAACGATTTTTCTTTTTTCTGAAATTGGGAAATACGGATGGGATTTGAATTATGTAGTAAGACTTTATGTCACATGTCATGATGCTATCCTCGTTTTCGTTTGTTGATAGCATCTAGTCCTTTGTTCAAAATTCCAACAGCTTATATTCTCGTTGTGAGTCGCACTTTACTTCTTTCCGCTCATCGTTCTCACAACGTCTCGGAAGTAAACGGTACAATTATACTTATTTTGATTAACAGGGGAATAGGGTCATGTCATTGAATGGCCATGTCCGGCATTTCGTAAATGATTGCAAACCTATAAATTTGTTCCGTTAGCAAATACTTCGCCCCAATAATCAACTCTGCAGCTCTTTCAAGTTTTATGACTTTTATCACACCAAACCTCTGAAGATAAATTTATTTCTACTGCTGCAGTGAAGACATTAAAATAATTGATACGACGTCAAGACATTATTACGACGAAGAACGTCTCTTTAACATATCTAGATTTTATTCTCGTTGCAAAAGAGAGTGCTTGTTCGTTTCTGATTTTTTCAAATTCATCAATAGGCATCATCAATTGCTGGTAATCTTGGCGTACTCATCCCAATAATTGCTACTCATATGAAGAACCTTGAGCTGATAGTCGATCCAACCCCAAGAGAACTCAAACTGTTCAGAGATTTCTGGCTCTATGTCGTGCTAATGGGCTTTGGTGTTGATGGGTCCAGTATTTGGCCCCGTGAATGGTATGACGGAACTTGTCAAATCGCTGGAAAAGCGCCTGCTCTTCTAGGGGTAGGCCATCTGAGATCTGAGTTGCAGTACAATTTGGCACTTAAAAATGACCACATAGCACCTGTAAGTACTGTGTGGTGATTTTATTGATTTTCAGCAAGGGTACTTTTGTTTGTTCTACGTTGCAGTTTGCAGAGTATGCTTGATTTGAAAAAAATCCTAGGTTGGCCAACAACTCCGCACATCAGGTGTGGGTGCTCAAAAATCATACCAAAATGCCAGGTATGCCAATGTGCTGTGCCACCCAAGCGTGCCACTGTGCTGTGCCACTCAGGCGTGCCAAAACTAGCAATTTTCCAGATTTATGTATCTAGTTTCTAGGCGCGCCCTTATTGCTACCATGCATGTATTTTGGATGCGCTATCGTCATGCTCTGCATACTCAACCATCCTTGCATTTTTGTAAGGAACACACTTTATGAGAACATCGAGGCCGGGTTTTCAAGAAAATAAGAGCAACGTAAGACCATACCAAGGTCAAGATGAAAAATGTGTCAAAATATTTTAGAAATTTTCCTTCATGTTAGCAAAACAGAACAGATTTTATACGCGAATGAACTGTGCCACTAAGACTATCATGCAAAACAGTTATTTCGTGGTCTTAGAGACAGTTGATAGAATGTATTTGTAGAAAAATTATATTGAAATGACCACAAGGTTAAGAACACCCGAGCCTAAAATCATTCAAAAAAAAAACTAACCACAGCAAAGATTATCTGGTTATTTTAAAAAGGTGTAGTTTCGTATAACTGATGCCTTTGCTTAATTCCTAGGGCGAGCTACTGGAGATTCGACAGTCACTGCTAGACTCCCTTGGCAACAATCCAGAAGTGACTCCACTTATCAATAAACTCGATTTTGCTCAGTGCGCATTTCTTTGTTGCGTCTATCAGCTAGAAACCTTGCGAATCACTTCAAACACTTGGCGTGTGCAATTGTTTTTTCAATATCTAGAAGACAAAGCTGTTCAGAGGGACAAAATGGGTAAGATATACAACCCTTCCAGAATACTTGAAAAGCCAATATGTTCATGTTCAATATTTGACAACACTAGGATTTAGCCACTCTCTCCAAGTTCCTAAATTTGCCACTAAATGCTTTCCCCTTCCCTTGTACAGTGTGGACTCCTTTATAAAAAATGTTCATTCGTCCAATCTTGGTTTATTTCCACCAACAACCATGCAATATTAGGATTAAGCAGTACTTTAATGGGTCTGGGAAGAGGGGTTGGGAAGAAAGGGAACTTAATCACTGCGAGGATCTATTGTAGGTGTTCCAACAATTTTAGCATTTATCCGTAGCGTTTTTCTACAAATAGCAAAGACAGTTCTTTTCTGTTGTAGCAAGTCTTGAATTTTGTGACAGTGGTTTGACAGACATTTGTGTTAAGGGTGCATTGGAAAAATATTTCAGGGTGAATATATATTTCAAAATTTTTGACAAAACCCCCAATACTAAATAAGAGTATCAATAGGTCCAAATAGTACTGAACTTGTCTTTGCCCATTCTGCCGTTTTGCTCACTGGACTTTTGTGGATATGGGTCTTATGTTTTTCAAATTTCCTTCTAAAATGAGGCTTTTTGTACGTCTAATGGAACACTTTTTGATATAACAAATATCAGTGTGCAATATACATATTACGATGCTCACATTTTGTTTACTTTCTTATCTTCGGGTTTTTTTTAATTTCAGACATATGGAGATGTATTCGTCAGATCGGAGACTTGGTATTCAAGCGGTTCTTAGAACTGATATCGAAACGAGACTGTAGTCGCAAGCGAGACGAGGAACTTGAAGCTCACACTCAATTCTTATTGGTTAAGTTCAATCACGAGAACGGGTCGATCAGAAGGGTTGCCGATAGATTTTTGTCTGATATGGTAGATAGGTAGGCTTTGTATTTAATTATCAATCTGAGTATTTTTTTCAGATGTTAAGGCTGCTATTGCAGGAATAATGAGCCCTGAATTCCATCTGACGCCCTAACAAAGCCATTATAAGCCCTGAATTCGAACTTTTATACCAGAAGTGCTAACGCAAAAAGTACTAAAGATTTACAGAAAATTAAGAAGATCTTTCGAAAGAACATTCTACTAGTCTTTTACAGACAGTTTGTTTTGTTTTTTAACACTCTTCGATAAATATGCTACTATTGAAGCGCAGAGGTTGTTTTAATTGCCACTTTACTCTGAAAAAAAGCACATTAGCTAGTGGATTTTTATCTTTTTGTGTGAACAACTCTTTAATTAGGTATCTTGTTTTAAAGGTTTCCTTATCTACTCTGGAATGAAACTGTGATAAAAACAATGCTTGATTTACTGCACGTGCTGGACAAAGAGACAAGAAAGATGGTAAATAGTAAAACTTCTAAAGCATTCTAGGAAACTACAGTTTTGTGAAAAATTATTGTCCCTTTGGTTTTCTTAGATGAAGAAAAAAGTTCTGATAGATAGTTGATTTGTAAAAAATCTCTTTTTTTCTATTGATAAAAAGAATGATTCTAGTAACAATTTGATTGGTGAAAAGTTTTTGTCTTTTTCCTTTTCGTTGATAAAGGGGAAATGGTTGAAGTAGATTGTTGAGTTGCGAAAAATTCTTTTTTTTATGGTAATGAACAACTCCGAATTAATCACTTGAAGCCCCCTTCGATTATAGGCTAGACTAGGCAAAGAAGAATGACTGCACCCATGAGTTTCTTTGTTCAAAATCATTGAAGGTTTTGTCTTGATTTCGTACAAAATAAATCAGTTTGATCGTTGCCTTTTATTTGAATGCAATAATCCATTGATTTGTTGTCAATTACTTTCACTAGGGATCTGTCTTGGTCTCGTCTTCAATTTCTGTCCCGAGAACGAGTTACACATTAAATGTTTCACCAGACCCCGACAAACGAAAGCAAACTGTGCAAGATTTCGCCAACAGATGCAATGGTATTCTTCAAGAAGCGCTGAAATGGGCTCCTGGGGTGACAAGGTCTCTACTTCATGTAAGGCACCGTTAGATTTAGTCTTGGGTTTTGATTAGAGTCGATAATAATCATAATCATAAACTTTTTGACTTGGTTTCCTTCTAGTAAGCGATCATTAATAAAAAACCAATTGTATTAATTCTTCACTGTTTAAACTGATTAAAAATCGAATAAGATTGTATTATATTGAATAGAATGCAAAGAAGTGTTAGCCGTTTTTATGTGGGAGGAGTGTTTCTCATATTTTTGTCTTTAGATGATTTAAAGTTTATAAGTCTTGAAATTTCATTTTTAGCAATATTTGGTAGAACAAACGTGTATGCTGGGATCGAGGCATTACGGAATCGAGATTGCCACTGAAAATGTAACAGCATTTGAAAGGCAGCAAGGTATGAGTGATTCGACGAGCACTGTCCCCCTGACCGGTCGCACTGCACCACAAATAGTTGCTGACAATAGAGCCGAATCGGCAAGCTTCATTGCTGGGCTGAAATGTAAAAGCCAATTTGCTGGGCAGGTAAACATACGCGTTGCTTCTTAAATGCGAAACTGCATGCATTCAGCAATCTTTCATTAATTCACTAGTGCCTGTTGTATTGCATTTGTGTATGAGTTGTGGGCTCAAGCCCAGGCTTTTTCTTGGATTTGGACGCTCTCCCTCTCTTCATCATACAGCAAATGGACTTATACAATAGACCTCCCCTACGCCCCTTCTTCCCTACGCCCCTCCTCTCCTACGCCCCTTCTTCCCTACGCCCCTTCTTCCCTACGCCCCTTCTTCCCTACGCCCCTTTTTCCCTACGCCCCTTCTTCCCTACGCCGCTTCTCCCCTACGCCCCTCCTCTCCTACGCCCCTACGCCCCTCCTCCCCTACGCCCCTCCTCCCCTACGCCCCTCCTCCCCTACGCCCCTCCTCCCCACGCCCCTCCTCCCTACGCCCCTCCTCCCTACGCCCCTCCTCTCCTACACCCGCTACGCCCCTCCTCTCCTACGGCCCCTACGCCTCCTCTCTAAATCGCCACTACGCCCTCTCCTACGCCCTCCTCTCCTACACCCTACGCCCCTCCTCTCCTAGCCTACGCCCTACGCCCTCCTCTCCTACACCTCGCCCCTCCTCTCCTACACCCTACCCCTCCTCTCCTACCGCCTACGGCCCCTCCTCCCTACGCCCCTCCTCTCCTACACCCCTACGCCCCTCCTCTCCTACGCCCCACGCCCCTCCTCCCCTACGCCCCTCCTCTCCTACACCCCTACGCCCCTCCTCTCCTACACCCCTACGCCCGTAACGTGTACTGAACACATCTTTTGCTTAAATACTTCCTCGTCGAAATGATCATAATGTTTAACCGTCGCTTTCATCTCGTTTTAAAAAACAGATTGATGGCCTACACCATTTTAAAAATGGATACACCTCCTCCAATGATATATCGATATCACAGGCATTAACAGAGCAATTATCAGCGATTAAAGAAGTCAATGAAGATTTTGTATCCACTATGTACAGAAGTTGTGCGTTCTTGGCTTCTAGCAAGGGTCTGTACTTTAAGTAAAGTTTCTCTGAACTTATTGCCCAAAACAACCAGAGACGAAGCTTTAAGTAGCTTGCTGTTTGTTAATAATTCAACTGTATACTTCAATGTGACCCTAATTTTTGTAACTTCTCTGTGAAAAGGCCTTGAAATTATATGGATTTTTAGGATGGTTCTATCAAAGTAAAAAGCAAAACCAAGTTATATCATATAGTTTTTTGTAGCCATCATTTTGACGAATAGGCCATAAGATAGAGGTTTTTGAAAAAGCTCTATTACAGTAGAAAACATAATTAAGATACGAAACTATGTCACGAAAAGCTACGATCAAGGACAGGAGTGCAATGATGAGTCATCAAAATAACACAAGCATATGTGTTTTCAATATATTAATGGGAAGTTTGTTTCTGTCGTTGTGTTTGCGCCCTTTCATCGCACTCATTGCCTTACGCTGGACTTCAACTGCCAATTAAACCAATGCAGTGAGCTAGTAGGCACCAGTTTAGATATTGTAAATTTCCTTTTTCCATACATACCCTATCTTTTACTCATTAAGTTATTTTATTCTTAGGTGGCTTTACCATGTTTCCCTTAGGTTAGGAACAGACGGGAGCGTTGAAATAAACAGGGGTTATTGTCAAGTCGATAATTTAATACGCAAAGGGTTTTAATAGAAGGGGTCTAATGCACCAGTCTTGTTGAAAGTGATTGTAAGGACACTTTGAACTTAAACTTTTTAGTCGAACGTTTTCGTCGGCGGAACAGGAGCACAGTCTTTACAAATATCGAAAAAATAAGCGGGGGCCTTATTAATTTCTGACCTCAGTACTTTTTCAGCATCTAATTATTTTTTCAGGTCAATGGCTATCCTTGTTGTTAATTGTCAAGATATAGATCGAGCTTTCTATAAACGTTTTTTTTGCATACAGGCTTATTATTTCAAAATATTATTTCAAATTCGATAACAGTAGTGTGAAATATCATAGTAATCTTATAGCCTACATTTAATACAATAATCTTAATCTGTTTTTAGGCAACGAAAGAATGCTTACAGAGCAGGTCTGCTTTTGTCCTGTCAGAATATTTACTCGAAAGTCTCTCGAAATTGCAATTTCATGTTGGGAATGGCTGCTTGTCGCGAGGAAAGACTTAGAGGATGAGGTAAATATTCGTTTATTTAGGCTGCTATCAAGGCAATCTTTCAAGGCAATCGACAGATATTTAAACTGCTTGACCCATCTGTCAATCGACCTTTGGTCACTCAATAAGCGTCTCAGTGGTGTCTTGCTCATTGATCGGCCAAGGTGGATCAAGCCACTTTAGTATCTATCGATTGCCTTTAATATCATCATGCACAACTCCAGGATTCCGTCAAAGGGTAGAGACATTCTATCTTTTTATGTTTTCATTTAAGATTTGGGATCCAATTTTATTCATATTTCATCAGTAGCCAGCTGTTATGGTTACTTCTTTATTTGCATGCTGAAAGCCGTGGTGTTCCGCACCAGTGAAGGCCTTAGGACCACAAATCGATTAACAACAATGTTCAATCCTTTTTCAGTATGATTTTACAACATAATATTTCTATAAATTGATTTTAATAATATGTCTGTTGCCATTACTTGCATTCTAATGTCCTTTTCCCCTTAACAATTCAAGATACAAAGCTATATCCATGCGGCCTGGCTGTGGACCGTTGACGGTCGCCTCGGGATGTTCTCACCAGACACCGAAGAAATAAACCCATTGGCGATTTCCGAGAATTCAGAGTTGTCAAACTCAGCTCCAAACGTGGCACCTCACGATATCTGGCTTGATTTCTTGATCAATAGGTTCAAGACAGTAAAATATTACAACAAATCCCAGGTGATTGTTATTTCTTTTTATGCTCAAAGAAATTTGCAGAACACTATTACAAATACAGTACTATAACAGGGAGCACGAATCTTCATGACAATACTGTGGCCATTCACGATTATCTCAAAGTCTTTTTCAAAAATGATGCTAGGCGAAAACACCCAGGGAGGGTAAATATATACCAGGCAAGACACCAATGAGGGTTTGCATGTTTATATACACCCAGCTACATTTTCGAAACAGGCTTTGATTACAGAAATTACAAAGGAGAAAAAGAAGAAACAAAAACGAAACTGTATTTATTTCTAAACAGAACAAGTATTTGCTTGTTGTGATACCAAATAGGCTTCTGTAATTGGGGGTCATCGATAGCTTTGTGTTCAAAGGGGTTGTCCAGGTCCCATACCGACAGGTGGGGCAACATTAAATAGCCTGCAGGCTTGAAAATTCGCCGACAAGATGGAAATTTGCCGATGAATCATCCCTAGATGGCCAAAAGCTCCTTGTTTTGAAACGGAAGGGCGTCACATACCCACCACCCTCCGTGGCCCTGCTTGTACTTCAAAACCTCAAAGTAGGCTGAAAATGGAAAACGTAACACAACACTTCTCTGAGCTGAAAATGTCAGGAAATGTGTCATGATTTCGTCGTTATTGGACTTTCAATACTCTGAGGAGTGCAAACAAACAATACTTAAGTCCCATCGTGTGTCCCACTTTGTGCTAAAGTCTGCTGCATTGCATGTTCTTCTTATCGACAATTTTTGCATTACAGTGTTATAGAAGTTTGCCTTTCTTATAAGTTTCCTTAAAGCTGAATTGAACAAATTGAACAAAAAGCTACGTTTTGAAGCAGTGTCGTTATAATTTTCAATTTAGAAAATGATAATAGAGAAAATAATATATAAAGAACTATGTGGTAATCTAAATGAAATTTTTGACGTCTCTGTGTTTTAATGCAGTTTTATACAACTACATTATTGATGTTTGATTTTATTCTGATAATGCTGGTTATTTTTACATTCGATGGAATGTTTGAGAAGTAACAAAGATTATTCATCGTGTTTTTGTCCAATTTTAGGTGGAAATGTTTGCAGTTTTGGTTAATCGTTCGTTAAGCAGTCACGTGGGCAAAAGGAGCATCATAGCACACCACGTGCAATGTTTGCGACCTCGATTTCAATTGCTGCATCTTGGCCTATTGCTCCTGCAAGGGTCCATTTTGAGCCAACCAATTCTTAGAAATGTTCTACGTGAAAAGGCGTACCACACAGCTCTCGATTTTTTCAGGTGCGTTTAAATACGTTATGGACCGAAAATTCTCTTAGTCGAGTATTTTTGTATGACGTTTGTCAGTGTATGAAAAACTCATAACTTATTAGAGAAGATAAGTTTGTTTTTAGATACACTTTTTCATGAGAAACCGATAATTTTTTCCAAGGCTTTATGTTCTTATTTTTTAGGTAACTTGGGGCCCAGTTGTACCTGATTGTTTTCCTATTACTGATTTTTCTACATTTACTCACTATAAAAACTTTCTATTACAGCTATTTTCCATGAAATTCATTCATTGGTTTGTCTTGCGTATTTATTGGTGCAAATACTTTCATTTTTATATTTGTAAGCTACTTCTCATTATGTTATATTTGTATGACATAGATGGCGAAGAACTTGGCTCCCCTCTGTCTGGTGTTCATAACCATATGTATTAATGTAAACAAGGCCGATCAGGGGTTTCGAAGTGGGGGCTCCGAGGGCTGATCCCTCTTCTAAATGCCAGAATGGATCCCTTGCTACTTTTGCTATTTTTTTGGAACATATTTCGCCAAAGCTCCCCTAGTAATTTTTATAGCAACACATCCCAGAGGCCAATTTAACAAAACACATACGCAATTGAAAAATGCTATGATTGCTACATGCCTTTTCCTGGTATCTGCACCTTGGTTTTTTCAGTCGACCTCCAACTTGGCCTGTGCCTGACATCGATGACATCCACAAGACTCTTGCATGCTTGATCGAATTCTGGCATACTTTGATCGTGGACAAAAAACACATGCGCAGCTTCGCTATCTCTGCTTCGTTGGAATCAGTGCAAGAAATTCAAGATTCAGTTTCCCTGAATACACCCCTATACCAATATCGGTTGCAACCAGATACGTTGCAGGTAAGGGACTTTTTGTTGCTAAGTGCATTTATGTGGGCAGGGGGCATTACAGTGTAGGGTTCGCTTTTTCTTTTGATTATTAGAAGACAGTTGCGTTATGAGATAGTTGTCTTCTTTCCCCCCCCCCCTTCACACGCACATACATACACCAAACTTAAAATGAACGACTGGTTATTTTATCTCGATCTATAAGTTGAAAATTAAATGAATCGCAAAATGAAGAAATAATGAAGAATTTTTGTAGTGTTGAGTGTTATGAAAACCAGAAAATGCGCAAGGCTAACTGTTCTTGATGTAATGAATCACATACACAGTAGGTATTGAATTTATATCCTTGCTGTTAATTTTTGTAGTTTAATATCGTCTTATATTTTTCTTAGGGTTGGCTTAATACCGTGCCATTATCAAGCAGTGCTTCGCGCAAGTCTCCCAACATACCCAGCTCAATAAAAAGAGACGCGGGTGACGCGATTACCCGCGAGCACATGAAAAAACGCGCTTTGATTCTGCCACTTGTTAAAAGGGAGATCGAGCGGCTGTCGGCATGGAGAAATCCCAAAGGAATCGCAGATCTGCGTGTGCGAGGCGAGGAATCAATTGCCGCGATTGGGAATCAGCTAGTACCAACCGAAAAGATGTGGAGAGAGAGTGTTAGGTTGGCATGGAAACTCTGCCCTCGATTGTGCGTCAATTTAGCATCGAGGTTAGTTATGCTTTCAAACTTATCATATAGTATCTTGCATAAAACATGTGCTTGGGAGAGGGATTGTATAAAGTTCCCTTAGCATAGATATATAGGGGTATATGTATTTGTGTATGACCAATATGCCAAACCGATTGTATCTCTATTTGTTAGTGTGAATAAAAGCTAGAAAATCTTGCATATTCCCCGTTCCCCATAAATTTAAAATGAAGATATTCAGGAATGCCTTACTTGAATGTCAGTAATTTGTTCTTGTTATATTATTATTAAAACAATTGATTATTGTAATGACCCCCTTTCATAGCTTTTATAAATCTAAAAAGCTTTGCCTCAAAGCTGATCCGTTCAAATCTTATACAGGTTTCGGGAAAATCTTGTTATATCCAAAGAACTTCAGCGACTCGTCGTATCCGATCCCGCGTCGGTTTGTGATGTGCCCGAGGCTCTGTCTATCTTTACGTCAGAGGAATCATCTAACAAGGAATCACCCGCGATGGTCAATGTTTTGATATGGGCACACGTGCCACCGGTGTCTGCTCTGGCCTACTTCTCCCAGCAGTTTCACCAGAACTTCTATACCGCACAATATGCTGTGAATGTTCTTCGCTCATACCCACCTGTATGTATAGTTCTATTTCTTTAAAATGTATGCTCAAAGCATTCTTGCTGTTTGTCTTTTGTACGCACGAATAGACAGTAAAAAAGAACCTGTAATTGGAACGTTTTGAATGACGAAAGTCTCACTCGTGGCATGGAATCTCTTAGATTTTTCATGTGACTTGAATATGGTTTTCGATCAAGTTTCTGGCAGTTTTATCTGACATTTGTTTATCTGATAAACTTGCCAGTATAGACTCTTAGTGTCTGCTTTGCTTTCTGAATTCGATATGTAAGAATTTTGACGTCCTTAAATCTTATCTGATTGCTAACCTATGGCTATTTTGTTGTCAATGTGACTGCATATAGAGCTAAGCCTAGTGATTGTTTGCTGGTTGCTTCTGTAATGTGATCAAATCAACAACTGCAATCGTCGATAAAAAGGTTACCAATAACCTCTCATTGATCTTGCCTCGTTTAGGACGTTATACTGCTCTATGTACCACAACTTGTGCAAGCAATTCGATATGACAGTTTTGGCTTCATTGAAGATTATATTTTGTGGTGTTGCAAGAGCTCACAGCTGTTAGCTCATCAGGTAATTTACTCTAATTCATTTTGTAAAAAGTATAACACTGTGAGCAAGAAAATTGAAAGAAGCGAAAATAAGCGAAAAGAAATGAAATGGCCTACGAGTTTAGGAAGACTAGCTCAGATTGTGTATCTTTAATCAGTTTGTTTCAGTGTATGTACGTGTATACAAAAGTCTGTTTTCTGTGTTGGTAGTCAGTTTCTAGGCTCCCCATGCCATTATTTATATCACTGAAATCATCATAAACTCCTTTCCAGCATTGTTCTGTATCTAACTCTGCAAGTGATGCAGTATTTGTTTCTTTGCGTGGGTACCAGGCAGTGGCGTGACACAGTTTAAGGCGCCTTAGTTCGATAACTAAGAGCCCCCTCGAAACATGGCCCCCAAGTTTTTTTAGCATCCATGTTTTTATTACTTCGCTCGAGTTTACCTCATTTTGAAATACTTCTTTCTATTGTTCTTCAACTAAATTTTTCCATCTTACTATTGTGTTTGACATCCTCTTCAGCGTCGGGTGGGACTTTCCAGCAGTCCCTAAATAGGGGCCCTGCCTCAGCTTTTTCTTCAGGGTACCAGGTCCCTCTGTTACGCTATTGATACCAGGACAAAGGCAGCCCCAGTTTCTTATATCTTTGCCTGCTTATGATAGAAGAAGGCGATTGATTTTTAAAATATGGTGATGCAATGGAGGCAGCTTCCTCAGATTCGCCTTCAAGAATTCGATCCAACAAACAAATCACCCACTTCCTATATACAGCGTCAAGCAAAGAAATCGGTACGCCAAAGATGTTTACAAATCCATTCAAAATAAATGCACCCATCATATGTTCTCAAATCTCAATTCTCTAAATTTTCTAAGCGACTAAACATTCGACCTCCATTACTGATCATCAATCTTCAATCACTCCTCTGTTGATTTATGCTAATTTATTTAAATGTTACTCATACTAATTGTCTTTTTACAACACAATGTGCTGCAGTTTCCTTTTTAAAGTCTATCCTTATGATAAACATTTACTTCGACAGGTAATCTGGAATATGAAATCAAATGTTTACGTCGACGAAGACTGTCTACAGAAAGATGTTAACATTGGAGAAAAACTCGAAAAACTTATTGAAAAGATGACCAAAGAATTTACTGGCCATGCTATGAATTTCTACGATAGAGAATTTGCTTTCTTCGACAAAGTCACCCAGATATCAGGGAAAATCAGGTAATTTGTCATCTTTTACTCAATACTTTATTTTCTCTGCCTAGAGATAAACTTTTCTAGTAAGGCTGCATGTAGCCCTATTAATCACTGATAATTTGCAAAGCTGCTGAAGATTCTTTATTACATTCATGGCACAACGTTCCTACAACGTTTTGTTGCCATTAATCATACTTTTGCAGTTGCGTTTGTGCAAATAGAACTCCGCACAATGTCCAAGTTCTCTAGTTTAAGTCAGCATCCAACCATATACGCCAGTGATGGGTAAATGCTTTTCTATCCAAGTTAAGCTATGCTTGCTTAGACATACCGACTTAGCAAACATGTATGTAGCATGCTTGGAAACATTTTCAACTAACATCATCTTTAGTGCAACCCTGTATCACATTTTCTCGATTGGACTCTTAAACTATGTAAGAGGTTAGCGACCTCTGATTGTTTGAAAACAAAGAGCCAATTAAACGCGCTATTCTTCCTCTCGCGTTACTTTCGATCCACATTTGAATATTAATTTTCCTCTTATATTTGGAAATTATCCGACGTTTCCACTTCTCATTCTATATTCAATTATTTTACTATTATAGCGATTACAAATTTCCTTGATATAAGATTTGCTTTGCTTCTTTGTCATTAAGCCTGTATTTGGGATTTTTACTGCATCTATTAAAAGTTTTTGACGAATATATTTTAGGCCATACCCAAAGGCAGAGCGTAAACGGTACTGCCAGCAATTGCTGAAAGAAATCCAAGTCGACAGGGGTGTTTATCTACCGAGTAACCCGAAGTCTGTTGTCCTCGATATTGACTATAATTCTGGCATACCCATGCAAAGTGCTGCAAAGGCCCCGTTTCTTGCTCGATTCAAAGTCAGGGACTGTGGTTTTAAACAACTGGAAACTCTGAATGCTCAGCAAAGTATGCTTTATTGTTTTCATTTTGAAAGAATTAAAAACAAAACCTCATCAGATGCAAATAGGTGATCAGCTGATCGAGAGACATAAGCGAAATGTGTGCCAGCATGCATTATTTTATCATAAAGAATTTTGCTTTTGATAACCATAGAGTTCTGAAGGTTGACGTCATTAAAAACTATATTTTCAGAATTTTTTGCTTTCATCGCATAACCTAAAAGAAAACCACGAAAGCCTTTTAAAGGCAGTCGAAAAATGTAAAAGTGGCTTTAGCCATCTGTCAATCAATTTTAGCCAATCGGCGAGCTTGTGAGTTGTATCACGCCCACTGATTGGTCAATTTTTGATTGAAAGATGGCCTTAGCTACTTTAGTATCACTGAAAGAATTGAAAGAGTTGTCTATAGGATGGATGTAATTTGGGCTTTGTTCATAATGTTTTTAACAGAGACCCAATTACAGTGATTTCGTTTGATAGAGCCTTTGTAGACTTACTCCACGAGCCTCTGTTTCGAAACTGCCTCACTTGACGGACGCTACAACAGAGGCTCTGTTGTAGGGTCAGTTAAGTGAGGCAGTAGCGAAACAGAGGCTCACGGAGTAAGTCTAGGGCCTTTGCTTATGTGACCATATCAAAGTCCGTTTGTAACACATTTGACTAATTTTGCACATTAAAAGGTATTTTATGATACTGTATCAGGATATGTGATCAAAATTCAAAAGTTCTAAAATTTATGCACCAAATTGGGCAGTTCCTTGGAACTAGAAAAGTAGAAGTCCGGTCACCACGACTGTACGTAAGATAGATGTTTTTAGACATTTAAAATTTAATTTTTAGCCGAAAGAATATTTAAAAAAACATCTGACTTATGGTTTACCCTTAAGAACGCTTCCTCAAAATTGGGAGAATAAGGTGTAGCTAATTTAATTTTCATCACTTTTTACCAAACCCTTTTTTACAGCCGACACTGATAATGAGATGGTAGTTGACCACCTTGGCCCTGAGAAGTGGCTCGGGTGCATCTTCAAAGTTGGCGATGACGTCCGTCAGGTATGGTTTCGTTTAGTTATGATCTTAGCGATATTCCTTTTAAAGCTGCTGAACTCATTAACTATAATTAGCTAAGAGAACAGTTTTTTTCTCATTAAGAGTTGGCGTTGCAACTTGGATCCGTCCTGTTTATCTCATCAAAGCCAGGAATTTATATCCATGTAGATTGGACGTTTGCTGACGGTTTTAGAAAGCACCACGATCCTCCCTTCGATACTGCGAGTTTTTCAGTTCGTTGATCAACTTTAGTACGATTTGTAATTAATTTTTTCTATATGCTCAGCCGGCAGAATCTTGTTTGTTAACTGCTGAAACGTGCTCAGTAGGTTGTGGCATTTTAACTGTGATGTATACATTCAATACAATTGCTTGTTAAATCAATGCAGCAAAAATTGCGTAGAAAATTTTTGCAAAGCTAGCAGCTGCCGTTTCGGCAAACGGGGTTTAATTTTTTTTATAATTTTTCTTTGGCCTAACAGTCATAAAATTTTTGTTTACGGGTTCTGCAATTTCCTTAGGCTTTTTATTTCGGTTCTTTGTAAACAAACTATAGGTTGTCTAAAGACAGACGTTTTTTACAGAAATTAATTTGTAAATGGCTTTGAAAAAAGCAAACATTTAGTAAACTAAAGCTTTTCGTCTGACACTCTTCAGAGTTTAAAATGTCAGAACATAGATCGAAAACTCTACGCTAAGAAATATATACATATAGATATAGATATAGAAATTAATTTGTCTTATTTATTTTAAAGTATTGTTTGTATTGTGAACAGGACATGTTGGCATTGCAAGTTATTCAGCTATTCAAGAATATCTTCGATCAAGTTGGGATTGACGTTTACTTGATGCCATACAGAGTGGTCGCAACTGCGCCTGGGGTATGCCCTCGTAATTGTTGTATTGTTACCCTATATAACCTACTAGGGAAAGGTTTGGCGGGAGAAAGTTTGGTGGGAGAAAGTTTGGCGGGAGAAAGTTTGGCGGGAGAAAGTTTGGCGGGAGAAAGTTTGACGGGAGAAAGTTTGGCGGGAGAAAGTTTCGCGAAAAGCGCGAAATTTTGAAATTTCGCGAAAGAAGCGAAATAGGATCTTTCGCCAGAATGAACTTCCGTGTTTTAGCAAAATCATGATTTTACATTAAAGACATTCCTATTCAACTGTGGTTTCCTTCTATTTTTATTCCACTTAATAGCTACAAGGCAACGAAGTCGTTTTTAGTTGGACTCTACAAATCTTAAATGACGGTATATATATTATATTGTCATCTCGATAAGGAGACCGATAATAGACTACTTATTGCAAAACGCGAACGAATTTCGTGTTAGCATAATTTCACATCAGTATAAGGAAAGTTAAAAGTCTCTGTTCTTTTGAGATGCCTGGTCTTTCGTTAGTTGGACTCTCCCCATGCAAAGTTGCTTTACAAAGTTGGACACTCCCGTTGCCCTACTTGATCTCCACTAAGACAACCACAGTCGACATTAGCTGTGCCTCTAATCATCTTTTGGTCAAAAAGATCTTTTGGTATTGATGTATATTTTGGTAATAATTGCTCTGCTGTTGTATTCAAATGCAAGTTTTTAACCAGCGTTAACCAGACTGAATCAAGATGGATTAATGTCAGTCATCTCAAATTTCCTGTATACATTTTCCAACCGATTCTTTGTTTGCTTTCAAGGTGACTGCGTATTTTTAGCAAGTTAGTTTTCCCCACTGATCTAAAAAGAAACTGGATGGAACAACCTATTGTTCTCCTATATCAGCACGAGGAAGTGAACGAGTCTCTCCATGTTGGGACCTCTTGCGCTTAGGGCTGCCATGGGTAGAAACAGTACAGATACAGTGCTTCGCTTTTAATTATGCATTAATCATTAAATTCTTAAATAATTTAAGAGACAACAGGCCTAGGAAAATAAGTGAACAGTGGATTCTCCCTTACTTAAACTGAATACCACGGCAAAAATGTTTACGGTCACTTACGAATGCTGCAAGTTTTTGTTTCAACGGTTATTTTGAATTTTGCTATGAAAAAGCAAGTTGAAACAAAACCAACTTTGTCGCCCTTTAGTCTCAAGCAACACGGCGAGGTCCTAACATGGACGCTGCAATGTGGAACCAACGCTGGGCTGGAGAAACTCGATCCAGTCTTTTTTGAGATCAGTGGTTTTCCCCAATTTCTTTAGCATCATCAATTTTGGAACATGTCCTCATTCACTGTTGTCTACAGTATAAAGTTTAAAATTCATAAACTTCAAGCTTTTTATTTTTCTTTTCTTTTTACCTAGAATCTGAAGGTGATTTCTAGTACGCCTGGAATTAAGGAGAGCCTTTGACTCTTCTCGTGCAAAGTCGCTATGTAGTGTAAAAATTACTTTGCTTGGCTGTTTAGAGATTGATTTCACTGTGAGGTTTTTCTCGAAAATTTAAAAGAACCTTCTTGCTCATCCCACCGTTCTTGTTTCTTTTAGTGCGGCGTCATTGAGTGTGTACCCAATGCGAAATCACGTGACCAATTGGGAAGACAAGCAGAAGTCAATCTGTACGAATATTTTGTCAATACGTTCGGAGATGAAGGGAGAGTGGAATTTCAAGAGGTATGATTTCCCGAATCCCTTTGTTATCAATTGAACTGTTTCAGAATGATTATTGATATATTTTATGTTTGTGCTTGGTATTGATAGAAAAACATCCAAAAAATAGTTTGACTTATGTGCTGCTCGATTCAATGTAATTGGCTAAATTGAAACATGCAACCTGTCCAGGCGAAAGATTGGTCAATCTTTGATTTCACAGCAACTTACAGCCTTCGTTAAAGCATGCTGTACTCGAAATACTGATTGGACAAGGTGATCAGTAAATTGGTTGACAACCTACAGATTACGGATACCAGCTTCAGTTTTAGAATCTATAGAAAATGAATAAAGCACTTTTTGGGGGACAGAAAGAGCTCGTTTTCGCCTTAGGACTCCATTGGTAACATTCTAAATAGGCAAGCGGCACTGATTGGTCAATCTCAACAGTCATGTGCTGGCGTTTCTGATTGGCCTATTTGATCCACAACTGGGTATATATATTTCCTAGCTTAGAGTTTTCGGTCTGTGTTCTGACGTTTTGTTATCTGAAGAGTGTAAGACGACAAGCTTCAAAATGTTTTACGTTTCATAATGTTTGCTTTTTTCAAAGCCATTTTTATTTTTTGTACTACCAAAACTACTGACACTGTGTTGTTACAAATACAAAATGTCCGGAGTTGGTTCTAACAGCCAGGATATATGTGGTGTGGAATTACAAAGATAGTGACTAAAAGACTATGCTAAAAGTGAGCAGAAATTTATGTCCAGTTGTGAATGGAAACTTGCCTGAATGGAAGAATGGCACGTTTGATTGGCTCATATTTTGACCAATCGGCGGCCGCTAACGTCTCGACTTCAGACACTTCAGCTAAGTTGCTTTAAAAAATGTTTCGCAATCAAAAGACCATTTAATTCAAAACGTTACACATTTTAGAAAGATGATCCATTTTTTTCTTTTTTTTTACATCCAGGCAAGAAGTAATTTCATCAAAAGCATGGCAGCGTATTCTGTTGTAAGTTACATCCTGCAAATCAAAGATCGTCATAACGGGAACATAATGATCAACGACTCGGGATATATCATACATATAGGTTTGTTTGCGATCCATTGATTAGATTATTTCGTCTTCCTGTTCTTTTCCCATGGACGTTTTTTGCTTCATATAGTTTTTTAACAGCAGACTGCGGGGGATATAATGTATGTTACCTTGTAGGTTCGGAAAATTTCATATACCCTTCACCTATAAATCACCCACCCCCCTGCAAAAATAATGCTTAGGATTGATTAATCTATGTTTATATTGCTAGATTTTGGATTCATGTTCGAATCGTCTCCCGGGGGCAATATGGGATTCGAACCTGACATGAAATTAACATACGACTGGGTCGTTCTAATGGGCTCGGAGGTCGATTCATATTCTTTCAGGTTTGTCTTCTCTTATGATTTATGTTTTAAACTACTTCTATTATTTTTGTTTTGAATCTGTCTTTTGTTACCAAATCTAACTGCTGTATCTTTAGATGCATACAAAAAGGTGGCGGATTTTGCATTTTTTTAGAGACATGATAAAATGAGAGTGTGTTCCCAAACATTCTGTCTCATAATTTTCATGCTGCAGCTATTACTGGATCTGTGACTTGTCCCGTGAAGTTTCCTCCAGTTATCTTACGACCATATGTAAACAATGGTTGCCGAAGTCACATGAAACCACTGTTTTTCCTTCATATAGCGACCAGCTCCAAATAGATGACCCCACTAATAAACCCTTCTAATTTTTATTTTTACTATTAACAGAATATATAGAACACGTTGTATATACTTTGGTTGTTACGCTATTTAGTGTATAGAACATGACGGTTCTAAGTTTCCATTTGCTGTAAAGCAACCCACAACCGTCCTGTTCTGTACGTCAAATATTTTGTAAAGATCTGCCCATATGGCAGTAATTTTAATTACTTTTGTAGTTGTGTTACAGTTATCAGTTCCTCTCTGATTATAAGTCTAACAAGCTATCTTTAGATCTCCTCTCGATCAAAAGCATTTCTAAAGATTCCGATAGCGTTTTTGTTAGGGTACTTCTATGACATAAGTATCAAAACATGTAAGCGAGTTTCCTAAAATTCTTTCATACAAATCAAGCTCGTCTAACTGTTTAGTGTTTGACCTAAGTAACATCTCAAGCTTGATTTTTGAATTCTAAGTGAGGGCCTTTATAATCTCCTATTAACGCCTCTCTTATTTAACGCTGCACTTTGTTTATCAATAAGTACTTGGAAACGGGCGTTTGTTTGAAGTAGTACCTTATAATGACCAAAATTTGATAAAATGAAATAGCGACTTTGTACAAGAAATGAATACTTTGTACGACGTTTCGAGCATAACTCTTCATCAGGTAAAAAAGAATAAAAGGAGAAACGGTTAAGAAGAGAAGAGAACGGTAGAGTCGAAAGATAAACTTTATGGAACGTAGTAGGAATACGTGTAGAACGTAAGACGAGATGGAAATATGCGAGGGGGTGGAAAGCGTATAGATGAGATAAGGTAAAAATTAATAGTAGCTGGATTAGTAAAGAAACGAAAATGGTTTATTGAGACCATTAGGAATAAGATTGCCGAGTGTAAAAATAATACGTTTTTCGAGGGTTTTGCGTTTAATGTTGTTATGAGGTGCGTAGCAAAGTCCAGTGATTTTCATGTTGGCTGGTGTTTGGCCATCTTTGTTGAAATGAATTGAGACTGTGAGACTTATTGAGACTTGTAATGACCACCTCGAAAGCAAATGGATCCCTTTAGAGGACGTCTTTTCTATCATTTTCGCAGGCCGATTGGCAGTTTTTGCAGTCGTGTTGATCATTTTTGGTAGATTTTAACTTTTGTTGATATTTTTCTTGACTTTTTCGCATTATATCAAGAAGCGTGTAATGAACGTGTTTTTATCACACTTTTCCCAGGTGGTTTATGGAACTGTGCGTTCGGGCATACTTAGCTGTAAGGTGAGTCGAAAAATCTCAAAAATTGATCGCATTTTGTGATTATCTCTCGCTTATTTCCTATATAGAGAAAAGCAGCTTTCGTGTTTGTTCATACAATGTTTTCGTTTGTTCACCAAATCGTCAATTATTCATCGAAATTTTGCGCGAAAAAGAGCACTTTTGTCAATATATTCTTCTTTTTTGCAAACAATTTCGTTTTTCGTATGAAGCAACAGCTGTATGTTCACATCGAATGATTTAATTTAGGCAGTCACCCTGATCTTTCAAAGTTGTAGCTACTTGCTGCAAAGTAAAGGCAACAGTTTAAGAACTGTTTAGGCTCTAAAAACTAGTTTGCTTTTTGCTGTGTGCAGCGCCATTTTATTTGGCAATTACCTAATATGGTCTATCAGAGAATGTTCCTAAAATAGACCATTTTGGATTTCGATACCTAGTTAAAATCGCTAAGGTAAGGCAAACCAGCAACCCAGAAATCATGATAGATAGACGATGTTCTTCTATTATTTGGTCTTTAAATCTCTTTAGAATAAGGAAGGATACTTAAAGACTGAAAAATTTAATTTCATTGACTAGCAATGAACCTTGTTTGAGCTACAGAAGAATTTACATCTTGTTGATATAGGCCGCCATTGAATGCGGCAACTTGAGTCATGGCTTCACGAACTACAAAATTTTCTGTATTAACAGGATCATCATAATCATTATCAACCGTCGTAAAGATCAATCGTCATCAGCTATCATAATCATCATCAATTATCATAATCGTCATCAATTAACAGAATCATCATGAATTATCATAAGCATCATAATTATCATCATCAGGAATCCTTGGAAACGTTCTGAAATATTCGAAAACATATCTAGAAGTCTAGAAGCAAACAATTTTATGTACGAAGACAGCTGTAGCATCATTGTAAGAAGTCATGCTAACTTATTTGGGCATAAAGGCCCTTTCTCAATATTTTAACTACGTTTATTCATAGACTGTTTTTGCCTAACAACGCTAGGACTGCTTTTTAGCAAGCATGTTGTCTCCTATCACGTGTTTTCATGTATTCTGTTCTTCAGGACATATACCGAGGAAATAATATCACTGGTCAGTTTGATGTTAGACACGGGACTGCCGTGTTTCCGAGGCGAATCGTTAAAGAGGCTAAGGTATCTGTTTTTATCATCGATTATTTGCACTCAAATCCTAGCAAGTTCCGCTGTCTCCAAATAGTAGCATTAATGTACTTGAGTACACTCATTTTTGTTTATAAAGGGAAGGAAATGCCCTTCTTAATTTTAGGCCCATGTTCTTGATGATCTCATCTATACGATTCCAACGAGTAGATATCGCAAGCAATTAGCAACTTCCCTTTTGGATAGGCCATTTTTCATTGAAATTCTGTTTTTCCTTTGAAGAGAAAGTCAGTAAATCCAAAACAAAAGTATTTCTATTAGTCAATTAACGTTACAAGTTTTAATAAGAAATTTTTTCTCAGCCCAGCCCTCAGACTTTCTTAGCTATTTCCTAATTTCAGCACTAAAACTGCCTAGCACTTTCTTGGCAAAAAGTTAGAAAGTATTACGTTACTGACCATTCGCAGTGATTAAAAAGATGAAATGCCACGAATATGCCATAATTCTCCAATATGCCTAAACGTCTTAACATCAACTATCGAAGAAAACCCATTTCTATGCAGACACCTCTTCGCACCTTAGGAATATCCTGTGCAGCACATTATTGTAGCAAAACGAAATATTTCACTCTTGTACTGCAATTTGCTTTGAAATTTTGAGTATCTAAATTATTCAACTTGCTTAGGTTTTAGCGATCAAGCCCTGAACTTTCTTAACTTTTTAAAGAACCGAGCCTCACGTTTTTATAAAATACTTTCTTATAAAAAACGTGTATTTATTGATTTATATCAACTTAATAAAACTTCTAATAGCATTATTGTCAAAGATTTTGTAAATCCTTTTTTGTTGCGAATTGCTGAATTATAGCAAGTGAAATAGCAACGTTTTGCTAATGGATTACTGTTTTTATGGCCTAGTTCATATATTTTACTGATACCAAATTACAGTAATCTGGTAGGTTATGGTAATGTTATCGTGTGACCGCCAATTGGTATCCTATTCAACCCATTTCGAGGTTTGCCTATTTAAAGATTCATGGTCTTTCATTAATGGTGGCAAAGTTCAAAACTTTTAAAGTGTATTTTTATGACTTCATAACTGAAAATCTCCACAGGGATTCCTTATGTTGCCTATTTGCTTGTTGCTTCTAGGATGCGTTTTGCCCCCCAGTTGACAGAGCGGGATGCTGCAGTGAATATGCTGAAAATTATCGAGAATTCACACATGAGCAAAAGGTAATACTAGAATGCCTTACTGTGATCCCCCAGCTTATGAATTTTATTTGCATTCATTGTTCAAACAAAATACAGTTTCCAACACGGTCACGCAATCAAAGGGCATCCCCTTAATGCCATACAGGTATGTAAGTAAATTGCAACCAGCTGCTTTTATGAATCATCGCTTGTGGCAATAAATGTGGCTTTCTTGAAGAGACGCGTAATTGAATAGGCGTTATCTTAGGCCGATTCTTTGAAAAGCATACGTTTTTAAAGAAATTACTATGCTAGAGCTCCTTAAACGAGCCAGTGTGAGAGGTTTCCCTCGAAGAATTGAGATGCATAAAAAGACGCTCTTTATACGCTTTTGCCATCTCGGCAACAACTGACTTTTCATGTAAAATAACTCACTTAAATAATAATATACAAACATAAGATGATTAAAGGCTAAGAAAATGTGATAGGTTCATTCATTTAATTAAACACGAAAACGAGACTACAGTTACAAAATTGTCCAATCATATTAGAGGAGGCTATTCCTGTTACACCAGGAGGAGGGTGGGATGGGGTTGCCGTTTCAAAAGGGCTGAGTAACAAATCAAATTGGCCTTAATTAGATTCTTAATCATCATCTTCGTTAAAAAGAAATGGGTTAATAAGAAACGTGTTCCTTTTTGGAGATGGAGTGCTTGTTCGAAAGGATTGTTGACTGTTCAAGAGGGGGAGGGGGGGGGGGCATTCGCTCGAGAGGGTGTTCATTGGAAGGGTGATGCTAATTCGAGGATTTACATAGAAATATGAAAGTTAAACCCTGCTGAAGGTTTACAGAATGGGGTCTGAGGCCTTTAAAGCTTTAGGCATTGCCAAGGCATTCTAACTCCTTTCACAATATTACCATCGTTTTCTCTTCTCACATAAAGTAACAGGTTGTTATTACATGTAGGCACCGATAAACCGCCCGTTGTTGGAAGGTGCCGTTTGTCTGGAGGTTGTCTGTATTAGTATTAGGGTTTTATCGAAGAAAAGAGATTTTCAGAAACAGTTATTGTTCGTTGTTGGGAGAGCCCTTCATTGGAAAATCTTGTTTATAGAGGTTTCACTGCTCAAATCACGCCCATATGGAGCATTTTTGTTTCCATGACTGTCTGAGCGAAGAGTTATCGAAAAAATATGAAATATCCAAGCAAATACAGAAAATATGAACTTCCCTGTTTACGAAAGAAACATTTGGTGCCCTGGCTAAACGCATCATTGGTTGCAACCACGGGCTCCGAAGAAAGCTTGAAAAGGGAAGGGCAAACTAAACAGTCTTAAACAAGACTGCAAAATATTTTTTTTTCGTGAAAGGGGGGTCATGGCCCTGCTAACCACTAATATTTATCTGGAACCCCTTTCAAGTTTGTTACATCGGGTTTCGCTGATCTACGATTCAATAGAAAAAGAATGTCTTTTTTTACTTTCTGCGTCTGGTCCGAATGAATATATTTTTAAATCCAGCATCTCCTATTTCTTGCTGCAACTTCTAGCGATTTGCTTCTTCTTGCAGAGCTCAAATCTACGATTATATTCAACTGGTGCAGAATCAAATACCATGCTGAAGAATAAAAAACAGATAGATATAGTATAGAATTTGGTTAATTTAACAGTCATTTGTATATATCATTGTGAATTGAATATCAATTAAATTGAAAGAGGGACGAATGAATCGATTTTTTGCCATTATTCTTTAAAGGGATTGCCGTAAGGAGAGACTCCTGTGATCTCATAGATACTAAAGACAGATCTACATATTTTCCCCAATCTATAACATAGCCTTGTATATTTACGGGAGGGGGGGGGGGGAAGTTGGCCTCCGTCCAAGATACCGTCCTTTGGTTTGAGATTTGACGATTGCTCATTTGCTAAAAGAACGAATGCTTGATTGACTGCGAATCCCCACGCCTCCCAACTCCAGCTGAAATTCCTTTGAAAAGCCTTGGAATTACAAAAATATTCAAGTGGAATACGTTCCTGAGCTTTAACATTATTAAGAGAGAACATTACATAACCGAAGAAGACCTGAGAATTAGCTAATTATCTTCTGAGTTAACCAAGGGAATTAAGATCCTTTTAAATCCACCTCGAGTTTTCATCTCCAGCGGATTTACATTTCATGAATTTTTAAGTTTTGTATTTGCCTTAATTTTAGCTATGCGTCAGTGTTTTTAGACAACCAAAGCCCGCTTCCTGTTGACACAATTTTTTGGATAATAAGGTGATGTCGAGTAAAGAGAAAGTTTTTGCAATATATACATGATGTGTGTTATTGCGTAATGTCCGTTCCAAACAAAGGGAAAGATAGGGGTAGCCTTTTTTGTTGCATGGAAATCTACCCTCGGGTGAATTCGGGGCTCAATCTATCTTCCCATGATGAAGTCCATCGAAGGGGTAAGGGGACCCTCGCGAAAAGAAAGGGGACCCTCGCGAAAAGAAAGGGGGCCCTCGCGAAAATTGATAGAAACAATAGCACAGCGTTAACATGGGCCCCCTGAGCCCCCAGCTTAAGACCCCTGGCAAGAGAACCCATTAAGTAGTATCCCAGCGGTGTTTCTTGAACAGAGCCCTGAAGGGGAAAACACACACTGGTAAATTTATTGAATTTAACTGTTGCTGTAAGAAAGTCAATCAAGATGTGATTTTGATACCATTGAAGTTTGTAAAGGAAGTAACTGAAAATTTTCATGGCTAATTGTTTTTATTCACACCTTAAATTGTAATGAGCACTGTCCTGATAACCAGCCCATTATTCTAAAGGAATAAGTTATCAGGGTATAGGGGCGAGGATGGCTCAGTTGTTAGAGGCGCTGACTACAGACCCAAGGGTCCGTGGTTCGAGTCCCTGGCATGACCAAACTTTCACCCAGAGTGGGGGGAGAGTCGCCAGCTCTCTGTAATTCCAGGCGTAGGAATCACGAGGTGTTGTCACATCGAGAGGAAGGACCAGGACACTGCTCGATAAGCATAGCTTCTCAGTATCCTAAAAACTACCTTCGGATTCTAGGTAGCAACAAATACAAATACAAAACAAATACAAATACTTCCACCATATCCAAAAGAATTGATGGCAGCAACTTTGGGAATTATTCGTAGATAAATCGAGTCTCATAAAGCTTAGGAGTTCACCAACAATGTGGCTCGCCTGAGACCATTAAATTTGTCGCTTGAGGAATGAACTAAATATTCGCGCAATTTCGATTTGTTTACTTTAAAGAAATTGAGGTAAAATTGGTCAATAATGAAAGACGTAATAAGAAAAACGAATGATTTTGCAGGATATATGTTTACTTAAATGATTCTTACTTAAAACTTCCTGATATCAGGTTTAAGAAGTAATAATAAATATCTCAAATCGTAATTTTATGCATCATCGAGGTTAATAATGGGCGATTTAACTGCTTCTTATGTAAGGGAGATTACATCACGGAGCTTACACGTGATTTAGGCAGGTAACTTCAGACGTTGCCTTAGCAACAGGAGCCTCGCATTCTTTATTGAGGAAGTCCCCAATGTTTCTGTATGAAAACGTGACAGTTGGGATCACTACTTTCTGGAGTTGTCACGGAAGAACTCTAGCGGAGTTTTCAATTCTTACGCAAAATGACGAATGATGAGAAAAGAGGCTCGAAGAAAAATATCTGTAGCAGATTCACAGATTTTGTGATCTCCAAATTTGAAGGCGCGTTTTTCAGGTACCAGGTGTTATGTAATATGCGTTTAAAAAAGTTAGTTAGACCTTCTTGTAATTTAATCGCCGGCAATTTGAAGCACCTGCAAATATTGGTGGATGAGCTATCTTGTAGCAATCATTTTAGAAAGGTTGAGGAGACGCCAAGTATCTGCTAACCTGTAGACAAAATTTCTCGTTTCGCTGTATGCAAAATTTTTGTGGCCATCCTCAGATTAATCGTCTCACAATTCATTTCTTACGATTCTCCGAAGCTCTTGCAAGAATGTTGGATGCAAGACTGCTACATATAATTTATATATTTTTTCATTCAATGTTATATTTACAAAATTATAAATACCTTAATTGTCGGAAACTTGCGGCGGTTTTACACTTTAGTGCAATTATGTAACCAGATTTTTTCTTATATTTATTTTAAAAAAGGATTAGCGAAGAACTTCAAAAACTTTTTATGCCGTAATTTTGAAAGAATTTTTTAATTGTTCTCATTAAATTAGAAAAGAACAAAACATCTTTCACAAAATTTTCACTCGGGATGTTGTTTGATATTTTGAAGAGTTTTTGTACGCCAAATTCAAATGTTCGAAAAATGTTATAACTGGATGTGTCGGCTCACACTCGCTACGATTTCAATCTCGTTACTTGTAACTATAATTAACTTTTATTGCTAGTGATGGTATGAAACTTAGGTATTCAATCAGGTTAAACCTAAACCGTTTTCATAGTTAATTTTCTTTAATGAGTATTAATGATGAATATGTTAGATGACAATATCTAGAAAAATCAGAATTTATTTTTCTATTTTAAACTTTTTCCTTTCTTTTCTGCATTAACCGTGATAATTATAGAAACCTGTGATAACTTGCTTTCAAAAACTGATGTTGGACATCCAGGGAAAAACTTCAGTTTAGAAGGAAAATATTAACAGACTATTGAATTTTGTAATAATTTCATGATCTGCTACATACAGCTACATGCTACATAATAATTTCATGATCATAACTTCAACACGATTGGCTAGCTGACTTAAAACCTAAGGTGTATGAAAATATCAGTACTCTTGCATTGTAAAAATAACGGTTTCCAATGGAAGGAAATTACTCGATAGGTATGTGAAGAGCATTTTGATACAAATGTTTGACTAACTTCCACTTAACTCACTAATTTTTTTTTGCTTCTGAGAAAAATTCTGCCAATATTAAGCTTAAAAAGAATCTTATTTTCTGTATGAATACATAATGAAAAAATTTCTGTTGCACAAAACCTAACATATCGGGACGTTGAAGCTAATAGCATTGAACTAGAGGATCTGTCAATAAACTGTACTGAAGTTTGCTTGAGCGTTAGGAACTTAAACCCTTCATTACCTTGTCTATTTTAGTCTTGGGAAGGCAGTTGGTAACAGTCCAATCCTAACAATTTTTGTTGGCCTGATTGTATGTGGTCTCTGTGGCATTGGTATGATAAAATTCACACAAGAGAACAGAAGTGAAAAACTATGGAATCCACAAGATTCTGAAGCACTAAGACATCAAAAGCTTACAGGGGAAAGATACCCTGTTAGATCAAGGCTGAATATTGGAATGTTTGAAAGTGACAATGTCCTTACTAGCAAGATGATAAAACATGTAAGTACAAGCTTTGACTTCATTCGTTTATGGGCTTTGACCACAGCTGAGTCTCAGCTCTTCAGGTAGGGCTATTGTGCTCAAGGTGGTGCTCAGATGTTTTTTGTTGACAAAGTAGCCCAGCCATCCTTTATTTGCTGACAAGTCTGAAAAGTTGTCAACAAAGCACCCTATTAATTGCAAACTCTTTGTATGGCATTGTTTTCAAAGGTGCATGTTACCCAATACCTCAATGTAGCAATGACCCTGCCTTCAGGTCTACTCGAAATCTAAAATTCAAATTCTGCTGCCTTTGAATTTTCAAACAGCATTTAGCAGCACAAAAGTCTAATTTTTGATTTGTTTTTCTTGCACCATGCCAGTTGTGATATATCAACTTACAGGTAGTTGTCAGAACACAATACCAAATCACATCATATCTGGCTTTGCAACAATCTTAATATCTTTTCCACTTTTATCTGTCCACCTGCGTTATTTTCTTCTTCTCATTAAAGTTACTGGCTTTTGACAAAGAAGTGAAAAAAATTTTGAATGGAACAAGTAACCAGTGGGATCTCATTTGCTATCGGTCAGTACATTTCACTGTGTTCAGTGCACATTTAAATCATATGACTCTAATGTATTTTTAAAAATTTCTTCATTGACTCCTTTTTTATCTAGAGAAGAATACTTTTTTAGTGATAACTATAAACATTTTTTTGCCGGTACAGAACTTGAAAATGGCCTTGAAAAAAGCAAACACTTTACAACATACTGGCTAAAAGCTTTTTCGTCTGACACGTCTCAGAGCATAAAACGTCAGAATTAGGGTCCGAAAAAACACAATGAAAAAATACATACCCAGTTGTGGATCGAAATAGGCCATTGAGAAAAATGCAAGCATAAGACTGGTATAGTTGACCAATCAGTGCCGCTTGCCTAAAGAAAAATCACCACTGGAGTCCAGGAGAGAGAACAAACTCCTTCTGTCTACACAATGGCAGTCTTTTCATTTGTGTGTAGATCGATTCCAAAACTGCTAGATGGAAGTTGACTGGGCTCCGCCAATTATCTGAAACATGTCGTTATCATAGACTCTGGCATATTCTGGGTTGTCTCAAATATGTTGACCAATGACAGAATCACTTGTTTTAATGATGTTTCTCAACCTTCAAGATCGAGGAGGCTGTTCTCTTTGAGGGTAGTTTTGTTTCTTATGTTGGAAGGAATGTGCTGTTTTATCCTATCCCCCAATCTTTGGGTTTTGCTTTGTGAACAATAAAAGGACATGAAAATGCATATTAACAGAATTCTAATGAAAATGGTTCACCACAGTGCGTCCTACAGAGCCAGAATCACACTGGCACGTAAATTCATAAATAATAGAATTTTTTTGCTTGGTAGGAGCACAATCCTTTTGAATGGATTGAAGGGCTCTCCTAGTGCTGTAAAGTGCGTGGTTTCTGTTTTTTAGGCAAGGTGCAATTTGTCAGACTGGTGGAATCCTTGAGATATGGGGGTACAATGAGACAATCATTAACAGTTTGACGGATCAGCAGGTTTTAAATGACGTCAATAAACAACCCTTGATCAGGTAATTTTTTTTTTGGGGGGGGGGGGGGGGGGGGGGGGGGGTTGATTTAAGAACACTGTCAGTGTAGAATAAAAGAGATCTTGAAATGAATCGTTTTCGAAATGTCTCTTCCTGGGTTGCTTTTTTAAAAATTAGAAAGTTGCTAAAATTTATTTCTCACAATTAGCACATCTTTAATTTTTTATTTCTACAGTTAAACCATTTGTTTGATATGTATGAGATCAATGATTACATCAAAAGAGGAACAGGGGGGGGGGTAATTTCCCCTTCCACTTGTCAAAACAAGTCTATATGATTCTTTAAAAATTGATCGAAATGTACTCAGTAAGAGAAAGTCATTTTTTTTCAAGCTGGGAACAAAGCACTGTAATGAGGCAAAAGGGTGTTGTCTCTTAACAAAACCCATTACCATACCACTCTGCCGTAGCTGATACCAAAAATGTATGGGTTTCTCTCCATTTTTGAAGCTCTTGTGATCTTTCAAAATGTTCTCACCTTTTGTTTTTAGTCTTGTTACTCAAAGACCAATCATCCTTGAGCGTATACTTGGAAAAATTGAACGAAACTCTGGCAAAGTTACAAAGGCAAAAGCTGTGCAGTCTACATACTTTTTGAAAAACCAGGAAGTGTATAGCAAGAAAACTGGTCAAAATGTAAGAAGACCATTTTTATTCCTTCAGTTTATATGCATAAAGTAATTCACTCTGCTGGTTGATTCTTTATATAAAGCTCTTTTAAATAGTAACTTTTTAATTTGTTCAATTGGACTTTCCCTTTTTTCAAGCCCTTTGTTTGATTTTAAAAAGAGAGCCTTGCTGTTTTAACAGGAAGATCCAAATGGTAAACTGTGGGAAGAAAAGTTTGGTGAAGTTGCTAGAAGCTTTGACAGCCGGCATTCAGATTTCCAATTGTATTACTACTCACAAACATCGTAAGTTGAGGGCAATTCATTATTAATTATGTCAAGAGAAGTTGGTGAAAATTCTACAGTTATGTGCCAAGTCTTATCCTTCTGAACAGGTGCATTTTCATCCAGTTTTACTTAGAGGGCTCAAAACTACATGGATTAAACCAATTTATTGCTATTGGATTTATCAAAGGCCTTTTTGCAAAAATTTCTAACAGCTGTCTTTCAACTGCAGGTTTCGAGCAGCATCGGGTGGTGCAATCACTGGAGACATCTCTTTCCTCTCCATTGGCTACTTTCTCATAATTGGTTACTTAGCATTTATGCTTGGCAGGTTCACGAGAATTGAACAGAAGGTAATTATGATTTGCCCTAGCACCAGGTGTTTTTCGATATGTACTCTACCACTGCCAAGCATTTAATGGACTGGATTATGCAGGACTAAAGTATTTACAATATTATAATATGCCCCCTCCCCCCTTTTTGTGTTTCTTTGTTGCTCTTTTCCTGTTTGGCTACAAGGGAGATGTGCATGTACACAAGCTTTGTGGTATTGTTTAATGTTTAAACTGTGATCTTGTTATTTTAAACCAAAAATGACCACACCTTTGATGAAGGTTAGATGTAGTTTTTGGAAATTGTGAGAGGGAGGGGGGTGGAGTGTGGAAAAGAATACTGTCGACACCAGTGGCGGACACTTGGTCAAATATTGGGGGAGCAAGCCTATTGTTTTAATAAGATGACGTCACATTTCCCATTGTTTTAGAACAAAAGACCATTGTTCTCTAAAGTATTGGGGGGGGTGGTCGCTCCCCTTCGCCCCCCCAAGTGTCCGCCACTGGTCGACACCAGACATGATGCTTCTCTTGTCCCTGGATGTATTTTAAATCTTCCTGAAGAGAGGGATTCCTCTATTTCGGGAGTGCAGGAAACTCAGCAGGCCAAGTGCTCTTAAGAAAGTGCTTTACTGAGTAAAGAAAAAACCCTCTTAAATATGATTTAATTAAGCTTAAATTTCCTTTAATTTTGTCACTTTGATGAAATCTGCTCTTGGTTGATATTGTTACATTTTGATCTTTCTTCAAATAGGCATGGCTAGCCCTCATAGGTGTCCTTTGCGTGGGTTTGGCAATTCTTGTTTCATTTGGTCTTTCAAGTGCCTTTGGTTTCTTTTATGGTCCTGTTCATTCCATATTACCCTTCTTAATACTAGGTAAGTAACAATTAGAGTCACTAACTTGAAAAGGCTTGATTGCTTTCAATTTCCATATGTTGCAGGGGCTCAATTTTTGTTTAAGGATGGGGGGGGGGGGAACTGAAATGAAATAACAAATTTATCACAAAATATGTTGTACCTAAGATTGTTTGTTTTGCATTGCTTTATGTTTGACCAGATTAGTTGCATGCTAAAAACTGAAACATCTTCGTTCAGAAGCCATCTGTTTCCTTACCCCTCCCCCCAAGAGATTGTTCTTGTAGTTTGTGGTCACATTTTCGCTAGGTTCTTACTCCATTAAAATATGTCACATTTTTTCAAAATATTTCCTTTCAGGTATCGGTGTGGATGATGTCTTTGTCATCATTCAATCATACGAGATCGTTTCTAAGGAACTGCCGGCTGATTGTTCAATGCCATATAAACTTGCTGCTACAATGAAAAGTGCTGTGAGTTTTAAACTTTTTTATGTAGTACCCATGGGCATAGTCAAAGAGGGTGCTGTAACCCCTCCCCATCATCTTTTGTGTGAACACGAGAAAATATTTCACTGCAGAAAAATATTGAAAATGTATTATACATGAATTGTTTTTTAATAGCATTAGTAAAACTGTCATAAAATTTATACACAGGAAAATATGTTTTGCCATTCGTTCGTACAAAATTACCTTAATTGCGATATTTCTTAAATTCATACTTTTTACAGTGCTTTTAATTGCTATTAATTTTTGACAGTTTGACTAGTTTTATTCTTACAAAATTATGGAGACATTATTCTATTTTCTTTATCTAGTTTGATTTGCTTTAGAGATTAAGAGTCTTGGTATTTTTCTATGTTGTACTACAATTTTCAAATCCAATATATGTTGTATTGCAATTTTTCAAATTCTGCAAAGTCTGTCTTAATTGAAGATAATTTTTTCATAACAGGGGGTGGCAATCTCCATCACATCTATGACCGATGTTATTGCTTTTCTTGTTGGAGCAACAACGGTAATATATAACATATAAAATATGTTTTTGATAAGCTTTAAGGCAACCACTAGATCCTAAATGGTTTAAGACATCTGTCAGTCAAATATTGGCCAATCAAAAAGCGTGTACTTGGTATTGCGCTTATTGATTGGCCAATCGTTTGATAAATGTCAACACCTATATTGTTACCATTGTTTCCGAATATGTATTGAGTGTCCCCCTCTTGGGATCATATCTCACCCTCCGATTCCCAGTCTGTTGACAGAATTTTGTCAAGTGAGATTCACTTACCGTCGTAATAGAGTTTTTAAATTGTGACGTCATAAAAAAAAATTTTAGATTTTCTGATTTTGGATCATATATTCCAAAAGAGAATCAGAAAATGCCTCTTATCATTCAAAATAAGTTAATTGTGTTAGGAACTCGCTGAGAGATGGTCATATAAGCCCAGGCTCTTTCCCCATCAAACCTCTGTTATTTGGTTTCGGTAAGAAACTTTATACACCCAACGAAAATGACAGAAATCTGTTAGCGAATTTCACATTTTTCATTGGCCATATCTGACCCCGTTTCCAACATATTTAAACGATTTTGTAAATTCAAAGTTATTTCATGGTGTTCTTTCAGGTTATATCTCTAAAAGAATAAAGTTGTATCATTTTTTTTGGACGTCAAAGTTAAGAACTCTATTCGTCTTAGATTTGGCGTGATGTTCAAAGACACCGGTTTTGATTAGTTCCTTAGCCGTAGTGAATTTGACAACGGCAAACAAATTTGTTTTATTTTCATGCCACTGTGTAAACTCGTATCGACCATTTAGATGTTTCTCCCATTTTCAACCGAAGCACTTTTCGAAAACGTCTTTCTGCCTTGTTTATATAAAACACTACCTGTCTCATCAAATTTGGTATTTTGCGAGTTTCCCGTTCTATTGAAACCATTAAATTATTAATGTTTTAAATTGTTTAAATGATACGTTACGTAAGAAGTGAGCTTTAGCTATTTTCACAGCGAATTGTGTTCGATATAATTCTAATTGATATTCTCAAACGATTTTTACAACCCTAGGTTCTTCCAGCCCTCCAATCATTCTGTGTTTATGCAGGATTAGGTAGGTTGCTAACGAAACTTTTCATCAATGTAACTTTTGTTTGTTTTGAAGCCATTTCAAATTAAAGAGACTAAGAAAATTTGTATTTGTTTCTACCTAGATTTCAAAAGTAGTTTTTAGGACACTGAAAAGTCATCGAGCTATCAAGCAATGTCTCGGTCCTTCCTCTCGATATAACCACACCCAGTGGTGTCGCTTGACCTTCCAGACTAGGGGGTGGAGGGTCATCAATAGAAAAACTAACCGACGAAGTCATAAGATAGAGAAGAATTTAAGTACTATTTCACCTACTTATAGCTAATTTTACCGACAAACTAAGGGTTTTGTAGACAAACTGAAGATTTACCGACGAATTCATGAAGAATTATGGGGGTGTTACGCCCCCTAACCTCCCCCCGCTAGCTACGCCCCTAACCACACCTTATGATTCCCATGTCTGGAACTACAGAGAGCTGGCGATTCTCCTGACTCTAAGAAAGGCTTTTAAAATGTTCAAAGGAATCATCACCCCATCAACAAAGTGTTTGTCTCTACCGATATCAATCGTATTTTTGTTGTTGTGATCAACGCGGTTTTCCAAATTCTTTTCGTTTATTCGTTTCTATAATCCAAATTCTTTCGATTTTACTTGTGTTCTGCTTCAAAGCCTCAAACACCGCAGCTCTTTTTTATAATGCTGATTGACTTTGCGTTTGAAATAACACCGAACGTTATCCATCAACAAAATTACCAGTTTCGTAACTAACAAACATTTTTCATTTCTTTGTCCATTTGGTTTTCAAATCACTCCGAAACTCAATACGTATTCAAGGTCTGCTTGTGGTAAATTATGAAAATGTAGGAAAGAACTTTTTTCATTTTCCTTTGATCAACAATTTTCAAAGAGTCCGATTAGGGGAATCGCCCCATTCGATTTCACGTTTTGTGGGCGGAACAGTATTCCATTCTTGCAAACAAGATTTATTGTATTTATTTCCGTACTAAAAGACTATCCTGTTTGAAAGATAATAGAGAACTATTTGAGTTTCTTAATAAAGAGTACTATTCTGTGGAAATTACAAAATATCTTCCTGCAAACATGCTTTGGAGTCTATAACAGGACCGTTCTAAGTTGCAACGTCGAGTTTTACACTCTATGCGATCACTAGAAAGCTGTTGTCTAATGATCTCATAGACTTGTGGACCAGGGGGCACCGGGGAGCACGTGTCCCCCCAACTTTTCAGAAATAGTGGTAAAGTACTAACTAGCAGCTCATAGAGGTGCCCCTATTTTGACTGCATGTGTCCCCCCACTTTGGAGAAGCTCCCAACCTCTATGTATGTTCTACGTCTTAGAGCCGTCCCGTTCTATGCATCAATGTCTGCACAGCCCTGCCTTTACTGTTTCAAGCACCATGTGACAGACCGGTAAACAGCAATTCTCATTCTCCTGCAAACAGAAAGACTATTTACAATAACGATTTTGATAAAATGTGAAGTTCCCGAGTCTCTTCCTTCTAACAAGTTTTATTTTCATCTACAGGAATTCTCGCTGTTTACTTCTTTGCAATTACAATATTTGCTGCTTGCTTGGCGCTTGACATTAAAAGGTATTGCAAACAAAATTTGAATGCTAGCTACTTTTTAAAGAGATTTTGGTTTAGTTATCTTGAAGAGAATAAATTTGGAGTTTGGTGAAAATTAGATATTTTTACACCTTCCTTCACCTTTAACACCGTTCATAATATAGTAAATTTTCATTTTAAATATTTTAGAGACGCATATTTTATATTTATCAACTTGCAAAATTTCTGCTTCTTAGAAAGTGCTTAGTTGTAACTCTTGAGTTTCTCGCTCAATGCGTTCATCTGGCAACTTTTAAGAGTCTTTATGTTACTGTCTTTATCAGATTTGATCAAAATCTTAAATAACTTCATTAAGATCTCTTGGGAAACGTTTATGACCAACTTGAAGACACCAACCTCAAACCATAGGATAAGACTGCTTTATGGCATTATTAGCGTGTTACTACGTAAACATGGTCAGTCACGCGGACGCTGCGTGTAACATCGGAGCACTTTCCCAACTATACAAAACCCAATAACTCAGCAATTAAACGATATTTTTCAGTTCTTTTTGTCGTAAGCTCAGTAGAACTTTCCATTTTTGGAAAAAAATATATTTGGGTGTAGGTGGAATTTAAAAAGCTTTGAGCACTGGAAACATCAAAACGTAGTTATAATCTCAGTTTGTCATCTATAAAAAATTTGTGCCATTATATCGTGCATTAGAGAATTTTTTGTCACTTTTTTGGTAACATTTACGTGATTATGTTCAGCTTAGAGAGTGAATAGTTGTTGAATGAATTTCTTGCCACTTTCAGGAAAGAGCAGAATCGAGATGCTTGTTGTTGTTGCATCACTCTATCCAGCAGCTATGAACCGTTTGCTTGTGGAAAAAAAGATCGCCTTCAGATGTTCTTTGACAACGTTTTTGGCAAATACCTTGTCAAGGTCCCTGTGAAGGTGAGTGATTTAGCGTTAGTGTTACAAAGGCCTCGATGGGAGTTGTAGAGGTGCGACTGCTACCCTAGCTTTTGTGAATACCCAAAGTGATTATCAATATTTTCTGGAAATATAGGTATTTTTCTTCAGGAGAAAGAATTTTATTATACGAAAAAGTCCCCCCCCCAGCTTACATAGATTTATGGTATAATATTGTTTCATATTTGTCATAACTTGTATGTATTAACATCCTGCTTCCCTTGAAGTAATCATATTCGCAGCTAAGTGGCATAACAATAACCCTTTTAAACAGTATTCGTAGGATTAAGCGCAACTTCCCAGTTCTTATCATTACACAAAGTTAGGTAAAGGCCGCCAAGAAAGGCTTCTCTTCTGCGGGGCCATGTAAAAGCAAAATGTCTTTTTAAGCATTGCAGCTCGCTAAATTGTTGCCCAATGGCATCTATTAACAATGATGTCCTATCCCTCAATTTGACAATTTACCTTATCCACACTGTCTCTTGCTGACATCGTTATTCTCCATCCTTAGGTTGGAGTTTTGATAACGACGTTGGCACTTTTTGCTGTTGGTTGCTACGGAGTCACAGAATTAACACAAAACTTTGACTTCAACCTTTTTTTGCCACCGGATTCAGATGCAACAAAATTCAACATCAAGAGCTCTGAGGTAAATCAAAAGCGGAAGTTTTATATCTAAATTCCGAGAATTTTTCATCGTCCACTTATTGTATTGAGTGATCTTTTCAATTTATAGAGACCCAAATCATTTTTCATAGACACTTCATTCTAGCTAAAGTTGTATACGAGCCAACCGTGGGATCTGTTCCTAAAATGTCTTAGTCGATCAATAAATCTTTCGCTAAGTTGAAAATGTGAAATCCTAAATACATCCCTATTCTCTTCTTTTCCTTAACATCGCTAATCAACAGCCAAAGATTTTTTATTCATACTTAAATCAACTATGTTCTCGATATTATTTAGTCCTGAACTGAATCGTTTCTTGATTCACTTTTCAAACAACCGAAATCTTTTAAATCTCGATTAAATGTGCTTCCTCAACAAATGACTTTCTTTCTATAGAACCATTTATACCTGTAAGCTACTCTCAGCTTTGCCACCCACCCACAGAAGATGAAACATTGCAATCTTAAACTGCAAAAGCTTATTTATATACCTTCTGATCTTCTTAAGAATACTCTCAGCCAGAGGATGGATGGAAATTAAGGATTGTAAGATTTAAAGCATATGCGTTGAGTTAAGTGTATTTATAAGAATTATATTTTGGTAATCAAAATCAATTGCTACATTTTCACAATTAATTGCTACATACGACAAAGCCTCGATAATAGCTGCCAGAATGCCACATTCCAGCTGGAATTTCCCTGACTACCTGAGTTCAGTTTCCCTTTTATATGGTACAAATACAACGTCCATTATTTCCTATAATAGCTTCAAGATCAGGAGATTTTTCTCTAAGCCTCTTTGTTGCTGTCTAAACTATTAAAAAATTTGTAACATGCCATTCTTTTTATTTAGTACTTTCCCAACGATGGTGTGAGCTTCTCTGTTTATTTTGGTAAGTGGTTTGGTAAGACTTAAGTTTTGGCTCAAACTATATTTATTACCTTTTTCATTCATATCCTATATTGAATCTATGCAGTGAAATCTATCAAAGCGCCTTTAAACCTTTAAAGCCTCTTAATCAACGCCAAGGCCTGCACAGCTCTACCTATACAGCACTGAGCACTTTAGGAAGACCTGTCGAAGATATTATTTTCATGAATATGTAATCATATAACCTTTTGTACTGCAAAACTGAGAATGATCACATTCGATGGCGGTGCCAGAGTCTAAGCTGTGAAGTAGAAAGGGCGGTGGCGACAAACTAAAATGTTCAGGTCACGCCTATTTCACTGTAATTAAACGCCCTATTACGAATAGGGCTCAACAATTTTCCTAATAGAACAATCCCGTCACTACTTTAGGTTACTAAAAGGCAGTTTCAAAATTATATCATTATGTCACAAAGAATAATTTGCCAAAGTATTACCCCTCCCCTAACATTTTCTCACTGAAATAAAATATCGATCCTTCCAAGAGCTAAGGAGAGTGTTCCCCAGTCCACCTCGTGGCGCCATTGATCGTTTTGTCTTCTGGCCTATCTATTTAATCATTCTATACTACACTGCTGATTTCATGTTATGCCATGTAAAGTTTTCGTGTTTCTAAAAAGTTGTTATTTAGTGTCACAAAACTTTTTTTCAATTTCAGGTGATATTGACTACTTCAACGAGCAGAACAAGTTGCAGTCAGCTTATGACAAATTGCGTAGTAACGAGTACATTGTCCCATCATCAGTCTCAAGCTGGTATGTCACATACATGACATGGGTGAATACAACATACGGAAATACAGCAAATGTTGACAAAGGTAATTCATCTTACTTCTCGTTTATTCCTTTATGTTTTTACAATTTTTGTTGTTATTCCATAGTTTTACGCTTCGCAGACTTTGTACCCCCATGCCTTTACTATAAGGCCTAGATGGTTAAACTGCAGCAAGGTTCTTGCATCTTGTTGCCCTTTCGAAGATTTCCACGGAGTGTGGTTCTCATGTCTCCCTATTTTATCAGCCTCTGATTCGTGTAGCTCCTAACACCCACAGTATACATTTTTAATGCTTTTTCAAGGCATTTAAGTATAGCTTTAATTGCATCCAGGCATGATATTTTACGATCTTTTTGTCCTTGAATTTTTTGTGTAGAAATGTTTGAAGTCACCCGTTTGATGTCAGTGTCTGCGTATGTTGCTTTTTCGGGGCCCGCGCCACTGATTCTAAACTGAAGATTTTTGAAGAAAATTGAACAATTTTGAGATATATTTTGTTTATGACTTAATCAATATTTTTATGTTTTTTTAGAAAAACGTCCAATAAACAACAGTTTATTCATCACTTGGTTGAAACAGTTTCTGAATGATAAATCTGGTAGAATATACAAGACTGACATCAAGTTTGACGCCACTAATTCCAAGATTTTGGTGAGTCTGTCACGTTCTATAGTACCTCATATCTGTCACGTTGTATTGACCTATTTCCAGCATCAAATGTCTTCACTATTTGTTGTAGAATGTTGCTCGATCCTCGCTGCATTAAAATTCGAAAAATTCCCACCCATTAATGAGAATCTTTTCCTTTCTGAATGGGATTTCCGATTCCCGACTGCCCCACACAAACATGTCTGCACTTGTCTTGCACTTTTCGTAAAGTTAAGGTCTTTCCTTTACTTCTTTTGGCTAAGAACTGCCACATTCGTTGGCCTACGTAAATTGATTTGTGTTATTGGTGGCTTGAAATAGATAAACTTGCATAGTGGTATAACTGAAGCGAGAAAATAGAGAAAGATTAATATGAAAGTACAGGAACCGCAAGAAAACACCCGCTTCATAAAAGAACACTAATTTATCAAACCTTTTCATTTATTACCCACACTAACACTTATTTATCATTGAGATATTAATTTTTGAAAAACCAGCAAAAATCACCCTATGACGTAGCTATGACGTCATAACCACGCCCGAATTCAAAACCTAATACATCAGACTGTTTGTCTTGACACGTAGTGGCTGAAAACCTTAGAAAGTTAAATTGTAGTGACGGTAAAACCGGGCGACAGGGCCAGGAAAGCATTGCAGTCATATGGCTACAAACCGTAAGCAAGGCCAGTACCTATTGAAGTGCTAAAACCTGGCTTTTTCTTTGTTTTCAGAGGACGGCCTCGAAAATTGACGAAATTATCTTGAGGATGGATAATTAGACTGGACTCTTGTTCTTGTATGCTTTGGTGCTGAACTAGGGTTTCCACTGACGTCATTATTGTCTTGACTTACTATAGTTTAAACGACTCATTTTCTTTGTAGTACTCGAGAATGCATGCGACTCACATAAAGATGAAAGACTCGCCAACAGAAGTTAAAGCAATGGACAGCGTTAGGGACCAGATTAAGAGCATCTCGTTTTCAAAAGAGGCCTTCCCCTACACGAGGTTCTATATTGGTTGGGAAACAAATAAGGTAAAAATTGAAGGAGTTCTTGCATTCTGTTTCCGTCCTTTTTTTGCTAACTTGTTATTAATATATTTAATTAGCAGTTTCTCAATTCTTCTTCATACTGCTCGAGGGTAAATTGTAATTTTGAAACTAGGATGTCTGAGGTGCGGTTCCAACAGTGCTCCTTTTGGGGAAAGGGAGAGTGGCATCGATTTTTATTTTGGCATGAATTGAAAATTGATGGATATTTGACTGAATCTCCTTGGGTTGCAAAATAACCTTTTTTTATTAGGTTTCCTTTACCTGACCCTCAAGTAATGTTTTTTCACATTGACCGAATATTTATCTTTTTTCACAGATCATTGCTGTTGAACTGGTGCGAAATCTTGCCCTGGCCGCTGCGTGTGTATTTTTGGTCACTCTTTTCTTACTTGCCAATATTTGGACATCTCTAATGGTATTCACTTGCGTCATATTGACACTGGTAGGTCGCTTTGAATTGATTCTGCTTCATTAATATCGTCTATACGTCCGCAATGTGATGGCAATTAAAAAGGTGCTTGTACATAGGCAAGACTTGGTTCCTCAGGGCCTGGTTTCCTCAGGGCCTGGTTTCCTCAGGGCCTGGTTTCCTCAGGGCCTGGTTTCCTCAGGGCCTGGTTTCCTCAGGGCCTGGTTTCCTCAGGGCCTGGTTTCCTCAGGGCCTGGTTTCCTCAGAGCCTGGTTTCCTCAGGGCCTGGTTTCCTCAGGGCCTGGTTTCCTCAGGGCCTGGTTTCCTCAGGGCCTGGTTTCCTCAGGGCCTGGTTTCCTCATGGCCTGGTTTCCTCAGGGCTTGGTTTCCTCAGGGCCTGGTTTCCTCAGGGCCTGGTTTCCTCAGAGCCTGGTTTCCTCAGGGCCTGGTTTCCTCAGAGCCTGGTTTCCTCAAGGCCTGGTTTCCTCAAGGCCTGGTTTCCTCAGAGCCTGGTTTCCTCAGAGCCTGGTTTCCTCAGGGCTTCAACCTCTACAGAGAGTCCTTGAACACAAATGTTAGTTTTCAATTGCAAATTTAGGCATTCCACTCCCCCCTCTCTTCCCGCGCTGTCTTTTTCACCTTTAGCTTATTTTTTTATATATGGTCTTTACTCAAAACTGTTTGTCATATTTTAGGTTGACGTCGGTGGCATGATGTATTTCTGGGGTCTGTATATTGACACAGTCACTTCTGTTATGCTCATCCTTGCGATTGGCCTCTGTGTCGATTACGCTGCACATATTGGACATGCGTTTATGACTGCCAACCAACGGACCAGAGACGGTAAATTGAACTTTTTTAGCCTATTTTTCAACCTTTTAATCCTTGTAAATGCTACTATCGACAGCCAGTCTCTTTCCCTGTATGCAATTTTCGTGTACTTAAAGTCGTTACTTAGCGAGGATTTGCATACCAAATAGCGATATGACTTCAATATAATGAGTTAATGATTTAAATACCAAAAATAAAAATGGCTGCTAAAACAGGACGTGTCGAGTATGTACTTGTTATCAAGTGACTCGATATGAGACGTGCCGAGTATGTATTTGTTATCAAGTGACTCGATATGAGACGTGCCGAGTTAAGAGAAGACAAAGTTCGACATATAGGATAGAATGCGAGATGTGACGTAACTGAAACCAGTATTGGGAGTAGGGGGAATATAAGCATAAAAACGAAATATCTTGAGGAAAACTTTTACTTTTTTGCCCCATTCCTCTAGATATTTTATTTTATCAATTTAATTTACAAGACCTTTTATTTTCGCCTCCTATATTCTTTCCTGAAGCACCGCTGCTCTGATATATAATATTTCTTTATATGATGTATGAACGATACCCCGAGTATTTAGTAACTAGGTCCAGAGCCTTATTCGTGCTTTTGCAATTAAAAGGCTTTTTGCGTCTGTGCGAGAAGCGAATGATTTCTTCAACTTCTGCTGCCTACTCACATAATAGAAAAAAATGGAGTTTGGTGTGGCTATAAATTTCTTGTTTGCACCTGCGTCAGTTGTATTCGAACTGTCAACATCTGCAAAGCCCGTGAACTGTAGATTTGTGCAATTAGCTAGATTGTATTTTTACTCATTTTTGCCTTTGGTTCCATCTCATGTCTGCAAAAATTCTATCTAATATTTACAAATATTGTCGACTTGTATCTTTGCTCGCCACTAAAACTGCCTCAACCGACTTGGTTTTTCCAAAAGAAGACAAGTGGCCCTAGGTAATTCTCGATGTTTTATTCCATGTGCTCTCAGGGAATTTATTCAAGCCAAAGTTTCTTGTCTTTAAAACTTCCCCTGATTTTGACCTCAAGTATGGCTCCGGAAAGGCGTACTATCAAAGTCATCACTATAAGTTAGCTAACTTACAAAACCAAAAAAAAATAAAAACATCTTGCTTCTTGCTATACTTCTTATCTTATTCCAATTTTAAATATTATTCAATGCTTTTGTATTGTTAATATTATTTTTAATCATACTTTCAAATCAAGGCATAAGTCCATACTATTTTGGGTTGTGCACACAATGTTTTTATACTATACAACTTTCATACAGGAGTGAATTTGAAAAATAATGAAAAATTTGAAGTGTTTTTTATGACTTGCGTTGTGGATGGTATTCTAAGATCAAATGCTCCAATAAAATTAGAATATATTCAGCTTAAAAAAGATCTCAATAAGTTGCTTTCAAAAGAATTCTCTCGTTTAATTTCTCTCTTTTGTATTTGTTGGTTACTGTTAATCATTTTCTGTAAAATTTAAGTGCTCTTTTTATGCGATGTTTATAATGTCTTTTGTAATTTTGAAATGCCATGCTAATTCGGAATCTTTAGGTTGAACGTTATGGTTCCAGACTTATATATTTTCACGCTTCCTTTGTCTTTTGCCCAATGTACCTTTTATGGAAATATAAATTATAATTACTGATCATTTATTTAATATTTCTTGCTTCCTTTTTTAGAGCGAGCCAGTACAGCCATCAGTGAGCTCGGGCCTGCTGTATTCAATGGTGGTTTCAGTACATTCCTCGCTTTCCTACTCCTCGCGGCTTCTACGTCTTATGTTTTCAAGACATTTTTCAAGGTAATTCTGTTAACTGGACATTCTTTTATAAAAAAAGCCTGGTGTTTATACTATGCGAAGCGTCGGACGGAAAGTACACAAATATGTTATGTTTCCGCTTCATATGAAAAATTAGGGAAAAACAATATGTTTTTTGTGGATTTTCGCTCCTGTATACAAAACAGAACAGATTTTTTCAGCAACTCAACTCTGCTACTGAAAATGTCACGCAAAATTGTTATTGAACGCTCTTAGAATAATTTATAGCGGATATATGTAAAAAATCAATGCTTAAATAAGAACAACACGAAGAAAACCTGAAGCAAAGATTATTAAAAAGCACCGATTGTTGACAAAAAGTTATGCGGCCCTTACAAAGAACAGAGAGTGTATTCGGCATGGACGTCACACCGCAGTTAGATTGCTTCTGTCACTGTATTTTTAGTCACCGTATTTGTCTCAGTTAAGACTTTTGCGTAAATCCTCTACAAACCGCTAGCATAAAGCACAAAGCTTTCGCAGTAGGATGTTGAAAAAATAGCCTTTCGCCATCTGCTTGGTTCATTAAATCAATTTTTTATCTCTTGTGCACCGAATTTGCTCTGTCAAAAGCTGTTTCGGTTAATTGCAGTCGTAGAACAACTGATATTCACTTTTTCTCGTTGAATTATGTTTAATTTCATTCGCCCACACCAGCTGTATCAACAAAACAACAGTTTGGTGCCTCTTTTGGTTCTGACCCATTCAATCTCTTCCCTGAACGTTTCTTCCTTCTCATGTGACCGAGAGATCAATTTCATACTTGCCGAATAGCGAGTTGAAATCCAGTGAAGAATCTCTGTCAATATCCAGTCTCTGAAACTAGGCCAAAACAACAGTCAACGAATATCTATACATATATATATTGAGTAGACCTCTTTATATTTATATATATATATAAGCCTTTGCCTTGTGGTTATATATATATATGGTTAAAATGGCTCTGACGAAGGCTTAAAGCCGAAACATAATAAACAAAAACTGCCTTGGCTACAGTGAAATCTCCAGTGTTGGCTTCGGAGATTCCTCGCTCATTTAATTGGGCCATTTGTCTCAAATGAATGAGCGTGGGTTTTTGAAGCAGCAAACTGGAGTTCGATACCGACCAAGAGTGGTTCGATACAATTGGGCAGCACCCTTGTGGAAAGAATTTTCCTCCTGTCAGCCTTTGTCTTGTAATTATATATATATCATAAAGACAGTAGCTTAAATATCCAAAATTCACTTGCTGTGTCTGCGTCAATTGACTATGTCTGCGTCACTTGCTGTGTCTGCGTCAATACCTATTTTGTACTTTAAGGGGGCTTTCATAGTGAACTTTTGGGTTCCAACAGCTGGAATCCTAAGGATAAATGATCTATGACGTCACACTCGAATATGTAACCCGACACACGGTATAATTAGTTAATTTTCCTTTTAGGTGTTTTTCTTAGTTGTCGTGTTTGGTTTGTTCCATGGAATGGTTTACTTCCCGACTCTTTTAAGTTTGATTGGACCTAAAGCGTACTCAACGACTTCCCAAAGAAAAGATTCCCTAGAGCGCTCAAAGTCGCCTAACAGTATCGCCAATGAAAAACATTCGGATACCAGTCTCGAGAATGGCAGCGTAACCGTGAACGGAAACGTAACCGCAAACGGAAGTACAGTGGTAGAGAATGCGTATATCACCAAAAATGATGGTAAGATATTTTCGAAACATTTTTTGCCTTTTGATGAATCTCCACTATTTCAGATTTGTACTGGAATCAGCGATGAATTATTAGATCGGAGGAGTTTCCTTTATATGTTTTATGTTATTTCAAGAAGAGTCCATAAAGATTTTTAACTTTCCTAAGGAAAATACCTGCACATAGTAAAAAGGGGCTGGGTTTTGGTGTCATTATTAAGTTTCTTTTGTTTTTGACCTCGCTCACTCGCTCACTCGTTCGATCGCTCACCCGGTTCTGAACCAGAGACCGCCGGGCTGTCTGACTCTGATTGCTCAACAATTGTAAAATGTTATTGTGACATTTTGGAGGTATTCTGCTTTGCTTTCCTTGCTTTGTAAGGTTGCTTTGTCGCAAACCTTATATGCCTGGAGAGCCAAGACTACATGTGATTTATAAAAACAGTGTTTATGTTCCTAGCCTAAATTTATTTCTGGTATCATCTTCTGAATCTTAGCTTGTCTTTAGAGAGTTGTCTGTGGGCTTTTCTTTCGAACCTGTCTTGAATCTACTTTCCTCTTTGGTCAGCTTGAGTCTGTGAAAGAACGATTGGTTTATTATGCCAATGTCATTTCAAAATCATTTCTTCTGCCTTGGTTCTAGATTGCGGTGCGTTCAGTCAGTTTGCAAAAATCCAAAGCTACATGGTTGTATATGCATTCCCGATGGCTTGGTTAAATCGAGTCTTCAAAAGAGACCTTTAAGTCGAATAGTTCTCATGCTGTCGAAAAGCTCCATGCTGTTTGAGGCCTTTCCCTGGACTCTTGTCGTCATTTGTGAACTTTCTGTCTCTCTTCTCTCTAAACCATCTTCAGTCGAAGTAACATTAGATTCAACCAAATTTTGTTTCTCAGATTATAATTCATTAATGGGACAGGCCTAGTGTAATATGTATTTAAGGAACAGTCCATCTAAAACTTTATTATCATGCCAGACATTGTTCATAGCATCTCAGTTACAGAAAACGCTTTATAATCATTACGAGGTAACTTCTTGTTATCAGTCTCAGGTCCACTATAAGTATTACAACAAAGATGATTCAGTGTTTTATGGTATACCGTGTTTTGAGGCCTTGTCAGAGCTACAAAGACTGTAGCATTCTGTTGTAGAAAAGAGTTAGCTCGTCGTCATGATTGTGGGGAAGAAAATTAGGTCTATCTGTCACACCAATAATGTATGTTTTAAGATGAAATCTCTCTTTAATGAGCTCTCTACAGTTCACTAGAAAAGATTTTCTGTTCAGCAACCACTCCTCAAGTACTGACCACTGTCCCTCTAAGGTTTTTTGTTCACCGAATAGCCTTGTTAAGACTTAATTGTATTATTCAAGTTCATTGAATTCCTTTATTTACTTGACCCTATATGTAAATGGCTTGCTCACAGCAAAGATATTTTGTTTCAAATTACCCGCCCGTCACTCGTCTATGACATGTTGGGTGACGTCATAGAAAAGATGTATCACTGTGGCATTGGAAGCTGAATTTTTTATGAAAGTGTAGAATGTACCATATATTGGATGTAAATTATATCGATCAGGGATTCCGTTTCAACGCCATAGAAAAACGTATATCGTTATCTCAGAAAAGAAATATATTTTTAGGTATTAATAATATATTTTAAAAAAGTAATATATTTATCCACGTAAAATTTGAAAACCTTTTTAGAAGTTAAAGGCAGATTGTCCCGATGATAATTTGATACTTGTACGAACATGCATGTGATTTCATGCTTATTTTCACGCAAATTTCCTCACCCTGATTGGTTCACTTGATCAGAAGGTCTTTCATGCATAATTTCAATGACCACCAAAAGTCAACACGAATGAAAAAGGGACCATCTGCCTTTCGTGCAAAGATGTCGCTTTTTTAGATTAACCTCATGTATAGCTTCACCAAAAATGGATTGCCATATTTTATCATATATGTTTATTCGTCAAAGATTGATAGAGGATTTTCGTATATTTTGTAGTATTGATGATTTAATATAGTGTACATAAATGATTTTTTATCGAAAGAATGATTTATAAATAAAACAGAAAGAGCTATTATTTTGAGATCAGTTTCAATACACGTTTATTTTTACATTAAATACGATATGATTCACAAAAATAGCCTCTTTTTAACTCGTATTTCATACAATTTGGGTATAATGGCCAAAGTTATCACACACACCAATTGCTGCATAGAAAATTATGTTGATAAATAGCTGTGCTTCATTCTGTTCTACGCTCTCTTATTCTTTACTCCGTTCCATAATCCAGATTCTCTTCACCTATCCATAATTTATCCATAATTTACCAAATATAGGGCATATAAATGCTGACAAATTTTTCCATCTAAACTTCATCAAAATTCGTTTAGAATCAAAACCCCTTTGTTAGCTTTTCTTTCTAACTTTCTGATTTTATGACGTTCTGATACAGTTAGGAAAAAGGGGTAGAAGATATGGTCTTTTGTATAAGATTTTGCACTTTCCTTCGTTAGTTAGAATAGTTTCACGACATTGTTAGTTACAAACCAGACAGCAATGCGTCGGATCCATTACCCATTTGTCTTGATATCATTAAAATATATATTTACGTTAATTTCTTCTTCTTAGGTCCGATTGAGCTAAAGGAGAAGACAAACGAAGAAAATTCAGATGTCAACCACGCTTGAACGAAACGTAGATCGTTTTTAAATCTACCTAAGTTTGGGTCTTTTTACATTTGAAGCTGGCACTATGACATTTGTAATTAAATTCGACTAGGTTTTCAACTACATCTGAGCTATCATTAGAAATGGTTTGTTGCAAACTTGCATAATTTTTGTCCATAGTTCATTTTTCGTATGTAGCCATATTTAATAGTAAAGCTTCTAAAAAGCCCTTTTCGAAGAAATTATAATGATATACTTTGAAATAGGTCTCTTGAGCTGATGAAAATATTTGGTTATGTGACATTTAACCGGGTTTGTTGCGTCGAACTTGATTCGTTCGTGGCGTCGAGCATTTTAATTTCCCATTCTTTCTTGCTGTTTAGTTCCGGGTTTAATTCTTCAATAAATAAGGAATTACAGCATCGCATCACTGCCACGGTACCAGAAACATTTGAAGACGAAATTAGTTTGGCCTAAATAGCTAGAAATGTTTTGTAATTTTAACATGTTAATTGCTTATTGTATTATCATATTCGTAACTATAAAATAGTGGTATGATTTGTAAATATAGCATTTTGGAATTCCTTAGTTGTTATTTATATTCATTTATATAAATATTACATTTTTTCACTTCTATAGGAAGTTTAAGCACTGGTTTTAAATAATGATTGATTATGTATTGTAAGTAGGTTTACGTCAATTTTTTAAATCGTTCTCGGCAGAATTCAATGTTTTCAGCCTTTGATTGATTTTGAAATCTGTCCTGTTGAAGAAGCACAGTCCAAAGCCCAAAGCCTAAAATCCAACAATATGCTTTTGGTAAGTTTGAGATTGAAAGAATGCGTTACTAGTCAAAAAGCATGTTAATAGATTAATTAAATACGTTTCAATCCATGGGAAATTTGTTGGACGGAGTATAGTTGTTACCAATCAAGCTTACTTAAGATTGATAGTAAATGTCATCAGGGACGGGTTTTAAAGGCAAGGATTGTTAGTGAAAACTAAAACCAAAATTGACCATTTTAGCAAGGCTATAGGCTTAGTTTTTTACCTGAAATCGCTCATTTCCTTTTAACTTAACTTGAATTTTTCAAATGAAAATGACCTCAAATTGGGCAGACCTAGAAGCTGTGCTTTGCAGTCTACCAAATCTAAATACTTGATATATCTTTTACGTTATATTCACTGGAACAAGAATCTATCCCTTTCCAGAAAGTCGATTAGCTGATAGTTGAATTAAACACTTATCAAAGAAATTAGACACTTCAGTGGATAAACTTGTGCGAAAGTCAAATACAAAACCATAGTCAACTATTTATTATGCCAATAACTTTTAATCCCTCTTAAAAAGAAAGACCTATCAAACTTCATACATAATCTTCTAGAAATTTACTTGAACGTACATTAATTCGATTCCTATGAACATAGTTTTAAAATTTAATCGTTCTAGAAATGTTTAACACTACGAAATTCGTTTTCTGTTGAAGGCTCCTCCGCCATCACTCTTCCCAGGGACTCATGTCAGCATCGATCGCAATGCAGTTATAGGCTGCGTACCTTAGTTTCTCCTCCGCAACTTGAGCACTAAAAGAGTGAAATGCATTTGATAGAACAATTTCAATGTGAGGTGCTGTCAAATCAGTTTTGCTTGGATATGAACTCACCTTATTGCCCATAAGCCACCAACGATCACTGCGTTTCGAGTGGCTTCTGTACCAATCTTTCAGCTTGTGCCAATAATGAAACCTTATCATTCTTAAATCACTCCGCTGCTGCTTTCTAGAATGTTACTTCTAGAATCTTCTAGAATGTGAACACCTCCGAGACTCCCTTCGGATTCCTTCTATACTTTCGTTGTATCCTTTAAGTTTTAAATCTTTAACGTGTTGCATCTTCAGACTTATTTCATCTCGAATCCGCGAATAAATGGTAAATTGATGACGTCACAAAGCAAAATCTCTTATGTAACTAAGCATAAACTATGTAGCATTTAGTGACATTTAAAATACAGATCAATGAATTTTAAGCTGAAAGTTAAAAAACTCACCTTGAATATGATGGAAGGAAAAGAGTATTGGAGCAGGTCGCTGATTCAGGCAAAGAGTTTATCGCAGCATCGCTGAAAAATATAGAAAAGATTTTCAGTTAATAAGATAACATTACTACGATTGGTCGCCTAATACAAGGTGGTGCACATGAAGTTAGATATTTGATACGATTCAAACAGGCTTATCGGGATACAAACTCTGACTTTTAGACCATCTCGGAGTCTAAAGTTTTTGTCTGACAAGGTCAGAAATGCACAGAAAATGCACAAAATATACTGTATCTGCTATTCCGTGCAATAATGGACTTTCCATTTGGAAGACCTGCCTATTACGTTGGCTGAATCATAGGCTGCATTCACAAAAACAAAATACTGGTTGCTGTAAAAAGAGATCTGATTAAGCCCCACTGGATACTCTTATGGTTGGAGCCAAAAGGGCTTTTTACTCAGCGTAGCGAGACATACAGGCAAGAGCTATACAGAGTACAGACAGTAGCTTCACCAAAACAGCGTTTATCTGAGTAGTACCACGCTCACTGATTGGCCAGTTGATTATTGACAGGTGGCTTACGAACCTTGAGGATCTGTTGATTGCCTTCACGCTGAGGAATTTGTATAAAGATTACACGAACTTCATAGCAACTTACGATTTACTGGGGCAGATGAACAAAGGCGTCGGCAAGCGTCTCCGTCCAGTGACAAATCGTAGAAATCTACTGCGGTCTTCTGAAACAAAATGAAGCGAGAAAAACCTCAGAAAACCATGTATAACATAGATACTTATTGCAAAGTTAACTAATGGGGCATTGACGAAAGAGAATCACACAAAATAAGGGGGGGGGGGGATTTCAAGATCCCTTTTGCCGACAAACTGGGTGAGGCAGTCTTATTCCCGAAGAAGTCCGAAAAAGTACCGAAGAAACATCCCCAAATGACCATAAATTCTTCGTTTTTGAAATGGAATATTTTCAAATTGTCTTGTCACAGTGCCAGACCCCTTACGCCCCACAAAGTTATGGCCCTGGATACTATGACTCTACGTAATAGAGAGATTTGTAATTGTAGTTTAACTGGAATTGAAAATGAAAAGTTTCCATTAAATTTCTTATTTGTAAAGCTTACGGCACAGGCCCTTGAAAATCAGCCATACTGACTGCCAGGGCTACTGTGCATAAATAACTTTTAAATATTAATGTTTGAGAATTGATTGTATTATAAATAAGACAGAAATAACACGACATACCATTAGTAAAACTGTTGAGCGCTTGCCATAGATATTTTACTCGTACACTTGTTTCGGTTAGGTCCTCATATTGTGCTACAATAAAAAACAGGATATTCAAGGAAATGTCACCGTGATGTTAAGCAAAATCAAAAAACATGTGCAGATAAAAATATACTGAAGGTCGCCGTTAACAGTTCTGATGAAGATTGGTCAATACGCGTGTTTGTGAGCAGTATATGGTGATTTCAAGTGTTATCTTTAACATAACATAAATACTTATTAACAGTATGAGAAGAATAGTCAAAAAACTAAAAATAAATGTCGTGAACATTGTAAGAGTCAAACTGGCCTAAGCAACATTGCTAATTGTAAGGGCTGAATGTATGTCGTAAGCAATTTTGTCGTAGGCAGTAAAAGTTTTATTTCTAAATGAAACGAAATGACATCTCCAGTAAAAAGTATAATGTGAAGAATAACAAATTGTAAACCTGATTTCTGAAGAGCTTCCACACTTATTTCTGGATCGCCACATATCTTTTTCTCGAGTTCTTGCCAAGTAAGAAGATCAAGAACCGCCTGGGGTATTGTTTTCAAAATTCCTTTACGGATGGAATTGATCTATAATAGATAAATAGAAGAAATAAGCAAACGATTAACAAAAACTGTACTAATCTAACAAACGAATTATTTTGAAAATTAACTACATAAGAATAAAAAAACGATTTTTGCAAACGATTTTGAAAAGCTAGTACAAATTCATCATAGTACAATAACTGATCTAGGAAATGGCTATAGAAATATGAATAAATGCAAAATATTTGCTGTATTTGAAATCCAGATAAAATAAAAATAAAAACCCACAAATTGTCATTTGAATAATAATATTTGGAAGCTTGGTCTAAAATTTCTATCTAGATATTTTCATACCATTTTACAAGAAACACACAAGACAACTCTAAATGGCATTTTCGTGAAGAAATTATGTTATGATATCACCAGATCGAAGATTTAATAAATAGGGAAAATATTCGTTTGTAGATGTTTAGTTTAAGAAATTAACTTTACCTGGTCATTAAATTCGCTCATTTTGACATTTTGGACAAGTTTCATGTATTCTGTTCTTTCTTCGTATGGGACATCTGTTTCGACTCCGTTCTCTTTGAGCTGATAAACTGACCCATCGCTAAGGACCTGAAAGAAAACAGTGGTTATAAATCATTCGGCCATCATCTCTGTGGGTTTAGATGGCAGAAGATTGGCATATAGTAAAATGTTAGATATCAAATGATCTTGTCTTGCATACCAATATTTAAATCTAAAAGTATAACAAATTAGGCAATGGAAATTGGGAGTTCTGAAGCACGAAAAACGAGCAACACAGCAACTAGAAACCATTATAACATACCGTGCTGTATTTCAAAACACCAAAGAATTTTTCCTGGTAGGTTTCCTTGTCCAAGGTTTCCAAAGTCTCATGCAATTTAACCTGGAACACAAAGGAAAAATTAACAACATGAAGATCAGGGGAAGGTGTAGAAATTCAATTTGTTTTTATGATGTATCACACAATATGAGATTTAAATTCAAATGCATGGAGTGGTTCTTTTGATAAAGATCATGATTATCATCATCATTATAGAAAATAGGAATAATGATGACGATAATTGATGCTGATGGCTGTATGGATGATGAGGAGGAGTTCTATATCAAAATTTTAGCATGCGATTACAATGTGCGGGGGAAAGATATGCCACTTTGAATAACGCCAAAATTTATCCCAAAATTATCCCAGAAGGCTTGATTATCCCTAAAAACCTCAAATTTGACAACCACGTAAAATTCTTTATGGATTACTATAAACTCTGCAACGACTAGGTAGGAGGAACTTTGCAAAAACTGGATTTCAAAATCTGTGTATCTACTAATTATAATAATCAATCATTACTGTGAAATTTAATAGCTACATATCTAAATGATGACAATCAGTAGATACTCAATTACGTTTATTTACAACCCAGTTTTCCAAATGAAAATTAGATACTATACCTCTGAAGCATCGACCGTTGCATAATCTTTCATCCACGATACACTTTCCCCAGCAAGTTGCTTCCAAATGAAGGATGGTAAAGCTAACACCTTTGAATAAAACGATAATTGTTTGCTAAAGATATAGCTAGCAGGAAGCCTATCAATACAGGAAACAAACTCCGAATCAAATAAAGATTCAGATTCTCTTTCTTGCTAAATTTACCCTTCATAGCATTATAGAACTACGTCAAGATTTCCACATCTCATACATCCATATCCCATACAGTGGAAACCCGCATAAAAGAACCTGTTTTTATAAAAACCTTGAGGCTGAAATTTAATCTTTTAAAACCCTTTAATAAGAACCCCCAAGAAGCTGAAACGTGGAATGGTTCTTAAATTTATACAAAAGAAAAGAGTTTTTTAGACTGGTATTCCTATACCCTATTCACACGGGCAAATTAAACCAGCTTAAAGAAAATCAGGTTATGTTATGATGCATTCTAAATGGACAACCCAACAAGAAAAATGGATTTGATTGGTTGAAATTTAACATGAAAAATATAGCTGGTTTAACTACGTCATTGCGAGTTTTTACGGTGGATGTGTGTGAGGCCTGCTAAATTGTTAATATGTGTGAGGCCTGTATGTATATAAGGACCTTGTTAAGAACATTACAGGTTTGAATTTAGAATAGCAGCCTGTTAATTAAGAACCTATTCAGGCTGCCAGAGAAAAACCTAGGTTCTTTTATGCAGGTTTCTACTGTATCTATTTCAAGGGTACTTTGTTGCTTTAGCAAGGCTTTGAAAGTAACAAAACAACTTTGGAAAGAGACTGATAGTCGTTTGCCTTTTGACGTTCAGTTAGCATAAGGGGATCGTTTTTTAAAATGTTTTCATTTATGGGAGACACAAAGTAATAGATGTTACGCTATATGTCTTGAAAACTGTGAGGAATATGACTGGAGTGTGGAATTAGTGTTCGATTGTTCTTAAAAAATGTAGCCAAAGATAAGATAATCCAAAGATAGTTTCACCATGATATCAGAGTACAAGAAGAGAATTTTGAAGAAAACCAACTCACTAAACTCTCTTTGCCACGCAAGCAAGCACCCATCACCATTCCAATCCATTCGTATTTTGCAAACAACTTGCATGATGGATTCGGTACATAACGATCCCTGTTGACATTTGACGAGCCTTGGTCCTGAGAAAGGGTGCATTTAGAAATAGTTTTAAGAAAGCTCAAATGTATTTGGCAGCCAGTAGCACTAAATTGGAAATTTGAGAGATATTGCGAAGAGAGGAGATTGGAAACTTAAAGATAAAGGAATCGATAAAGGATAAAGGAACTTAAAGATAAATGTTTAGATAAAATGCTCAATTATTAACTATGATTTATAATAGAAAATAACAAACAGCAGAGGACTTAGCAAAGACTTAACACAAGTAAATATTTCCAAAGAATCTAGATTGATGTAGCGTTGTCCATATACATATTTTTTGGATTCAAATGTGGCACTTTTTGCATAAAAAGGTAGGCGACAGCCTACTATTTCTAATTGGCAATACTATGTTTAAGGGGGGGGGGGGAATCTGTTTAGGTGTGCGGATAATTTTATACTTGTTTTAATTCATACTTTTCTGGTTGATTAAATTTTAATTAAATTTTGATTAAATTTAAGATTAGGATTAAATTTGATGATTAAAAATTTTAATTTGCATTGTATTTAGCGATTGTAATAACTTGGACGATGGTAGACATAATTCTATCGAGAATATGGAAGTTTTCACGATTGAGATTTACAATTTTGAATCACGACTTGCATATGGCAGTGCAGAACTAGTTATAAGATTATCAGGACATCTAAGGGACATTGCATGACTAACCTGGTTTGGACTCCTAATGAAAAACGGCAAAGGCATGGGTGTGTCACTAGCGCTGGGACAAAGTTCCTCCGCAATATCAGCAAGACTGTCACGAAACCCGCCTCCTAGCAAAGATAAAACGTACAGATTTGAAGAACAATGTTATAGAGAATGTTCTCAAATGGAATATGTCGGCTGCCTGATATCAACAAAGATTTTGGCAGCTAATTAGTGTTATAACATGCTTAAGATAAACTTATTGTGACTGAAAACGAGAGGAAGACATCAATGAAAGTGTCGGCATCGTAAGCAATTTTGGGAGGTTTAGAAACAAGCAAACAGGGGTTGACATCACTCCTAGACTAGAAAATGAGAACAAACCTTGATCTATAATTCCTTCACCAATGAATTTGCATTCCCACCATTGGTCGTATTTCTGACTCCATCTAAAACAGAAAGAGTAAATAGAAAAACGAAAAAAAAGAAATTCATTAAGGATTTAGTGCTCGAAGGTTTCGTCGCCGTAAAAGCATGTCAGAAAATTGTTTCGTAATTAAAGACTTCAAATGAAGATGTACAGAAATATTAAAAAAACAGGAAAGTAATAGGCAACCTGTTTAATTTTACATGCTGGGTTTTCGTGTACAGCTGAGAAGAGCATGATATTAGCACGACAAAGTATCTAAGGCAAGTTTCAAGATATATCTAGAAAATACAATGATGTCGTGGATGGAAGCTTGTGGGAGCTCGTGAGAAAATACAATGATGCCGTGGATGGAAGCTTGTGGGAGCTCTTGGGGCTCGGCCCTGATGCTCACAAAATGATTAGATGGCTTAGGTATCCTTCCAAGGAGCGAATATTTCATGAATCATGTTCTTTACTTAGCAGGTTTACATGTGATCCATCCCTCTATTTAGGTCATAAATTTCGAGTGGATTAACATAAAATAAATAAGGTTATGTTGACAGACGGCTGACGAAGGATACATTTGAAATGCTTAAACGCATGGCACCTAGAGGCAGTATCCAGTATCCAGTATCAGAGGTATCAATATTTAAGATCAAGATGATTTAACAGCATCTAGCTAGTTCTTAGAGACAATAAAGATAAGAAAGTGCCAATCCATGTTCGTAAATATGACTAAAGAAATATGAATTTAAAAACTACAAAAAAGACAAGGCATTTTCCAGCTAAACTTTTACGTCATCTTACCTAAAATCCAGCTCGCATCCACAACGTTCGGGCTTCAAGGCTTCGTATAGCTTTATGTCAAAGAAAATAACAACATTGTTATCAATACCATTATAAATACTATTATCAATGTTTTCAGTAATACAAATACCATTTTACTACCAATATTCGCTAATGTTACAAACATTATGATTATGGTTTTGATAAAAAGCAAACATTTAGTAAACTAAAGTTTTTCGTCTGACACTCTTCAGAGTTTAAAACGTCAGAACATAGATCGAAAACTCTACGCTAGGAAATATATATACCCAGTTGTGGATCGAAATAGGCCAATTAGAAACGCAAGCACATGACTGTTGAGGTTGCCCAATCAGTGCCGCTTGACTATTTAATATGTCACCAATGGAGTCCTAAGGTGAAAACGAACTCCTTTCGTCTACACAGTAGCGGTTTTTTTATTAGTGTAGACTGTAGTCTCAATTAGACTTATTATGTGAACAGGTCCCTCTCGAAAAATTAGTCAATCATCGGAAAAAGGGGCCTTGAGTGACGGACACTTGATGGCGGGGTCGAGGGTATTCAAAAGCCAATAGTTAATAGGAAATTGCAAAACAATGGTTTCTCAAGAATTTCGAATGTTTAGATATTAGATAATCTCCAAGTACTTTTTAAATTTTGATTTCTTAAGGTCTTTCTGAGTAAAAAAGATCTTTACATTATTTTCAATTCATTTTGTGCCAAAAAGTCTATTGATATATGACATGAAAATCTATTAATGAAAAGATTTTGGTGAAAATCAATTTTAATCACACCTGGTTGAAAATTGAATGTTTGGCATCAGGATCTTGAGACGGATTGACTACATGTTCAGCTGCTTGGTGACGGTTCACGAATATCTTTGGGACAGTGGCCTGGCCGCTAAAGATAGAGAAAAACTGTTACCCCTAATAATGTACCACAATTAGTACACAATAGTTTTAGAAGATACTAAGAAAAGAGGATTTTGCCATCTTTAGCACAATCACCAAGAGAATGCGTGCTCATTTGGAACAGGAAATGGAATGGAGTAACTCTGAGATCGGGAATAAACGAAGGCTTCAACAAAACGGGGGATAATAGCCAAGTCAAACAATTTAATAAACAGGTGTTTTAATAAACAGGGGGGTCAACATTTTCTGAAGCCAAAGTATTTTTTAAAGTGGCTGCTAGGGTATTTTGAATTTAAAAACTTTGGTCGAACATCAGGGTCGATGGAACAGATTGGCAGATCTTCAAAAATCTCGAAAAAAGTTGGGGGCCCTGTTAATTTCTGACCCCAGAGTAATCAGTTATGCTGTTGCAAAGAACTATGGTTGGTATAATTTATAACTTAAGTAAAAATCACAACATTTGGTGGCCTTTATATATTATATGGGATACATATCTGTTGACCTTGTTTAAGGGACAGCAGCCTTACAATCGTATAGCTTAAAATATTGTTCTAGAATTATCAACTTTCTGTAGAGCTGATGATAAAATAACAAACCAAAAAAATAACAACAAAACGCCAGGTATCGCAATGAAAAACCAAAAGTGTGATAATTACGAGATATGCCTTTTTAAACAACAATACTTAAATATTTCGAGTATTGAATACAAAAATAATACTTTAATATGAGTTAGGCACATGCAGAATTATACCTCGACTGTGTTTCTCTTAAGCAGTTGTCAATGAGCCCTTGCCGTTTCTTTGATAATGGCATCAATTGTCTCATACACTGAAAGAAAAGAGGTTTATGATGTAAAGAGAAAATACGGCATCGATGTCGTTACTAGAAAGGTATCATGCTGGAAATTGTTATATGAAAGCAAATGAGGAGATGATTAAGGTTGTTGGCAATGAAGATGAAGAATATCCATGAAAAGAAAAAGAGAAAAAAAGGCAAGAACATGACAAAATAGAAAATAAAGAAATTTAGGAATGAAGACGAAACAAATAAAAAGCAAGAGGAAAAAGAAAGAATGGAAGAAGGATAAGTGAATATATGAAAAATGTTTAAACGATAATAATAACAAGATAGAAAAGAGACAGATAAATAACAGATAAATACCGCTAGGGATTGAAATGTGCCAGCCGTATATTCCCATGTGGGCAACAGAAAATGAATGACACTGTCCAAAACACTGGCAAATCTGTTACGAAAATGTGATGAAAATTGGTAAAGTCATAAAAATCTCTTTACGAAATTTTCAAATTTCAATAAAAGAATCTAAAAAACATAAGAGCATTTTTCTAAATATGAAAAATCAGTTAAATACTGCAATAATCAGGTTAGGTATAGTAAAGGAAAAATTTAGAATTTGCAAACGGATTGCTGTTATTATGATTTGGTTAAAAAGGTTAAGAACATCCCGCTTGGTCGGGTATCAACCTTGTATGGCTCAAACGACTCACCAAATAAAAAACCAGATCAAATTGAGATTTTAAACTACAAGGTGAACATTAGACTTTTGAAAAACATATCTTTATAATTTTAACAATTCACAAGTCGGTTGAAGGAGAGCCAAACAAATTTTAGAGATAGATGCTGCAATACTGTGAATTTTCAGAAAGCTTAACCTGCATATAGTATCCAGTTATTATTGGTAAACTTTTGCTATCAAATATGGTGCAGTTTATCATGTTGCTGGTAGAGGTAGAAACTTGAATGTTTGTTGAAAACGTTTAACTTGAAATTTCTGATTTAAAATTGGAAAGAAGTCAAGCGGACAATTGATTAATTTCCTAAAATCAGGTTAATTTTATCTTATTTAAACATAAACCACGAGAAGGAATTGCTATTGTCACAGCTCACTCAAATATTATGACCCTTATTGTTGTTATAGCATATTTCAATTACTTACCTTAGGAGACAGTAAGCCCTTCTGTACAGCAAATCACGATCGACATTATCAAGTTTCGGATATCTTGAATAAGGATTTAGTTATCATTAAATCATGGATGAAAATAGCGAGGTCACACAAGTCGAGAGGCAGGCAGAGTGATGGTATCTTGAAGGCATTTGACATGCATAAGTTACAGCGAATCCAAAAGTAACTTAGGCCAAATTGATCAGAGCACGCGCACAAGAAAGGAATTGGAAACTGCTCACGTGAAACCACTGCGCGCTGCTCTAGGATTTCACCGATTTGCAGAAAGGCGGAAACTGTTCACGTGTTTTTCTCTGTGCGCAATTTGATTTGTCAACCGCTCGTGGTCGAGTGGCTGTAAGCCACTTTTACTTGTGTCAAATGCCTTTAAAATATATTTTAATTTGTTGAATTTTTCATCGCATAACCTGAAAGAGCAGCAAGTGCAAAAATCAGCTAAATATTTCAAAGATCGCGTGAGATATTACCGAATGAGCACAGGCTATTTCACCAAGAAGTCAATATGATTTGGTCTTGGTTCCAAAAATTATGAATCAGGTCAAAACAACAGTACTTCCCTAGCTTAACTCGCGTCGGTCAAAAGCGAAATATTTGCACAATTAGTAAAATTGCATAGTATCTTTCAGATTATGTGGCCAAATAGCTAAATATTAGAAATAGTGGTCATAGATTTGAGGGAAATAAAAAGCCTACAACAAAGCGGAATACCTCTTACCAGAATCTATCAATTCAGTTCTTAAAAAACCTGATATGTTTCGACAAATTTACGTTTTATTGAAATGAAATAGATGAGCACTGAGCACATACTTCACTAAATTCTTGTCGAATAAGTCTCGGTTGAGCCCGTTCTGCTTCTGCTTATTGGAGACAACTTTGACAGAATGAACTCGGCAGTCGATACCATCATCTACGGAAAACAACAGTCCAAGGGTCATTTCTGTGTATGGTACAAAACCCTGTTGAATTCAATTCAACTATAATCACTTCAATTCAAAACACTTGCTTTATAAAGTATCTTTACTGAATTCAATTCAACGGTATTCAATTAAATACATTTGCTTTATACTGGCTTCAATTTAACCGTATTTAATTCTATTCAATACCTTTCTCCTTTGCAACGCCCTGATCAAACGCTCTCAACACTACGCTGAGCAACGCTCAAAATTGGTGGGCTATTTTCTGTGCTTTCTGGCCAAATGGATCCATTCGCTGAACATTTGACTGAATATTAACATTTGAATAAGTTGAACATCGCGTCAGCCTCCTCCCAAATATACCCTCGAAAATAATTTAAATTGTCGTTATTTTCTCTTGCCGTTAATTTATATTGTCGTTATGTCTCCATCATTTATTTTCTTTAGGCGAAGATTTCTTTGCAGCGCTAGGCCTAGCTTATCGACTTCACATAACTGCATAAGGCCCAGTTTCCACTCGGACTCAGCGAATTTTTGTGGTATGGTGTTGGTGAAAAACGGTATAAGCCTGAAATTTTTTCTTTCCTAGCTTGAAATTGTTTCTTTTATAAAGCACAAAGCTCACCAACGTGAAATGAGAAGTGCATTTAGTTCATCTGGGATGAAAGTGGCTTTAGTTCACAACGCATGCATTGAATGAACATTGTTCGGTGTATGACAAAATTGTTTCAACATTGCTCAGTCGATATAACGTAACGGAACTGCTTTGACCAAATTTTCATTTGCTGAACAATATTCAAAAAACGCTCAGTGGCTGAACAAGACTGCCAAACGGTCTCAAAAATTACCGAATTGGAATGTTAGACCATGTTTAGAGAGCATTTGGCTGGAGCCTTAAGGCGTTTCTATCAAATTCAAATCATTTTTTATTTTCAAACCAAAATGTTGGTAATCTTACCTTTACATTCTTTTACCTTTATTTCAATAATTTTATAATACTCCGGGGCATTCTCCAATATACAGACATCCATAGGAACGGCTCTGAAATTAGATTGTTTACAGAATTAGCATCCAGATGATGCAACAGGTTTAACATTAGTCGCATGAATTGTGAAAATCTTTTGGGCTGGAAAAAGGAATAAATATATAGCGAAATATCTAATGGGACACAATTCCTGGCTCAAAGCAACGAGAGACAGATATAAGGGACAAACATAAATTTATGGACCGTTACAATAAAGGCTATATCGAAATAATTGGCTAATAATTAATACTAGCTTGTGGTGTTGTTCAAGCTATGGGATGTTATGAATGGTTAGACTCGAAATCAAATGTCTGGCAAAAGTCACGTGTCATATAATGAGGTACTCCAGTGGCTGGCAGGCAGCCAATGGAAGCTTAGAGAAACTATAAAAGAGAAGTTTGCTTACATATCGATGCATGTTTCTTTCAACTGGACAACGTTGCCAGAATCACTGATTCCGTTGACAATGACTCTGTATGGCATGTAATTATCATCAGATGGATCCACACCAATGAAAAGTTGCCTGCAAAGGGGGAAGCAATTCACTTAGAAATATGAGGCATAACGTTTCATGTCATAAAGTTTCACTTACCTAAGGTAAGCATAGAAAGATGCAAACATACCCTAATTTTTACAATACTCTTTTATCAAACTGTATTTCATTAACGAAGACCATTTCTAGAATGCACAAAAACACCGTTAATACCCGAATTGGCCCCTGCGCAGAGCTTATTAAATGTAGTTTGTGCCCGAGGAGGGTCTGTGTAACCAAGAGCCAAAACGCCTACGAGGGTTGAATTGAATTGTCTGCATAATTATCACAGATCTGTCTAATCATGCAAAAAGAAATGCAAATATTTCTGATCGGACGTGGCGGTGTGATGTAGAATAATTTGCCAGAAGAAAAGTTGTGAATATGCTGCTCAGCTATTTGATGTTGAAGATCTTCGCTGGGATATTTCATTAGTTGTGACCAAAACAGAGTATTAAATGAGCTGTGGAACAATCTTGCTAATTTTATAGTGGTTGATGGGGGTGAATCTACCGCAGCAATCAAAACAAAATTTACTTGGCTGGCAACCAATCGATTTGCTCTGAGTAGAAATCTGGTTTTGGATGGTAGAAGATGGCTATTTACTAGTTTGGTTTGAATGTAATGTAAATAAGGATTTTTTTGGGCACAAGATCTGATCGATACGACGATGAAAAGAATGACTTTCGGAGTAGCGATAAGAAATGGAAACCGAAAACAAAACAAGACGCTTTGCCTTCAAGCCGTAGAAAATGATCCCTGGTTATAAACGCAGTGGAAATCGCTACAGACTAGTGAAACATTTACCATTGATCCGGACAAGGCTGCCTAACATAGTCAAGTAAATTTTGAGCAATGAGAAGCAGCAGGCCTAGGCCTATGCCTTGTATTTTTTATCATGGTAGTGATTGCTTTGCTGTAATCACATCTCCGAAGTTCGTTGTTTGAAATTTGAAATTCTGATGTTATAAATGATTATCTAACGTTCATTAACACATAATAAGAGAACAGTTATCAACAAAAGCGTGTGTTTTGATAAAAAGTCATCTTCCGATCTTTGAAGTGTTGTTTCCATCCTCACGCCGGGCGAAAATTATCTAGGGGTCATGATATATATAAAGGCTTTTGGGCATCATTGTGACTTTGTCTGATAAAAAAAGAAACTTAGAAATTGCATTTATTTCTTTTCGCTATTTGAATGCATAAACTGTCATGACAAGTTACGCTCTGTTTACACTGGTCTTCACTTCTGTCATCTGAATGCCGCATAATTTTTTGCACAGTTAACTTTCCCAGAGATCCTTGGTAACGCTCGTACGCATTTTCACGCTCGGTTACACAGCCACTCTACTTTCAAATTAGGGGTCTAGAACACAGGCTAATTAAATGGCGATTTATTCGATTGGGATCTTAGATTGGAGGCATATTCAAAAACAAAGCCCGACACAGAAGTGAATGGTTACATATATTCAAAAGTTTAATATCTAGATAGATCGTTGATGCATTATAACAAAAATTATCTTGTTGAAGAAACCCACTGAACAATGACACCAGGTTTCATATGTGCACGGATAAAGTGACGGCCATGGCTCCCATCTGACTCCCAATAGGTCCCTTTATCGTTGTCAATCAAATTATCCGCGTATTCTTGTTCCTGCAATGTGGAAAAAAAATTGCAAAATACAATGTAATACCAAATTGTTTTAAAGGCATTAGGATATTCTGAAGGTATTCATGAAACGGTAACTGAGAAAAATCATCTCATTCATCAAATAACATTTTTGACTTTGATAATATGATAATATTCTTCTGAATTCCACGAAAAGGCGGACTGTTTAGTGCGACTTTGAGCTTCTATTATAGTAAGTACCCGCATATAAGAAACCGCCTTTTTACCAGAGACTTTTCATCTTCAGGGTCTAAGTTTCTTATCAAGTCAAAGCAAGTCAAGCTATACGACAGTACTGTCAATGGAAGTGTATTTTATAGTAAAGTGTGATCTGTCTTCTGGCGTAGAGCATGCTGTGGCATACAGACCCAAAAAGGCAGCACTGCCACTGAAGACCCTTCGAAGTCATAATTAAAACTTGATGCGCCTCCGTGTTTGCTAGGGATTCTTGGTGTCCTGGTTTGAATACTAACAATAAAGATAATGCAAACATTACATCCAAACGAGACTAGGCGTTCTATATTTAGCGAGGTTACACCTTTCTGCTAACCATTCAAACAAGCCTCTGACAATGCATCATTGAAATTCACATGGAAAAGCAGAAACATAACATTTTTTGTATAAAGGAACAGAAATCTATGATAAGTCTTGAAGAATTCGCGCTCAAACTAAAACAGTTGATAGCACCGGACTTTTGATTTTTGCTGTTAAAGGCTCCTGCGCAACCGGCAGGCTTAACGGCAGTTGTCTTGAGAAATTGACTGTGTTTTGTATTTTCATGCAGTACGATATTAGGCCGGCCTTTTAAAATACAGTCGCAAAGCGTGCCGGTTGCACAAGAGCCTCTTATTTCTTATTTTTGTACCGCCTGAGCGAGATAAATCTTTGACCATGACCAAACTTAATCATTAGCGAAGCAACAGCAGCACTGACCTTTAAATAATATAATTAATCTGTTCCTCATTGGGAGAACTATTTACGAGGAGAACTTTCTACAAAATGCTCTGACGGTAGTGAGCATACATTTCCGCTCTATCAAAACAGATTTGCATATACCTATGTTAAGAATGGAAATTACTGTTTACCGGTCTGCCATAAAGTGCTCGATACCGTATAGAACAGGGCGGTTTTAAGTCGCTACGCCGAGTTACATGCTTTGAGTGACCATTAGATCATTGTTAAGACAAGGATACCAAAGATTTGCAAATACCTTCATAAAGTTATGTTTTTAAATGAAAATTACTGTGTTGAGAAAATGTAAGAAAAATTGGAATACCAAAGCTTATGGTGTTAACGACAGCATTTCGTTTCGCTTTTGATGCAAGCAAGCAGATCCGTTTTTCAATTCAGGTTTGGGCCAGGACAGGTATTGGGGTGTGATACCCCTTTTCGGAAAAAACGGTTTCAAAAACGAAGGGTTTGTCGCCATCTAGGGGTGCTACTTCGGCCAACTCGTCAGATGGGTCGGCAAATAAAGGATAAACCCCTGCTCGACAAGCATAGCTTCCTGAAATCTACCTTTGGAGGCTAGGTAGTAAAACATAACAAAATGAAGGATGTGTCACCCACTTTATCAGCAAATGGAACCTGGACACCCCTCTTGAGTAGCAAGCGATGGCCCTGGGTAGTGTTCGGAAGTGTATAAATCTGTGGATCTGCGGCTTATGTCATGAAATATGATGCATTCAGAAAGAAGATTAAGAGGGATGTATTACTCTTTCCAAAAAGCATACGAGAGCTTCAAAAACGTAAGATTTTTATGCATTTTTGGGGATTTTTCTCAAAACAAAAGGATTCTTGCCAAAGGTGTACGAGATTTTCGCTAAGTTAGATGCCCCTCGGAAGAATATATAAATGTCTTACCGTTGATACTTCGACTTTTTCTATGTAACGTTTTGAGGTGCCGTGATATGTTTCGATAGCATTCTCATTGAGAAACCTCACAAGTTCCTCATCTGCTTCAAAGCTCCAGTTTGGTGGTGGGTTTTGAAGCTTTTGTGTTGCTTTTTGGTCCATATTCAAGGGTAGCTTGGGTGGGACAATATGAAGGACATACTGGTCTTCCATAACATCATGCCACCTACAAACGATGTGTTTATACTTTTAAGAAAAGGGTTTAGAAATTGGTTCTTTACATGTCACTCATTAAATGAAATTCTTGAAAAATACAATCAACATTCTTTGATAAAAATGTTCAAGTTTTTTAAGATAATTACAAGGCACGGTCAAATCCACGGACTTTGGAAATCTTGGTGACGTCATAAAATCTGTCAAATGGCACTAAGGGAAAATGGATTATGAATTTAGATTATCAGATACTTTGTGACCTTTTGGAGATCTGCGAACAATTTAATTACTATAAAGGAATTCACTTTGCAATAACTATAATGTACTTTACATCACATGCTCTTTGTTTAACATGAATTCACATTATAATAGTGTTAGAAGGATCATTTAAGATTGTAACTCCAGGTATCATACATAATGCGATCATCACACAACTGTTAAAATGAATCCATTTTTCGGAACATCTGGAGGGCAACTGGATAAAAAAACTGAAGAAATCAAATGTCTTACTGCAAAATTGTCAGTGTAAGATATGGTTTAATGCTTGGAGGGGCTAAAACTTTTCTTTGGGGAGGGGGGTTGGTTTAAACATGCAAAACACCAAAAGCAAGATAATGTTTATATTGTTTTAAGTACTGTTTTGAAAATTATTGGGAGGTTTAAGCTCACCAGCACCCAGCTTAAGCATTCCCTGGTTCAATGTATTATACATCTTGTTCAAATATATAAATGTATCACAGCATTTGTTTTTACATAAATGATAACACAATAAGGCTGTTCATCTGACTAAAAAGGATGTACTTTGTTTGGCATATCAGGAAATTTTTGTTCAAAGATTCTACAAGATGTTGGTAAAACACAAAAATCGAAGTGGCAATTTCTTTTTAGAGAATCTTAGAAAACTAAAGTTTTAAGAAGCATTTTTGAGGCATCAATTAGCTTTATAGAACTTAAAAACTTTTTTATGATTGTTTCAAGCAACGAGTATGGTATTTTAAGGGCAATAACAAGTATATAAAAATGTTCTTGAAATTCTTGTAACTTCTAAATCTAAGATGTCTAATTTTGATTGCTAATCCTCAATTTTGATACAGTAATTCACTTCCTTGTTGCTGGAATGAACAACATTGACAGGTGCCACACATATGACAACTAATGAAAATGGGATAAGGTGTCTGTTTGCACTTCCTACTCAATAAGGAGGTCAATACTACTTTATGCAAAATATCATTGTCTGACTCTCTGATTGACTGAGATTAAAATGTCACTCGAAAAATTTTCCTTAAAGGGTAACAAAAAGTCAAGACAAACAAAATATTGGTACCAAATCCCAACTTTTTCTTCAAAAATTCCATGAAGTATTTTTATTATGGTTTTGTAGATAATGGTCTTGAGTATTGTATAAAAATATGTTTAGCCATTAGGACCATTATGAAGAAAATGTTTCATAATGTGTCCATTATCAACAAATACCCATCTTCTGCCAAGAAGAAAACAATGCATGTAAAAAAAGACATAATTGGGAAAATATACCTGTAAAACATCCCTTTTCTTGCTTTCCCCATTTGAGGCCTAGTGGCTGACCCACCAAACATATCTTCATTTGATGGTGTCGGTGTTGACATAACTGCTCCATCTACTTCAAAGACAGGTTCCAAAAGTGGAAGATTGTCCCCTTTTGTGTCTCTTGTATGTATCAAAATCCAGCCTTCATATCCTTCTACATCTGTTAAGATTTTGCTTTCAGCCAATTGTCTCATGCATTTCTAGAAACAGATCGACATTCTTAGATGGAAAAAATTACTTAATTCATCAATATACCTCTCTACATTCAGACAATATTCATTTGCTACAAAGTTACAAATAATGTATGTTTCATAAAACTTGACAAATAACTGTTAAAACAATAGGCAATTGAAAATTTGCAGTTTCTCTCCAATGACAGCATAAAAACATGTTTACAAAAACATGTTCACAATGTACAGTTTACCTTTCTTGCTAAAAGACCCAAATGCTATGTCCATAATATTCTAGGGATTTGGGAGGGGGCAAAGACGTTAATTTTCTGCCATACTGTATTTCTAAATTTACAAATGATGACTGGTCAATGTAGCAGTCATGCATATGATTGGCCAGTTCAAAAAACAAGATCCTATAAAAGAAGGTTTGCAACTTTAGAAGAAAAGGGAATACTAGGGAAAGCCCATCTATGCTATGTAAGATTTGAAAGTAGCTGGATACATGAAATCTCCCAAAAAGGTGCTCTGTAAGGGTGTGGTATATGATCAATCAGTTTCACTTTCACATAACCCATCAGTAAACAATGTAAGTCCCTCCAAAATGTCTTATGTTGAACCTTTGAGGTTGATCTTAATTTAGAAATTAAAAAACCCTCCATTTGAATGGAAATTTTTTGCAAGTAATCAAAACCAATTCAAGTTAAGGAAAAGTAGTCCACTTTTGGAACTGAAATGCTATTATGGCTGTTGGGTATTTCTTATCAACAATTTAGGGTTATGGTCGAGTGCAGTCGATACAATAATGTTGAGTGTGTCAGATTTTGGACCAGTTTACACAGCTAAGAATAGCACCTTGTTGCATTTTTTGCATCTAGGCATTTCTTTTTGTGTGATATATACTTTTGGTGGCATATACCTCTTCTTATGCCGACAAAATGAGCTTCTGTTTACACTCACCTCTGTCAATTTTATCCAGTCTCCATCACCGTTCGAGTATTCATCTCCAGTTGCATGAAGCCTCAAGTCATTTGTAAGTTGAACTTTCCCAAAAGTTTTTGCAACCAAAGAGGGTTGATGGCGGACAATAAGAGGCTTGTTTTTAGTGTCTGCCGAGAGCTCGGTTGAACATTTGTATTCGATTTCCAATGGAACATAACACAAAGCTGCAGGCAAGGGTTTTACATCTTTTAACGTTTTGACAGTTTCCAGAACACATCGTATACGTGCTAGCTTCCTTCTAGCTCTATTATGACTCATTTTCTTGAAAATATCGAAAGAACTTCGAAGCTTTCAACTGGCAAGTCCACCCAGAGCGCTGCAAAGTTATCCAAAGAAAAAACTGTCAACCTGGAAATTTAGGCCATCCTTAGCTCGATGTTTTGAGGAATATGCGCAAGCGCAATAGGTATCAAGTAGGGACTGGGGTGTACGATCATGGGGATGTCGGCGGAGAGAGAGAGAGAGAGGTATCCCCAAAAATAATAGAGCTTGGGCTTACAATTGGTAATAAACCAGCGAATAATTAGCTTTTTTGAGGAACATAATTGCGAGAACATGCCAAGAACCTGCTTTGATTTCGTCGCTTTTCAAAAGAAAGTTTTCAGAAATTAAGTGAATTATCCGAAGAAAGATACATGAGGTCGACCGGTTACACTTTTGACAAGTCGTACATTGGGATATATGTTTGAAAATAACTTTTGTTTGGAAGAATCCAATGGAAAATTCGGCTAATCTTTACGGAATTGACATTAAATATACAATTCACAGTTTTGATTTTGTTCATATATTGTTTGTTTGATCATTTAGTACTTGCCAATAATTTATTATCAGCTATTCTATGTCCAAATTTTGCAAAAAGGGCACAGATAGGTTATAGTGGGCCCTGTAGTAAAAAGGGAAAATGCAGATCACCTGCGAGCGAATCGAGCAGAAAATTTGGCAATTACGCCCCTTAGATTAGCTTAAAATTCCTTCTCAGTACGATTTCTTGGAATAATTTGGACACGTTAAGCGGTTGTCAACTATCCGACGAAAGCCCGAATATTCCAACGACGTCCCTGATTGGGGGGGCCCGAGCCCCAAACCCCCATACATTCCGCCATTGAGCTAATGAATAGCGTCCCTAGAAGCAATTGAATGTACGTAAATGTTTAAAATCGATGAAGAAACAAGAACAAAATTAGGGACACCCAAGGCGCAAATCGTCCAAAAATAGCAAAGTCCAACCTCGGAAAAATAAATGGGGTCTAAGATCGTTGACTCCAACATCCTCAGCCCTGACTGAACGACTCAAAATAACTCATGTTTGACCCCAGTTTTAAAAAATCTTGGCTCGTCCTTTGGTTGTTCACAGAATGAGTTTTGAGAAATCGAGAGGACATCAACGAGGGTCACCCTGTTCACACGATCAAATTTAATACGTATTTAACCTGGATAAGATTTAAACTGGATAAGATTTAACCTGGATAAGATTTAACCTGGATTAGATTTAACCTGGATAAGATTCAACCTGGATTAGATTTAACCTGGATTAGATTTAACCTGGATAAGATTTAACCTGGATTAGATTCAACCTGGATAAGATTCAACCTGGATCGAGTTGAGGCTTAATCTTAGGGGAATACTTGGGTCCAAAAGCCGCAGTGGTGAAACGAAGAGATCGTAGGCAACATAGACATGACGACATCAGTACGACTAATAAATTACAAATCATTGTAAAAATAGTGATAAAAAATTTACACGACGGTTGATTCTTACTAAATAATCAAATCCAAAACTAGATGCATTGTCGTCAGAACGAGATTTAAATTGTGGTGAAGGGAGGCTGCCTATTGAGCTCCTTTTCCATACTGCTTGATCTGATGACGACAATGCTTAACAGAAAACTAAGTGTTTAACAGAAATTAAGTTTATGCCATGGTAAGCCACGTCAATATCACAGACACAATTTAGTTGCCGATCATTGTACGGAACATCCAGTGGAATATACCTTTAGAAATTCTTGTGTTAGGCGTTTATCAAGCGCCATACCAGCTTATTCTCGAGCAGAACTGACATACCACCAAACATTTGCACGAAAACGGAGGTTTACCGTATGCTTTCAGGATCTAAACAAAGCTAACACTTGAAAACATACGATGACCGTTCAATGAAATATCAAGATTTTTTGTTTTGTATCTCTGAGGCAAAATAAAATTACTATATAATTTTCACGTCGGTTTAATCTGATTCGAATAAACTAGCAGTCAAAGAAGAACCGAGGGGTCCATCACTCTTTCCAAGCAACGTACGATATGTTTTAGAAAAACAGGATTATTGGGGATTTCAGGGATCTTTCTCAAAAACGAAAGGATATTTGGCAAAGGTGTACGACATTTGCATGGAGTGATAGGCCCCTTGACAACAACATCTACTAACAAGCCTTCGTGCACTTGATCAAAGAGGGATAAAATGTTTGCGAAAAGTTTGCAACAGCAGTTAAACTGACCAGACATTACAAAAAAATGTTTTGACATTTTCAAACTTCACCTGACGTCATCAACAAATTTTATGTGACGTCATCAACATATAAAAAGATGGCTCCAGCATTTGTTTTGAAATTTTAGGTTTGCGTTTTGTTTTCTTAACTGGGGCTTTAAAGAGTCTAAAACATAAGATTTACAGAAAGCAGCCATTTACAAAGCTTGCACCCTAATTACTAGCTACGAAGGAAACTTCAAAATTATTTATATACATCTAGCCATTCCTTTCAAAGAAAATAATTCGGGCAATGTTTTTACTTTAACTTCCACGACACAAAAATGTATCAGCGCTATAACCTAAAGATCCTAGAAACATAAAAGTCGTTTGCTGGTAACAAATATTTTGCCAGGAGAATGAAATATAGACTCGATGTTACCAACAAGAAGGTGCTGCAGTTCTATCAAATGCAAACAGCATTGATGCCACTGACTTTCTTTTCGCCGTAAAAATGTACAATATATCTGCATATAAATGTAATTTCTTCGTTTAATGGCGATGCCAAGGCACTAGTTACAAATTTTTATCCAGAAAAATTTGCATACGTATCAAAAGAGTCGATGAATGCTTGGGTAATTGTGTGACAGAACTTGTACTGGGCCTAAAACGAAAAAGATACCAAGGCTAAATAACTGAAAGCAAACATTGCAAATGTCGTTAAATGTCAAGAATTTGGGATACGCTTCTAAACTTAAAATAAATTTTTTATATGCAAAACGTTTAGATCAGGCACCACACACCAGTCTAAAGAAGGGGGGAGGGGGCAAAAAACGGCCGAAAATTATATGTGGGCACGCCCTCTAGAACGCCGGAAAACGCCCCTTTTAGAAAATACTTGCTCATTTCCACCGATTTTTTATCAACAATCTGGTTCAGAGAAGATATAAGTAACTATAAAAATAGATAAAATTAACTTGAGGATAATTAACCTGGCCTACGAGGCTACACGTTTTCAACAGAAGTTGGAAGGTAATTTCTCCCCCATATCCCCCTGACACCCCTCTTGGCGCGGTCCCTTTCTAGAGTTCAGATGTTATGATTACACAGATTGTAAAACCAATTCTAAAAAGCCCCAATGAAAAAAAGAATCTCTTCAACAAGAGGAACATGAAACTGCATACGTTCAAGGAACTGTTTGTGAATATATGGAATATTAAACTTACGGCATTTTCTACGAACTGCGGTCGGAAGGCTCTCGTCTTCTTTATGGTTTGGAAGACATCAACCAGCTGTTCAATCTTGAATCGTTCGAGAATATTAGAAATTGCAATAAACGTTCCAGTGCGACCAGCGCCGTCTCTACGAAATAATAAAATAACAAAAGTTGGATGTTTATTGCTGCTGATGTCGACCTCAGAAATCTTTTCGCAGAAACAAGAAGGCAAGTTGTTTTGTTCACTTCTTGATATATTTACGAGGTTTTCTGGGTTAAGCCAAGACGAAATGTGATCAAACGCAACTGGAATCAATAAAAACCAGCATTAAAAAGTCACAGTTCCGAATTTTCTTTGGCTCGGCAAACTGCTTTGTTCTATAACTTTATATAATTTTTTTCTTTTAACTTTTTATCGAGTTTTAGCAAACATACAGTCTTAATTATTGACTGTACAAAAATAACATAAGAAAAATATGGCAGCGAGGACCTGTAACCTTAAGGGTACGTATCTTATCGACAAAGACAGCAGTATGGGCCTAGGTTTTGAGGGCATAAATTGAAAATAACGGACACAAATTGGAACCATTTTAAGTCTTAGCCTACTTCGTGTGTTGAGTAACATGAACAGTGCTTAGTGCAGGAAAAACAGTTACCGATTTTCTGGATTAGCATTTGGGGTAAATATCAATCTTGAATAAACATTTAGTAAATTGCGTATAATTTTTAAAATCACTTTGGATTCAAAGGAAGCAATTTCACATTTCAAAAGTCAAAAGACATGAATTGATACTTGTTAATGCAAATAGGCGTAGGAGATATTTGCCTCTAATCAGGCAAAATTTATTTCATTTCTCCCTGCATTCTGGCAGGTCTATCTCATTGTAGCAATAATACTCAAGCACGATCCATACTACCCCCCCTCCCGTAACCGTGTACTATCAGTTATGTCCATGCTAGCTAGCATTGTAACACCAGCTCCTTGCATTTAGAAAACTAAAATATTCGACGATTCGTTACCTGCACATAATCACGATCGGTTGATCGTCTGATTGCTGTTGTTGGCATTTTTCAATGTTGCTAATTAAAGAGAGAAGCTTGCTGAAATCCTTAGGGACGCTGTGGTCGGGCCAGCTTTGGAAATGGAAAATTGTCACATTTTTACATGCGTCTCTGGACTATAAAAAGACAGAAGTTGACAACATCAACAGTGACGTTATATAATGAGATGAAATTAGAAATTATTTTTCATCTAAAATTGTATGAATGTCTTTAAAAAATCAGCATTGTAGCGGGAGAAAGAGACAAAACAGAATGAGACATATTCAGAACTGAACAGAACTGTCAAGTGTAGTGTCATCAAATTGACTGAAATGTAGCAAGGAAAATAACTGAGTTTCGCTAATCAATTAATGTTGTTTTGGGCTGGTGACAGTGGTTTGGTGGAGACAATGCCTGTGCTCATGTGACCATGTCTCAGCCAATTCACAACAAATGCAACAGAGCTTGCACAAGGTAACTTCACAAATTCTAAATCTGATGTGTGATATCATCACTTTTTCTCTGTTTTGAATTAACTCTATTTTTACATTTCCTCCACAATCTGTAAAATTAATCTAATGATTACCCATTACCATACTTTTGAACCCGACATGTATTCTACTGTTTTATGACTCTTAATTCCCTGTTGTTCTTTGCACAAAAAATACCCTTCTACCTTTCTAGGAATTATTCAGAACAAGTTCCGCCCTGGCACTCCTTCGCAATGGAAAGATAAGTCTGCACGCAGGCTACTTTCTAGGCGAATCCCTCATTCAACCCACAAAATTCAGTCCACATACAGAACTAATGTGTTTTACCTGTGTTTATTGTTGTTTGTTTTCGGCGCGCTGGGATGTTCCTTATTTGCTAAACATGTTTAGAACTAGCCCTAATAGCTCTATGTTTGCCTTCACACTTTCTATCAACCATTTTTCCCGTCTCCCGTCCTCCCCATATACTAAAGACGAAGTACCAACTTACATTATCATGGCTCACAGAAAACTGCCGCTCAACAAAATCAGGTCCGTTGCTTTCTGACTGATGGTATACCAATACCTTACCATATTCTGCCGTTTGTTGTGGTGAGGGCCAAAATATAGGAAGGCTCTACAATATAAGCACGAGACAAATAATCAGGAAAATGTATGAAATCATATTCTAAACGAAACAATTAGATGTAGATGTTGAACAACAAATCAAGGAGGATTATGATTGCCGTTGACTGGTTTATGCACGCTTTCAAAATTCTATAAGGGTGTTCTGAAATTACATGAGCGTACAGAAATGGAGGGCTGGTTTACAAGGTACTCCAAAGTTCGAGAATAAATGAGCCCCGTTTATCTTTTCGTGATTCTTGAAGACGCTTAGTGCTCGATTATATTCTAAAACATCAACGACGAAAACTTTCCATTAAAATTTCGAAATTGGTACAATACTTCAATTTAAGTACCCCAATTTTTTAAGTACCCCAGCTTATTAATGCTCCCCGTTGATCAAACCTTGGATCTGGACATGACCCTTCGCCGCTTTTTTCAACCCCAACCCCCATTTATTAATCAGTAATACGGTAATTTCACACAAACAGCAATCACAATAATACCATAAGTAATCACAGTAATCACAAATAGTGATCACAAACAGTTATCACAGTAATCACAAATAGTGATCACAAACAGTTATCACAGAAACCACAGTAACCACAACAGAAATCACTGCAATCACTAACAGTAATCACTAACCTCGCGACCGTCGTTTAACCTGTTAAGCAGAACAACAATAGGCGCTTCTGTTTGTTGGATCATAAGCCAGAAATCGTCAATAGTCTCTGGCAGTGGGTGCTGTGTCGCGATAAAAGCGTTCTTCTTACGGTAACCCTAGCAAAAGAAATGAGCAAGACGCGGGTTTACATAAGTAAAGACGACAAATTCTACAAACAAACGCGAAAAAATCTACATACGGAAGGACGAAGAATTGTCCATCAGGTTTGCTACAGAGGATATACAAATTACCTTCGATTATTAAAAAACTAGGTATAGGAAGTGATAATTGGTATATGCAGAGATGTTAATTATTTGTTTTTGTATCATTCACAGTTAACAAAAACAGAACACAACACTTTTTGTCGCCGTAGCAGAAATAGACACGATGTCTTCTGATTCTGACTGCGAACGCCAAAAATAATTTTAGAAAAATATAAATTTAAACACTATGTATGTACCATGGAACCAACCCATTATGACGATGTGAAAAACCATGCGAAATGATGTGAAAAACCATGGGGGTGGTTAGAACTGTGACATTGGTGGGGGGCCAAGATATCTTTTACCAACAAATAGAAATTGCTATATTAAAAATGATGTAAAGTGGTAATGCCCAAACATGCACAAACCAACACAATTTAGGGGGAGAGAGGACTGAGAGGCAACGTGTGCATGTTTTTAAACTCAGTACGATCTGCAAACAGTTTGATCGGGGTCGGATCCTCTAGAATGTTGGTAGACCCATGCCCTCCCCCCTGCTCGCTGTTGCTACCCCCTGTGAAAAACATTTGTAATAGATAACTCTGACTCAGCTATTACTATCTGAGCTTCTGGAAAGTTAAGTGATGTAAACATAGCTACTTATAAGCGAAACCTTCTAAAAAACTCACATTGACGTATGTTGCATTGATATATTCAGAAGCGCCATCGTTTTCGTAAATGGATTGTTGTAGAATCACACGATTAATGTCCTCTGCAAAAAAGAAACGTGAGTGGATCAGGGTGGCGCTAGCGACAAACATTCAAGGTGCAAAGTTTGATTTCTACATCAATACTAAAATTTGTGTACAAAGGAGTGCCAGCAGTATATAAACAATGAAACTACAAACAATTAGAAGAATTATTGACCAGGTGTCCCAGATAAGAACATTGATGCAAAAAAGATGCAAATCGCGGCCTGCCTTTACCCATCTACTGTGCAAAGTAAGAAGATCGAAAGCTTATTTAACACCCATGAAGAGTCGAATTTTTTGGGAATCCCAGGGAGCCTTGCTGCCGATGGGAAATGGGAGGGGAGTTGGTGTGTGACGGTGGCTATCAAGAAACGTAGCGTTCCTCAATCCCCTTTTTAACTCCTTTACAATAACTCCTGATAACGGTCATTCAGGTCCGTCATAGTGAGACCTACTTTCTGTGCGCTCCATTGGTCGAATAGGCCTATTATTCCATTACTTTTGGCATATATTTTCGTAAACATAAGTCCATTTATTGATTGGCTAAAATCGCATGCCTTCAGCTATACTAACGAAGCAACCAAAAACAACGTTCTTAGCAACACAACAAACGAGGTCATTTTCACATGAAACTGAGACTGTATTTCTTAACAGCGGCAAAATGAATTTGAACATAATGTATGTGAATATGTATTACATATAGCAATGGCTGATTTCAGAAAGGCTAATAATGAACAAAGGTTCATTTCGTTCTGCAAAAGGCCTTGGAATTGGCTGTATACTAAATGAAAAGTTCTCACTTTCTTGCTATTTTTTAAATTGTAAAAGAGGGGATAGTTGGAACTCGCTAAATTTCTATTCATAAGTATCAGAATTCTAGGTATAAAAACATCAGTAGCCTCTGACGCTTTTTTATACTGTGGCACAAAAGATTGTCAAGCTGCTGAAAGAAAGAGTCTGTTTTCACTCTTTGACTCTGTTTGTAATATGTCCAATAGTCAAGCGGCACTGATTGGCTTATTTCGATCCACAACGGTGTATATATATTTCCTAGCTTAAAATTTTTAATTCTGACATTTCACACTCTGTATCAGGCCAAAAAGTTTAGCATGTTTTAAAATGTTGGCTTTTTCGAGGCCGTTTTAAATTCTGTACCGCCATTAAACTGCTTAACAGATTTACATCTTTAACAGATTGCAGAGCACTAAATAATATGGAGAAATTGCGTGGTTGCTTGAAAGGATTCTAGACTCGGATCAATTGGTGCAAATAGCAAAATCCTTACTCGGTAAAACGTCTTCCCTTCGGTTTCGTTGCTTGTTATGTCCTTGGCACCCTATGCTGGCTTCCGTTTCTGTGAAATAGGTCGTCGTCAGCAACAGCCGCTGAAAAGAACAAATAATTCATAAAAGGGCTGATGCATGGGACAAATTATTGTTTTTCCCGCTCTTGTTGTCTAGTGAATGATGGTTAGGTTAAACCAGGTTTGAACAGAACCCTCCTCAGTTGCAATTTCAAAGAGATCCTGCATTATGCAGATTTAATCGTTCTTTTTGGGACGACCTCTAAAACTTGTTATAAGAAAATTAAGCTTCCTGAGATTTGATTTGAATTAATCTATTTTGTTGACAGAGAAAAGGGAGAGTTTTTGTACATAAAAAAATGCGTTCTTAGAGAAAATCTTTTTTGGATCATCAAAAAATCTCTTACCATTCTCTAAATATTTTAAGAAAATAAACTATGAACGTATTTCCTCGACTTAACGCCCCCTCGAATAGGCGCCTCACTCGATTAAGCGCCCCCAAAAAGTGCTGAAATTGACAGTTTTTATTTCATCTATTAGTTTCTATTTTATCTACTAGTTAGAAATTTATTACGAATTCAAAAAAGTCTAGTACAATATAATATTAAGTACAGACTATTTATACTGAAATAAATTCACGTGCAAGAACAACTTGAAATCACTATCACGCTTGCATATGCAACTTTATTGTAACTTTAAAGATTCTACGCTTATTTTTTTTAGAACTTAATAAATTCAGTTAGAAATTTATTTCAAATTCAATACAGTCTAGAACAATATAATAATATTTTTACTGTAACCACTGAAATCTTTAACTATTTAACTGAATATGTCACATCGAATTTGGAGCTCATCGCTATATTTTGTCGTCAGTTGTTGGTTCTATAACATTGCATTCGTTGCTGCAATTTCACTACTCGGTCTTGCTTTGGTCACTGTTTCCTAGCAAAGAGAGACCTATCAAAAAAGTAAGTCCAAAGAATATTCACCTCAAACTGCTGCTCAAAACCAGTTTTTCCGCTGCCATCTTTGGACTGCAACTGGTTTATTTGGATCCTCAAATTTTGAGCTTCAATTTCAGTTTTACCACAAGTAATGGCCTCAACTAAAGCATTATAGATAAAAATGTACTGCTCCTGAAAAAGAGAAAGTTTTCAAGGCTTAAGAAAGAGTGATCAGAGGTGGGATCTTTAAATCCTATCTTTACTTGCGAGCTGCATAACATCAATGGAAATTGATCTAATAGTGCCATGTATTAACACTCTGGTCGTGGGGGGAACATTCAAAATGGGACAAAAATGTCACAATCAGTTTAAATTTTGAACCTGGCCATGATCCCTAGTTTATTTAAGCACCCCTTTTTCCTGACCTAAGAGAACAGCAAACCAAACGCCTTTTTAGGAGGAGAAACCACTTTTCAAAATGGTAAGACTGATCTTTGTTTTTATCTTAGGGTGAATATGGTCATTTCAGAGTTCTTATTCAAAGGGGTATATCTTTGAATTTGGGGGACAAAAGAATCAGAATATCTTATGTATACCAACATAAACTCGACTTAAACACAATAACTTTTCTAAGATGAAAGAATACAATTTTTTCTTGGGGGTGGGGGATGTGGGAAGGGGGGATTGTAGCTCAAAATTGCCAACCCACAAACTTTAAATGATTCTTTGTCAACCTGCAAATTTTCCTGAAGATAGCTTCATTGTTAATATGGATACCAATTTTTGGCTTTTAATGGCCTTTGTCAGCAGTGCAACTAAGACTTCACCTTGACTCGGCATTGACAATAGTCTGAAGACTTCTCAGTAAAAAGTTACAAAAATCAAGAATATTGCCCTATCGTCTTTCCATCTAGCAGTTTTGGAATCCATCCACATAGAAACGAAAAGCCACTATTGTGTCAACAGAAGTAGTTCACTTTCTCTCCTGGATTCCACTGGCGATTTTTTAATAGGCACGCGCTACTGTTTGGTCAACTATACCGGTCTTGTGCTTGCGTTTTTCTGATTGGCCTTTTTCGATCCACAACTGGGTATTTATTTTCCATCTTGTTCATTTGACCCTGATTTTGAAGTGGCATACTCTGAAGAGGGTCACGTGTAAAAGCTTTTTGAAATTTCAAAAATATTTACCTCAACCTGGACGAGATGGATTCTCTGACTTCGAATAAAATTGAGATAATTGAATATGTCCACTTTTCGTTGGGTCTGCACAAGTTCCAGCATTGTGTCAATTAGGATAAAAGTTCCAGTGCGACCAACTCCGGCACTTTTCAACAAAGAGAAAATTAATGAATATGAGAATAAGCATTGAGATCATAGCAGAGCTCACAACTGTCGATATAGCCTGCAAAATATCTGATTCAAAGCAATTTTTGAAAAAAAGATTCTGGAATTTGACAGCAGGTTATAAAATAGGCAATGAGATCCCTGATGCAAAACTTTTTTCTCTTCAGCCATATAAACAAAATGTTCAACTAAAGGCAAAATGAACCAGGTTAACAAACGCTAGAAAGGGGTGGGGGTGGGCTAAAAGACTTTAACATCCCCCCCCCCCGAATAATTTTCCGATGGAAAGAAATGCTACAGATCTCTTGCTTTTGTTGCAAGAACCTCCAACCCTAAAAAATATCTTTTGCCTACAGATTTTTATGATATCAAGACGAAGGTGAAAAACTCTTGTGTTATAACATGCTTGAATATACATTTTAACCATAAGGAATTATAGAGTAGATCTGTAATTATAAGTGGGATTGAGACCTTGCAGTCTTAGCTTTCAACAGCCACAATACTGCTAACTGGGCTACCACGAAGTGCCCGATGCAGTATAGACGGTTGTACACGGTATTTGGTGTATAGAACAGGACAGTTCTAAGTTGCTACTCCGAGTCTCACGCTAAATGCGATCATCACGAAACTGTTTCGTATAGACAATATATATGTAAATACCTGCAATGTACTACAACAGGGTCTTCCATGTTGTACGGAAATTGCCTGCGAAATTTGGCCCTTAAGTTTAGCAGGTCGGTTGGAGACTCCGGTATTCCGTAATCAGGCCATGTGAGGAAATGGTACTGATAAACGGTCCTTTCATCTTTGCAGCCTTCCTAAAAATGTAGACAAGGAGCAGCAGTTAAAAGGATATCAAGGACAGAACGTATGGTAATTGTATTTGCTACAACCTAGCTTCAGACGATAGGTTTAGCGACACTGAAAAGCCATCCCAGCGAGTAGTGCTCTGGTCCTTCCTCTAGAAGTGACGCTACCTAGTGATTCCTACGCCTGGAATAACAGAGAGCTAGCGACTCCTTCACTTCAAGTAAAATTATGGTCATGACAGCGACACGAATTACAGGCCCTTAGATCTGTAGTCACCAATGCTTATTACTGAACCATCGGACAAAGAAATGACGTTTTTACCTTAAAAGGCACGCTGACAAAGTTGAGTTAAAAAGTAAAGCATAAGAAACGAGAAGTAAATGTCAAAAAAGAAAGAGCATTAAGAAGTCTGGAGCTAGGAGAACAAGTTGAAAAGCATAAAAATGTAAATGAATAGCGTCAATGCAAGTTAAGCATTTCAACGAATTCTTGAAATTGATTTAAAACCGTGTTTATCGCAAGGCATATCGTAAAGAATTTGAAGCAATCAATGATACTGGGAAAGATACGTAATGCAGAAGAGGAACGAGAACACAAAAGAGGAATAAAAGACATCTTGAAAAGTACTGCAATCAAATTTCAAAGCAGAGCACGAAAAACATAGAGCCCATAAATATCAAAGAACAAAAAAGCATATCGTTCCTTTATTTCCATGTCAATAAAAACAACATATATATAGCAATAATAATAAGAGTTCAGACTTGGATAAGCACACCAAAAATTGGAGACTCCATACAATTACAAAAACAGAAGGACACATTGAGAAAAAAATTGACACGACGTACCCTTTTCACTGAAAAACATCTTATTGCGTAATCAACATAATTCTGAATTGATATGAGGCTCACAGTGACTTTGCCGTAGGTTTCAGATCCAAAATCAGGCCAATACTGAGAGCATTTTTTCTGTAAGAAAAACAATTAAGAGCTTGAAGTTTTTAGTTACCTTGCAATTACTTGCTAAGAGCACGATATTACTAGCGGTTCCACACCTTCGATTGATATTGATTGATATCTATAGCTTTTCTATCAAAAATATTTAGCAACAAGAAGGTTGGGTGGAGTATATGTGGAACGAACAGAAAAGCCTAATGAAATTGCATGGTTTTAGAATAGGATAATTGCACGGGAAATAAAAGGATCGAATAACAAAGTGAAAGCGGCATGTTTTGGATTATTGGTAGAACAAGTCCACCGTTCCATTAAGCAGTTTCAAAATCTATCTACATGAAAATGAAAAACTGCTATTGTGTAGACAGAAGGAGTTCATTTTTACCTTAAGGCTTCACTGGTAATATTTTCAATAGGCAAGCGGCACTGATTGGGCAACCTCAACATTCATGTGCGCGTATTACTGATTGGCCTATTATGATCCACAACTGGGTATATAAATTTCCTAGCGTAGAGTTTTCGGTCTGTGTTCTGAGGTTTTAAACTCTGAAGAGGGCCAGACGAAAAATTGAGTATGTTTTAAAATGTTTGCTTTTTTGAAACCTTTTTTGTTGTCAATGAAGAGAAGACAAACAAGTTTTTCAATGACAATATGAAAAAATTGAAAAACTAAAGCGAGACAGGATGAAGCTTCGTAAATCATTCCCTGTTATCTGTCACACATTAAGTCAAGAGTTTTTGGTACTGCTGAATTTGAGGATAGTAAAGAAAGTCGGAGGATAAACGTCAAATTATGTCTAAAGAAAGCAGGTTGTGGATCTTGTCCAGTTGTGGTTCGAAAGTAGCGTGAGATGATGAGAAGAACCAATCACTCACGTCGTTCTTCCTGTCAAGTTACTTTTGATCCGCACCTGGGTATGAATATCTGCAAACTTACTGTCATTATCCGAAGTTTATACTCTGAGGACGAAAAGTAGTTTTTCGGTGCCACCTTCAGAGATATGTTTAGCAGCTACATTATTCAAGCTTTGTTATTACCTTTCCTCTTTCAACGACATTTGTTAGCATCACGATGGCCTGCACGTTCTTATCCCATACCATTCTCCAGAAATCGTACAAAACCACATCAGTTGGCCCTGCAAACAATATCAACAACAAAGATATTATCAGTGGCTAAAAAATGGCAAGTATTAAGAGATTGCATGAAACAGAACATCTCGGAGATCACAACACCATGGAATAAGTGGGGTAATGCCCGCAATAAACACAATCGCGGCCTATACCAATGAGATTGGTAAAATCCTCTATAGCTCAAACAAGGTCTATTGTTACTTAACGAAATTCAGATTTTCATTCTAAAAGTATTTTTCTCTATTCTAATGAAGTTTAACGGCCAAAAAGTACAAGAATGGCCTCTATCCACAATGAATTTTTCGCTGGTTTGCCCCACCCGAGGGATCGGAACTAGCTAAAGAACAAAATAATTCCATCATGGCGTCGAATTCCATATGGTCTATGTAGCGCAGGGTTGAGTGCTTGAACACTGAAAAATAGCGAATGTATTTTAATGTGCAAGGCAGCCTCTGTCTTGGATTCATGCACAATAATTACTAAATTGAAGACGGGGGCTCCATCACTCCTTAAAAACTTTCTCTTGTTCGTCTCTCCAAATATATAGACCGCATAAACTACTATAAACTACGATATACATAAATACTACTGAAAGTAGAGCGAACAAGAATCAATTTAGTGAAACTTATAAAATAAATCCAATGACGTAAAAATCCATGATGTGATCAACAGCGTGATTCACAATGTCTTACTTAAAATGATCGATATGTAGCTGTATAACATTTTTTAACGGAGCACACATGTTACATGTATGCAATTTAAGGATCCTAAACTGTGCGTTAAGTGGAGTGTACTAAGTTAGCAATAAAGTTATATAAGGATATGTTGGAGCTCACCTTGTGAAGCCAAATACTTTTGTTTCCCTGAGTATCCCTGCATATAAAGGATGGTGCAATTATAGTGCTAATGGCAAGCAAGCAGTTGTGACCTCTTTTTAAATTACTGAACAATGACCTCGATTGTATGACAGACAGTTCTCTCAAAAATATATTTTTCTAGATCAATCTCTTTGTAAATAGTTATGTTTTTATTGATTGGAAAAGATTGACAAATGGCACTATTGAATACAAGAAAAAAGAGTCCTCTGAGGTACATGAAGCAAAAAGAGGAAAGAAAGTCATTTACGTAAGACCAAAAGAGCAAGGTTTTTGAGCATCAGATCCCCCAAAGGAAATTAAGAACCTAAAGGCTGTCTTTCTTTGGATAACCATATCATTCCAAAGAACCTTTTTAGTCTGACAAATGATAAGGCATTTACTTTAGAGGACATTGCCCCCTGAAACAACTTAAATCCTTAGTATTTAATAAAATTGTATCTTTAACTATATATCATAGCACGAGACACGTCTATTGCCAGTATAACTGACAAAGCACATCATCAAAATACAGCTACTAAATAAGAACCTTGTGTAAAAGGATTCACATCATGTCTAAATGTTTATATATGGAAACTTGGAAAAAAAATGTTAACTTCAGAAAAAACTGCTTACCAAAATATGGCTTGCATTGAAATAATCTGAATGATTGACACCTGGGAGAGGTTTCAAGTGGACTCGTGAATGATCATCTGTAAAACGTAAACAAAATTGAGTTAATATAAATACGTGTTGCTCAATAAAGTTTTCTGTTTAACTGTCAGTAACAGTCCTAAAGGAGGGAGTATTTTTTCATACGCAAATCGTTTTGTTATATAAAATCCCGTTCCATTTTTCACGAGAGTCAGGATAACATGGATTCGTTAAGATCCGACTATGCTCAAATGTAGATTATGAATCCGAAGCAGGCAGCTTGAATCAGACGCAGAAGTCAAGTACACTACTATTAGATCAGTCATGCTTGATCAGTCATATTCAATCCGAAGTCTGTTATACAGGGGGAAAAAGAGTAGTTTTTGCTAGGATCGCAGTTACGATAACAAATCTTTTCCTGTTGCAAACTAACACTACATGAAACTCCCAACGACTCAAAACATTTATACCCCTATTACCCAGCAACTTTTTACTTGATCACAGAATTTTGTTAAGTTCCTTACATTTCTAATCGATTCAAGATATTTTTACATTTTTGTATTATGATTCATCGATCTTTACTGAATGTTTTATCAATTTTGTTTTTCTGATACACTTTCTTGATTTTGAAGATTCTTTCTTTCTGGAGTTTTAGTATCTTTCTGTATAAATTCTGCTTTTTATTATTCTCTTGGACCCAAAATGTATTCTAGGAACATTGATCCAAGAGTCCGATACTTTTTCAACCCCTGCTGTTATCACCAATCACATTTACTGATTTGTTTCAGATTACATATTCGCTGTGATGCGCTGTGATGGATAAATATTCGGAATCAAACTAAAACATATTCCCTCAAATCGAAAAACAGATTCATGCAATCTAGAAACAGATATATTTGCAATTGTTACATAGATTGGATACATCTGCAAGTAGATCAGAATTGCAGTGAATAGCAAAGAAAGAGCGCAGATTTAGATACTAAGTGCAAAAGGTTTCATTATGCTTTATCCAATGTAAAACGATGACACCCGATTCCCCTTTAAAAATCAAGATTCTTACATGCTGCAATGTTCGCGTATCGATTCTTCGGTTTGTTTGTGGCATTGGTTGCTACATCCCATGTGTATAGCTGACCCTTGTCAAGATCCTAAAAATCAATTCAAAGATTCATTAATGAAAATCTGAGAACTGCAAGGAGCTAGAACTGCTGATAAACATTTTAAAATATTTCGTCTATTGTATTCTTGACATATGGCTAATTTTACTCAATGGCTAATCTATCGCTAATTTGGAGCTAGAAAGATTATCTCTCCGTGACAGATCAATCAATCAATAAACTCATTCATCAATCGCTCAATCAGTCACTCATCATATCACAATCACATGATAGTTACAATTCACCTCGAATTCTGATGTGATTCCATGATGGCTGTCCTTTTGCAACTCCTTAAAATGACCAATGAAGTCTTGAACTGATATTGGAGGGTGTCGTTTGTCGTTTCCAACCGCACGTGGAGCCTTTCTGTGTTTCAAGGACGCTCCTGAGACGAAAAAGTAATGTTTTAATAGATAAAACTGAACTTTTTAAAGAAGCCGGGCCCACGACACAGGGGGGGGAGGGGGGTTAGGGGACATGGCCTCCTCATGGCAGATTTTATGGACAGGCGATCACATTAACCACATGCCCATATGAATAGGAGGTCACAACATAATGGCCCCTCGCTCAACTTTCAAACAGCTGTCTGAAAAAATAACGGGAAAAATGATGATACCTGAACTGTGCCTGCGAAGCATACTGTGTGGATGGGTAGGAGCAGGTGGGGTCTCTACATTTGTAGTCTCGTCTTCGTCTTCAAACGATGGATTGGATTGCATTCCTGCAAGTTCCGGAAGTGGCACGAATTTCTTCTCGGGTATGCCGTTTTCAGTATGTTTTGGAGAACCAAGTCGCCTTTTTCTGCAAAAAAGTGAGATCCACATTTGAGAAACTAAAGGTCCGTGTTCTCTCTTACATGCAGGATATATTTACTTGGAAACTCTCTGAAAAGAGGCATTTGCAAAGACGACTGGCATCTGTCAATTCAAACCTTACACTGTACTTTATAGAACTTCGATCCCTTATCAATGTAAATTGAAAAATTATGAGCACTTGAAATAAAAACAGTGTCCTGAAATAAAAACAGTGGTAATAGCAACAAGCGGCAGCCCTTTATTTCAAATCACAAATACATTGCGACTAGGTCATACCTTATGTACAAAACAGCTGCAACCAATGCGATGATAATAAGTATGGGTACTATTATGCCAACGATCAAACCAACTGACGGCGACGGGTCTGTTGTTGCTATTCTAGGGACTTTAGTAGGAGACACTTTGTCTGAAAAAAGCACTTTAAAGTAAATACGAGGGAAATCTGTTTTATAACTGAACTAGTTCCTAAGAAACATTCAAACTTTTAGTCAGGTAAACTGAATGCACAGAGAAAGCCAGCAAATACAGATTTTAAAGACAACAGGATTTTTGAGGATAATTAATAGAGAAGGCGGGATGATTTTCCCGCACTCTCTATTAATTAAATACAGATTTCTCAATCAATGACCTTCCACTTCCATTTGTGCACAAAATGTCAGACAGATCACGTGCCGAGGCCAGTTACAATATCTAACCGAAAATACTGTTAGAATTTTTATTTTTCAAGAATAGGGGATATTTTTTCCTCGGTTTTTGTAACCTAATGAGATAGCCCATTCATATGAAGTTCAAACATGCCAATTTCACTTTCATCTGTCAAACATTTTATATAGTCAAACAATGAATTCGTCTGAGCCAAACTCACAAGGCCTGTTGCTTCTTGAGGAAATTGTTCCTTTATCAAAACTGCAGTGTTACTCCTGAATAGCAAGATGTTTATCATTTTCTTCAGATCTAAAGTGTTTAAACTCTACATACCTAAACATTCTTTTAAATCTGGCATTAAATAACAACATGGGTTTATAATGTGCAATGATTCTTGAGAAAATTTTTTATCACTGCCAATATTTGAAAGGTTAAAAGTTAAGCCTAGTTTCCATATAGCCGTAATGTGCCTGCGATTGCCTGCGATATTCATGCTCTCGGTATTACAGGCTTAAGATTTAATGGAAACGCTTTCTTACGGTACCGCCGGCAGCTGTTTCATGTGCCGTTAAGGTGCCGTTATGGTGCCGTTAAACTACCTGGAAACTGCCGTGCCACTGTGATACCGGTAACTATGTGGGTAACTTTGTGAAATGAGCGCGAGAAGTAAATCATGGCTGCTGCATTTAACCAGCAATTATTGCTTCAATATTTGCTTTTATTTGCTTACATGAGACATAAAGAAAGCGTAATATGGTATCGGCATCGGTTTTGGGTTAGGCGCATTTTTCAACAAAGAGGCCAGTATGGACAGTATTGGAACTTGTTTTCATCTAAGTTATCCAGCTGTAATCAAAGAAGATATTAACACATCCGAAATAAAGTTAAGAAACAATCCCGATACAGAGGAAATTCGAGCCGCGCGCAAAGTAAAATGTGTAATGTTTCAAATTTTCTGTGTTATTCTGTCCGAGGCTTGTTCAACACTATTTGACAGCACGGTTCCCTAAAGAAAGCCTGAAAGAATTTTTTTTCAAAACACAAGCAGCGGTAATGCGATATTCTTCGTCTGCAGATGCTTTCTTGCAGCCAGTAAAAATGTTTTTGGGTAAACTTGACTGAGTTTGAATTAGAGATACTTAATCATGTTCTTGATATTCATCTTGCTAAAACTTTAAGCAAGAAAGTAGGTGGTCAGATATTGTTGTTGCTGTTAATGATTTTTTATAAACATCAATCCTTTGCGCACAGCGTTCTGAACAAAACAGACCAAATGGAGAGAAGGGCTTTCTTTTAGCTCATTCTAACAACAAAATAGAGATTCTTTGACATAAACAACTTCTTATTCTCATGCCATCTTATCGACCAGAGCTCTGTTAATATCCGTTTTTCGGGGGCCTGGGACATATTTAACTGAACTGCATGCTGGGATATAATGTGATTGCAAAGGCTTCATGTTATAAAACAGATAATTGAGGCAGTCTTCACTGGGCTCCTTGTTTAGCTACATAAATATGAAACTCACTTGTCTGAAATGGTCCAATCCACGGCGAGGAGAAATAGATATTCTGCAAAAGAGCAACATTTATATTACGAAATTTAGTTTTCATTTAGTTATCCAGTTCTCATCAAAGACGATATTAGTACATCCAAAATAAAGTTAAGAAAAGTTACAAATTTTCACAATCATACTTCAGTCCTGAACACTTTTTGTTTGAGCGCATGAATAATATATAATAAAAATAAGCAAACGAGGCACAATTGCTCCTTTAAAGCGAGGCTAGAAAAAGATGCTGCAAAAGGGCAAGGAATACCTGGGAAACATAGGCTCGCTGAAAGACCATGTATGCTGTGTTCTCCTTTAAAGGAACGTTAGTATACTTTTGTCCGCCGACGTTTCTCCTTCTTCTGGTAGATACGGAGTATTCTTTTCCGTCCCCAATTTCAAATTTACTCGTAAAACTAGAGAGTACTCCAGTTACATAGGCCTTTCCAGGCACGTATGTTGAAGAGTCGTACGGGCCAAGGTCGGATGGGCTGAAATTTTCCGGGTGTTTGACCTGACTTGTACTGTTTCTTTCTATTACGATGATATGGTAGCTCCTTGAAATAAAAAAGCGGCATAAATAAATGCAATTCGCGATTCACTAAAGATCAAGACAACTTTTATTTATTGACATTCTTTCAGACAGCTAATGAGCTCTCAGAATACTGCCAAAACCCTTGAAAAGTATTTTTAAAATGACTTTGATCCAAGCTCTATCTGAGCTTGTAACCGTGTGGTTCGAGTCATCGAGTAATCAGAAACAAGTAATACTATTTTGATATGATTAAACATGAAAACTAAAGGATTATTTCTTTCTGTGAGACAAGAAGTATTTGCTCCAATCCGCGAAAAAGTATTTGCTCCATGGGTTCTGCAAGAGTTTAAAGCAAAGCACTTATTAGAAATTTTTCAATTGGTTTGCGTTCTCAATCAAAGCGATTTTCAACATCAAGGCGTATATTACTCCTGATGTAATATTTTAGCAAAAAGTTCATTTCTGTGATAAGTGCACTAGCTGGTTCTTGCAAATAACAAGGCTCTGAAATTATCCTTTTGACATGAATTTTGCTGATATTTTCAAGATAGAAATGGTAAAAGCATACTTTGCATTGGATGGCCCTTGTGCCAGAGGAATGACGAACGAAGTGGCAGTAGCGTTTGATTTGTAGACATTCACGTCCATCTTTTCCAAATATGTTCGCTCTGTTGGGAATAACATAATACTGAAGATGTTGCCTTGCTGATAGGAAGAGCGGAGTAATTAACAGGAAAGATTTGGCAATCTATTGCATTTTCACGAATAATTTAGTATGCATTTAGATATAGCTAAGAATGAGAATTAACAATACAAAGACGAGTTTCAATAAATCACAAAATCAAAAATATTAAGAACTTAATGCTTGAATCCATACCGATGGTAACGCTGGAAAACTGACTGAAATATTTCTGGCCCTGTAAATCAGAAGATGTATGTAAGGAAACCTAAGCATCCACGTTTAAAATAAAAAAGATCAAAACAAATTCAAGCTCAATTTATCTGTTAGAATCTCCACGGAAATTTAAGAGACATGATAATGTCAAGAGCTCCAGTGAAATACCAAAATAACTCTCAAAGAGCGGTTTTGCTATGGCTTTAAAGCAAGTTTAGGTAGAATAATTTCTATGTAGTGCAGAAAGTAATCAAAACAATCGACCTATAGGCCCAAGGGGCCATTACCTTATCGGTGGTTGCAGCACGGTAGCAGATTGTGTAATTTGCCAATGTTTTGAGCTCCGTTGAAATATGTGTCACTGATTTGATCCCAGGCTGAAACTCCAATTGCAATGGCAGTTTAGAAGGAAGAAAGGTCTCTGCCGAACCAGATGGTTGACAAGACATTGCCTTTCCTTCCACAAATGACAGCTGATATTCGCTATATCAAGAAACAAGATAATATATAAATAGTCTAATTATTTTGCGAAATTCGGTACCAAACTCAATGTAATATCTATTTTGTGGTTAAAACAGAAGTGAAACGACGATTGCTGTCAGGCACAGTGTATACATTGTATGTTCCTTAATAACTGACATGTCAGGTGTTATTCAAATCACTAACAATAGCTTGATATTTAAAAAGACTAATTGAAAAAGACTTAAGCCACAAACTGCTAAATAGTTTATGATCCAATAGTAGTATTTTTCTCCAACTTTGGATGGGGACAGCCTAGCTCCACCAGTCCCTTTCTTTTTCCAAAGCTTTTTCTAAAATCTCCAGCTTAATTCAAAATCGGTTCATACTTTTAAAGAACGTAAATAAGCAAATGAGTTCAACGTGAAGCTCACGGTTTCCTGGCTGTACTGTATACATATGATCCCGTTGATTTATAGATGATTCAGAGATATCACTCAGACAATTCACAGGTGATTAAAGTGATTCAAAAATGATCCACACAGATGATTAAAAAATGACCAATGATCTCAATGTCTCCATATAGCTAGCTACATAGCATAAACAATGAAACGACGTAACGTCAAACAAACTCACCTTACTGGACCGTTTATGTCCCATGTTGCACCAGCATTGACTTTCAGTACAGTGTTAACCCTTCCAAGACTCTCCAACGATGGCTTGGGTGGACCTGAAATAAACAGAGTAATTGAAGCACCAGGATGTTTTGCTGTTTTTGTGAGCTTTGATGACTAATTTCTTGGTCATGGTGTTACGATGAGAAATCAACCAACATTAATGTTCTAAGAATATTTGTTGCATGAAATATTGAGCTAAGCTTTACCTGCAAATGCTGTTCTGAAAGTTAGGCTTGAGCTGAATTCCCCTTGTCCACCTCCTGTCGTGGCAGCTACATCGATGCTGTATTCCGTAGCCGGAACGAGACTGGTCAGAACAGCCTCGGTGAAGTCTGATGACGGTTCTCTATCAATCGTCGTAGAATTGACATGTTCAAACGAATTATTATACGACTTTGAGCCACGATATCTCAACTAAGAGTAGAAATATGACAAATATACAAATTTAAATAAGTAACATTTACAAAGCTAATATTTTAGGTTGAAATTTTAAAGGACCATATCGCAAAGTTTCTCTAGTCTTGATACCTATGACATTCATTCCAAAAGGTGATTCAAAGGAAAGGCTTGAAAATCAAAGCAAGGGAAACGGAAAACAGATACGATAGAAAAAGGGCTATTAGCTGTGTTCTTAATTCGTGGGAAGGGGATAGAGGGTCTAATGTTGTTTGCAAAACCAACCAGCAATTAGGTTATAGTGCAAACAAAATCTACACTAGGGTTCCTCTTTTTATGTTTATGGAGAAAAACCAGGAAAAATCCTTTTCAAAATTTCACGCGATCATATACCAGTATTTTTGTGCTTTTTTAGATTTGCATCTTATTTCCAGGTAAATAGGACCATTAAGGAAAAAGACTGGTTCTTCCACCCCTTTGACTAACACAAGGTATAGGCAATCACTGCTCTTTTCTAATACTGATCGAAGGCTGCAATTTTTTCCCGAGGCAAGTATCCGTGTGTACCTAGGTCCAGAGGAGCTTGATAAAATCACCAGGCAACTGAAAATGGCCACTTGGTTAGATATAAACATGAGAACAACATACCGTATAGTTTGTAACAATGCCGTTTTCTTCCGCCGGTTTGGTGAAATTGACTAGTGCTGAAGTCGATTGAATGTTGGCAAACTTCAGATCTTGTGGTTGCGTTGGTCCTATTGAATACAAGCACAGAAGTGAAGAAAGAAAAAATTCAACGTGCAAGTTATCAGAGGGGGGACAATGTGAAAAAGGAGCTACAACATTGGAAAAAAGGGCGCTTCCACTGAAAAAATGTTTTTAGCAACAATAAAACAAAAGCATCTTCTTGATGCGATGCGATTCTTTTCCCTACCAAATACCAGAGTCAGGAAAACATTACGGTCGCACGGCCACTGACAGGAGGAAGGTCCACGAAAAACAATAGAAGCTCCTATGACACACCCAAGCCACGCCCAATCTCTATTGTTTGTGAGGAAGGTTGGCCTTCTGGGATGGTTTTGTCTGGAGGAAGGTTAACAACTTTTCTGGACTCTGCCAAATACTAGCTCAGTTAAATTCCTGTAAACAAAATTTCTTCGTTCGGTTTCAATGAAAAATGTCTTTCAGCATAGATTGCTATGGCATACGCCCAATACCCCCAGTGCATTTGCTTTGTCAATATCTGCAACACGAGCAAAGAAGGAGAGGCATCGGACTTGATGGCTAGCAGAGCTCAAATATGACCAGAAATTAATCGATAATCAAAATATGCTGAATGTAATATGCTGCAATATGCAAAAAGACAAGCATCTTCAACAAAAAATGGCCAAACTAGGTCGAAATTTGCTTTATCAAGACATCCGTGGCTTAAAATGTGCTAGTATGCACCTCAGCAAACAATAGATGTGGTTGCGAAGACCTCTGGGCAAGAGAAGCATCACAGTGGCCAGCGTAGCAATCAAAGCTGCTCTGGTTTTCAATTGCTGCACTACTTCTCGTTTTCTAATTCGAAAGTGCCAACTTATGAAAACTGGCTTTAGAAAAAGCTCAGAAGGCAAAAACATATGCCTGAAAGTCCTTAAACATTAAGTAATGGGTGCAAAAATATATTTACGCAAAGCTTATAATCACGAACACATGAAATGAATCATGCCAATCATTTCTATCTAAGTCATCAAATATTTAAGAAACATCATATCAAATGCCACATACTCCCTTCGTGCGTTTTGGCAGTTGCAGCTGAGCTCCAGATTCCTAAAATAGTCCCACCTTTGGTAGTTGCCAAGACCTATAAGAAAGTAATCATAGATAAAAACACATGCTTAGTAACAGTTTGGAAAGACATGAAAGGCAGTTTGATATATGACTGAACACTACCTTGGTGGGGGGGGGGGGCGGTGAGGGGAGCAGCTGTATATTAAACAGTAGAATTCGAATCATATGGGTAGACTGAAAACATGATGAGACTGATCATATGGGTAGACTGATCATATGGTGAGACCGAACACTTGGTGAGACTGAGCTCATGGTGAGACTGAACACATGGTGAGACTGATCACACGGTGAGACTTAACGGCGGGTGAGACTGATCACATGGTGAGATTGACTTCATGGTGAGACTGAGGACATGGTGAGCCTGATCACATGGTGAGACTGGATTCATGGCGAGACTGATCAAATTGTGAGACTAAACACACGGTGAGACTGAATTCATGGCGAGACTGATCAAATTGTGAGACTAAACACACGGTGAGACTGAATTCATGGCGAGACTGATCAAATTGTGAGACTAAACACATGGTGAGACTGTTCAAATGGTGAGACTGAAAACATTGTGAGACTGAAAACATTGTGAGACTGAACAAATGGTGAGACTAGATTCATGGTGAGACTGACCACATGGTAAGACTCACCATATGTTGAGACTGATCACATGATGAGACTGAACACACGATGAGACTGATCAAATGGTAAAACTGATCAAATGGCGAGACTGAACACATGATAAGGCTAATCGCATGGTGAGGCTGATCACATGGTGAGACTGATAACACGAAGTTATCACGAGACTGGTCACATGCAGCTACCTCTTACTAACTTTGAAAGCAGGATCCGTCAACGAACTGTTTTAGTCATGGCCATTGTCTTAAAAAGACCTACACAGCCAAATTTTTGACTGCCTTTTTTAGAGTTTCCTCGAAGTTTAACCTTTCCTCCATAAAAAAGCCTGGAATAAACATTTGGATTTTAAATTTTTGTTCACAAATTGGTTTTTACCTTCTATGCCTATATACACTTGAAAATTCACAAAACAGGCAAATTTTATCTCAAACATGCGTTCCGTTTGGATTTCACAAAGGACAAAAAATTGTGGTATATGCCCAAATTGGAAGACCACACCCATTTCTCATTATAAAAAGATACAAAACACGTCCCTATAACTTTTGATTGGTAAGAGCAATTGAACTGAAAGTTCAGATATTCTCTAACCTTGGTGATTTCATTATGTGGACAAAATAAACAAAACGATCCGAGAGGGTTTGGTTTCTTAGACTAAATGAGTTGGTGTGGAATTACCCGTTCGCAAATCTGGCTGCATGGCCACCACCCTCCTTTCCCCGAGAGCGAAATCATTAAACGTACGTGCAATGTTGTTCGTTTCGGCCAATCGACCCAAAAAAAGTCGGTGAATCGCAGAGCATAATCTTAACGCCAGGATTAGACCCAAACTGCTTCAATGATAAGAATAAGAGTTGTAATTCAGCTGAAGTATATTGTATCTAAAAATACCTGAGCCTGGTAGTCTTCAAAGGGCTTCAAAGATGATATGGTCTTCGTTAAGTTGCTTCCAGCACTGACCGGAGTTGTGAAATCAGCTGCGGATGTCATCTTGTATCTGACTTTGTAATCGTGAAGAACACCGTTAAGAGACGAAGGCTGCGACCAGGAGACTTGGATGCTGGTCGAAGATAGCGCCGCTGACGAAACAGCTGACGGGGACGATGAAACTAAAATGGAGATAAGCAAGGTTAAAATCGAAGCGAACAAGAATATTAGACGGCAAAAAACACAGAATATTAGTAAAATATATCTGCAAGGTAGGAAGGAAAAAATAATTGGAGACAGCATTGTCTGAAAACAATAGGAACAAAATGAATTCTTCATTGGAAAGAAAGAATATTAAAATTGTTTGGGGGACTCGTGCTTCTTTTGGGGGGACATGGGGTATTACCTCCTTCGTCTGTTTTAAAGTCAAAGGTTCCCGTTTCTGAATTTATATTGTGAGGCGATGATTTTGCAGAAACCTCGATGGTGTAGTCGGTGTATACACTTAGGCCAGTAAACGATGCTGTTGTGGTCTTCAAGTTATTCTGTGTTTCGTGTGTTGAGCCATCAGACTTTTTCTTAAGAACTACATTGTAGCTTTCAGTAGGAAAATCCGAGACTGAAGCATTCCATGTTACTGATGCAGTTGTATTGGTAAGTGAGCTTGTTACCATGCCGCTTGGTGTCGAGGGTTTAGCTGCAAAATCAAAAAAGGTTTAATGTAATGAAATAAAAATACCAATAACAAAATAACCTATCAATGCTACCTATGTAAATCGCTGGGCACTAGTTAAGGTAAGGTTCATAAAATTTCTATACTTGAGCTCTTTCTGCTCATTGTTCCATGTTGCCATTTTAGCTTTGTCACCTGCCCACTTACCTAAATATTAGACATTTGAAAAATGGCAATTTCAAAGAGGAATTTGAACGACTGTTCTGATATTTAGGCCCTACCTACCCAAGAGTCCGGTTACAGTAACTTCCACTGTGCCACTCTTCGAAGTGCTCGATATCCCAGGATACATTGCTGAACATCCAAAGGTTTGTTGACATTGAACAAACCCCTGCGCAAAATCGGTGACAGTGCAAGTTGCAAATGAGTTAATAACATTGTTTGGTGTGGCAGTGATCTTCAAAGTTTTGGTCGTTTCTCCATTTATATTTTCATTTGTTACGGTATCGTTTCCAACTTGATAAATGCCAGTGGATGTCAAAGTGTTGCTTCCGTTTTTCCAAGCTGCATCAACGCCAGGCTGCGCTACTACCGTGCATGTCAATGTTACTTCGCCATTTCTTGCAAGCGACGGGCTTGACGGCGCAATGGAGGTCGAAGACACTTCGGCAACTTAAATTCAATAGCTTTGCGTTAACCATGCAGTATTTACGATCATTAAATCTGATAATATTTAATTGAAAACTATAGTTTTAATGTCACTGTACCCTGATACCAGGGAGCCATACCCAGATATTTACAATGTTTTTTTGGAAAACAGTTCCAAATGATTCCAGCAACGTGGTTCTACGATTCCAAATATAGACCTGATACAAAAATGCATCACTTACACCCTTCTTAAAAAGCATCAATTCTTAAAAATAGCACCGACAAAGGCAGGGGCGGACACTTTGTCAAATATTGGGGGGCAAGCCTATTGTTTTAATAAGATGACGTCACATTTTCTATTGCTTAAGAGCAAAAGACCATTGTCCTCCAAAGCATTGGGGGGGGGGGGGGCAACCGCCCCTACTTGCCCCCAAGGTGTTCGCCACTGAACATAGGTACCTGAAGCCTATGGACCGTGCTAATAATTCGTGTTGTTTTTAAGCACAAGAAGGTTCCACGGTAGCCTAGCAGTCCAAACACGAATTAAATGTGTGAACTCTTCAATCAAGATTGTTTTTGCAATTTTTATGATTCAGAAGGGTTGGCATGTTACAGAGTTGATGAATAAGGAGATTAAGATGTTTTGATAAGGAGGCAAGCCTGAATAATTTTCCGAGTCACTTGCTTGAACAGCTTTCAATTTCTTCTACCTAGGTCAATTTCCAAGAAATATCGAATTCTCCCACCCTCAGGTTCCACACCTTTTAAAATGCTACTATTAAAATCTTGACATAGCTCTTTATATGTAGTGAAAACTCATAAAGTGCAAACCTTTTGAACTCGTTATTCGTAACAGTTTTAAATATAAGCTAAGATATTTTCTTCAATAGACAGTTTATATACCTGAGGCACAGCCAAGAATCTCCCAACGCAGTCCAACATTCTGATTAGTGGGAGACTGAGTTTCGACTTGCAAGCGAATACAACGGGCTATTATTGTATGTGGTAGATCTATCTGTGATGACGAGTAACGACCATCGGCACCTGCGAATTTCTAAGAATAAATAGCAAAATCACAGTTAGTGAGTAAATTATCTTATTTCATTCCATCGATACTGAAAGGAAGTTCAATCATAAAGTCACAACATTAAATTAAGAAAAGAATTTAACGTTAGAGAGCATTAGATAAATTTGGAAATTAAATAAATTTAGAGATTAAATAAATAAAATTTAGAGAGCATTAGATAAATTTCTTTATAAGACATGCTGAGAATATACTAGGATTTAGTAATTTAATGTTAAAAAAAATAAAGATGAAGTTTATGAATTAAACAATTGTGTAATAAAAAAATTAAACTCACCTGTAATAAATTGTTGTGCTTGTATTCGAAGTATGTTCCAGAAGGGTTGGTAGAATACTTTAGCGAGAATTCTGTCGCTTTTGCCAAGTTATCAACATTGCCCTGACCCTGAATCACAATCGAACTGATTGTCTGTACAGTTGTTAAACAAGCTTGAATCCATGGTTTGGCTCCAGTTGACTCCTTCGGGGAACATGAACCGAACTGGCAAGCTTCCCAAACAGATTCTACGTTAAACCTCCCTTTGTGGGCTCCATTTCCATTAGCAGATGTTGATGATGTCATCGAGGCATCGGAAATTGAGCTTGAAGATTGAATTCCAACAGTATCCCGGCATTCTGTGAAGAAAAAAAAGATAAGACAAAGTTTTTATCTGAGATAAATCAATTACCTCAAAACTAAAATGATCGATATAATAAACAAGACTAGTTAAAACGAATTTGGGCCCCACAGTATGCACTTTTTATTGAGCTTTCGAACTTAGGCCCAAACTCTTGAACATAGGCCCGAGCTCCAGGAATTGCTAGCCTCCACAATAAAAAAGCCACACCGATATTTCACTGACTGGCAAATTTTATACTCGCAAAGTTCCAAGATTGGTAGTTAAGTATTGGTGAGCAATATATGAAAGTTTGACTCGTTTAATTTTGTCTTGCAAGGTTTGATCAAAAATGGTTGTTCTCGAGTTCTTTTACTCGAGTTCTATTGGTAGGTAAGCATTGGTGAGCAAAATATGAAACTTTGACTCCTTTTATTTTGTCTTGCAAAGTTTTATCAATAATGATTGTTCTCGAGCACAATCATGTTTTATGCAGCCGTGTGGATGTGGAAAGAGCCTCCTCATTTGTGTATATATTCTCATGTACTCTATTTGTATTTATATTTGAATATCATGAAGTCACACGTACCACACTTTTGTTTGAAATTCTAACAATGCAATGAAAATACTGATAATATCAAAAGAAAAAACATGGTCAGGCACTTCAAAAAATTTCCTGTCCTTTGCATTCCTTGCTCAACAAAATACTGAGATTCTTGAATAGCTTGAGTTCACATACAGCGTTCTTAATTAGCAAAGTACTTCTGCCGGGTAATACGTCACAAAAATATGATTCGAGCGTTTCTTAATTTAGACCATATTTATGAAACGGCCCCATATTAATTACAAAAAGTTGCGTTGACATGAAAAGCAAATAAATCCGTCACAAATCTGTGTTATTATGATTTAATCAAAAATCTGTTTCCAAAATTTTTGAATTTTGAAAAAATAGCCTAAAGGCAAAACAAGAAACAGCTCTAACAGTGTAAAACTAGTTGATCTGTTGCAAATTAGATGTGGCGAGTAAAAGAACTGTAAAATTAAGGACTACTGCTTTCTTGGGGCCCGTTCACACTGGTCCGTTTTTAAATGAAAATTAGTCTGTTTTTTCTTGTGCTCCACTTTGAAAATGGAGTCATTTTTAAACGAAAATGAATACGGAAACTTTTGAATACAGAGCACGTATTGAATACACTCGGAGACATTTGAATACGTTTACAACGGAAACAACATATGTGCTTTCTGGCACACCAAATGTCAAACATTTCTAAAAAGAAAACTCAAAATGGACGAATGGCTGTAAAGAAATATTTTTCACGATTTAATTTCATCTATTCTGGCATTACTTCGATGTGGATTCGTGGAAGCCTCTGCTCGAAAATGAGGCTACCAAGAGCGTTATGTTGGAGCTGTGTGAACACTAACGGTTTTCAAAGTGTATTCATTTGAAAAGGTATCAGTGTGAACGGACAGCGTTTTTATCAAAAAAACGAAGCGAAACGAATACGGAGCAGTGTGAACGTAGCCTCGGTCTGGTTTATATAATTTAGAACAAACAAGAAGGGATCACAGTGATTTGATGGGCAGTAGCCTGTGCTTATGTATGTCAATTAAACTGGTTTTGCACAATTAGAGGTATTTCATAATGCCTTTTGAGCTATATGGACAAAATGAGCAATTCTGAAAAAAGGTAATGATACAGTAATAGTAATATTTTTGCGGCGTTATCACTCCGGAACATTATTTTCATTTGCAAGTGTTGTCTCCTTTTTTGAAATATCCGATTTCAATCGCCTCATGCATTTCTCAAACATTGACAAGACATTATTTTCATTTGCAAGTGTTGTCTTTTTTTTAAAATATCCGATTTCAATCGCCTCATGCATTTTTCAAACATTGATAAGACAGACGTTCAGAGCAGACACGATGATTTAAAGAATTACCGCATCCCATCTTAGCGTAGGGCAATGAGAATTTTCAGGGAGGCAAGCACCCTAACCCTACACTTAAATCTATGTCTTTACTTAGATTTTGGGGAATAAGTCTTTACAAAAATATAGGATCGCCAAAATTTGTTTTCTATAATACATATATTCGTATAAGTATTCAATTATGATTTTCCTTGTTCCATGGTTCAGACTCAAACAATTTAAAAAAATAATTGTGTGACGTCATCACTATGAAACTCTTATACGTGTGAAACTTTGTGACGTCATCAATGAGGCAATGAGTCATCACAGCTTTGGTCATTAGTTGAATTAAATCATCTTAAGCCCAGCGCACACGGCAGACGTTTGTCTTTAAGAGACAAAGATTTTGGTCTTTTGCAATCCAAAGACAGAAATCTGCCGTGTGCTCTTGTCAAAGACAAAGATCTTTGTCTTTCATAAACATTCTTCGAAATCGAACATGTAATCTGAGCCACAACAGACAACCTAAAATGAGCACAACAGACGAGACAAATAAGGTTATTTTACAATACCTGAATCTGGGCAACCATAGGCATTCATCCGCAAACAAATCGCAGTTTTCCAGGTCAACGGAACTATTCTTAGATACCGTATTTTCAAACTGGATGAGAACCAATGATAAACAATCCCCTCACGTGATTTGCAACCAGTGAAAGTCTGGAAAATGAAACAGATTAGAGATTTTCATATACCGTCAAAGAACTTCTTCATATAAAATGGGAATAATTTGCAGGAAAATGTTAGGATATATAAATTGCGCTTAAAATGATACCTTATCGCTCCCCCCTTCCTGGTAGGTCGACAGGGATGACACGTCATTCCCATATTGAACTTTGAAAGTTTCAATCCATTTTTCCAATAATGGATCTCCTTGCATTGCAAATCCACTAATCACCTTTGCCATGCCAAAATCATATTGAAAGAACTGGTTCGTATCAGATGTCGTTGCACACCATGAGTTAGGAGTGTTTAGTTTGCTTCGCTTATCAGGTATAGTTCCACTTGAAGCACTCACGGTCGGGTTATTCGTGTTTGGCTCCCCAGCTTCCATGCCAAAACTGGAACTGCAAACTGCAACAAAAATTGATTTTCAATGAATCAGTGGCCAAATTCAAATATCCTATGGCAGGTATTGCAAGCATCAATTTGTTCGAGGTTTAAAAGGGCAATGACTTAGGGAAGTCTTCACTGCTGCAAAAACAGTAAAGTTAATAAGCAGTAGAACTAAATAATTGCAGACATCCTCGCTTGAATCAAGTCCCTCCAAATTAGAATTGCTTGATTAATGGCGAAATTCAAGTCGATCCATAAAGAAGATCTATTTCATTGCAAAAGTCCAATATCAAAGTCAAGTTTGTTTTTTAAAAATGAGAATACAGGCCCAGCACCATTATTTTTGCCACCTTTCATCGAATTCATTAATTATAAAAGCAATGCCTTGTTGATACTGTTTTTAAATATGCATATATACAATACATTTAAATTACATCACATTACATACCTTAAAAACAGGAAAAATACATTTAATTGAGATAAAAAGATTAAGATGGGAAAGAAAAAAGAGGAATATGACAAAGATAATACAGTATTACTTAAAACTAGAAATAGCTCTTGCTAGTACTGCCCGCAAACAATTTGTTCCTTGATAATGATTGTTTTGAAAATTTAGGTCAGGATATTCGAAGAAGACACCATCTTGGGTTTTCACAATTTTATAAAAACAGCTGCTCTAGTTGATGCTTAACTATTCTTTTTATCAAGAATTTTTGGTTTTCAGTTTGCCTTTGATTCAAGTCCAACGCCCTTTTGAAAATCATGAAGTTTTTCGAGGGTTTGACATTTATTTTTCGTTTTCGTGAAGTAAACAAAGACGTATGAAAATTAATACGTGATAGAACGGGTACAGCTAAAATCGATTGCGATAAAGGGTTCGTACAGCGATGTACAGGCGATAATCATGACAATCATAACTTTTGCTCGTACGGTCTCGAGTTTTTGGGAGAAAGGTGTGGCATTCGACTGGTTTTGACTCCCAAAACTTCGAATCAAAACTTCCATCCATTGCGGAGAACCGAGCTGTGATGCAGCACCGTTTTCGTGCCAAAAAAATCGAAGGCCTTTAACAGATTCTTGGCAGAGCAACGCTCCGAAGATAATTCCCTTCCGCACAAAGAGGTGGCGGTTAACGACCTCCTCGACAAAGCCGATTGATTGACAATGAAATTGATTGACAGTTGTCATGGCAGCAGAAAAGTGACAAAATCTGCTGACAAAGTGCTGACAACATGAACTGAAGCTTCCATATGCTACTTATACGCGGGGCAGACTATAAGCCCTTCACTCGCGCGCTATCGCACGCGAGTTGCGGGCAATAATTCATATAGATATACCAAGGATTATACCA